AATTAGCATGTGGCCAATGTTCCCTCAATTAGCATGTGGCCAATGTTCCCTCAATTAGCATGTGGCCAATGTTCTCTCAATTAGCATGTGGCCAATGTTCCCTCAATTAGCATGTGGCTAATGTTCCCTCAATTAGCATGTGGCTAATGTTCCCTCAATTAGCATGTGGCTAATGTTCCCTCAATTAGCATGTGGCTAATGTTCCCTCAATTAGCATGTGGCTAATGTTCCATCAATTAGCATGTGGCTAATGTTCCCTCAATTAGCATGTGGCTAATGTTCCCTCAATTAGCATGTGGCCAATGTTCCCTCAATTAGCTTGTGGCCAATGTTCCCTCAATTAGCTTGTGGCTAATGTTCCCTCAATTAGCATGTGGCTAATGTTCCCTCAATTAGCATGTGGCTAATGTTCCCTCAATTAGCATGTGGCTAATGTTCCCTCAATTAGCATGTGGCTAATGTTCCCTCAATTCGCTTGTGGCTAATGTTCCCTCAATTCGCTTGTGGCTAATGTTCCCTCAATTAGCATGTGGCTATTGTTCCCTCAATTAGCATGTGGCTAATGTTCCCTCAATTAGCATGTGGCTAATGTTCCCTCAATTAGCTTGTGGCTAATGTTCCCTCAATTAGCATGTGGCTAATGTTCCCTCAATTAGCATGTGGCTAATGTTCCCTCAATTAGCATGTGGCTAATGTTCCCTCAATTAGCATGTGGCTAATGTTCCCTCAATTAGCATGTGGCTAATGTTCCCTCAATTAGAATGTGGCTAATGTTCCCTCAATTAGCTTGTGGCTAATGTTCCCTCAATTAGCATGTGGCTAATGTTCCCTCAATTAGCATGTGGCTAATGTTCCCTCAATTAGCATGTGGCCAATGTTCCCTCAATTAGCATGTGGCCAATGTTCTCTCAATTAGCATGTGGCTAATGTTCCCTCAATTAGCTTGTGGCTAGTGTTCCCTCAATTAGCTTGTGGCTAATGTTCCCTCAATTAGCTTGTGGCTAATGTTCCCTCAATTAGCTTGTGGCTAATGTTTCCTCAATTAGCTTGTGGCTAATGTTCCCTCAATTAGCATGTGGCTAATGTTCCCTCAATTAGCTTGTGGCTAATGTTCCCTCAATTAGCATGTGGCTAATGTTCCCTCAATTAGCATGTGGCTAATGTTCCCTCAATTAGCATGTGGCTAATGGTCCCTCAATTAGCATGTGGCTAATGGTCCCTCAATTAGCATGTGGCTAATGGTCCCTCAATTAGCTTGTGGCTAACGTTCCCTCAATTAGCATGTGGCTAATGTTCCCTCAATTAGCATGTGGCTAATGTTCCCTCAATTAGCATGTGGCTAATGTTCCCTCAATTAGCATGTGGCTAATGTTCCCTCAATTAGCATGTGGCTAATGTTCCCTCAATTAGCATGTGGCTAATGTTCCCTCAATTAGCATGTGGCTAATGTTCCCTTAATTAGCATGTGGCTAATGTTCCCTCAATTAGCATGTGGCTAATGTTCCCTCAATTAGCATGTGGCTAATGTTCCCTCAATTAGCATGTGGCTAATGTTCCCTCAATTAGCATGTGGCTAATGTTCCCTCAATTAGCATGTGGCTAATGTTCCCTCAATTAGCATGTGGCTAATGTTCCCTCAATTAGCATGTGGCTAATGTTCCCTCAATTAGCATGTGACTAATGTTCCCTCAATTAGCATGTGGCTAATGTTCCCTCAATTAGCATGTGGCTAATGTTCCCTCAATTAGCATGTGGCTAATGTTCCCTCAATTAGCATGTGGCTAATGTTCCCTCAATTAGCATGTGGCTAATGGTCCCTCAATTAGCATGTGGCTAATGGTCCCTCAATTAGCTTGTGGCTAACGTTCCCTCAATTAGCATGTGGCTAATGTTCCCTCAATTAGCATGTGGCTAATGTTCCCTCAATTAGCATGTGGCTAATGTTCCCTCAATTAGCATGTGGCTAATGTTCCCTCAATTAGCATGTGGCTAATGTTCCCTCAATTAGCATGTGGCTAATGTTCCCTCAATTAGCATGTGGCTAATGTTCCCTCAATTAGCATGTGGCAAATGTTCCCTCAATTAGAATGTGGCTAATGTTCCCTCAATTAGAATGTGGCTAATTATCCATCCTTCATCATTATCCGCGCGTACGCCTAATAGCACGCCTAAATTGGTAAAAAGCATAAATATTTAAGCTTGATTTGTGGTATGGTTTCTTGCGTTGTTTTTTTTTTTTTAAATTGATTTTTTGTACTTAAATTATTAATTTTGAATACATTCCTTTTTATAGATATGCTGCTCTTTAGTATTTTTGTTTGAATAATAATCATACTATTAGACTATTTAAAGAAGGGCCAATAAGTCATGGTCGTATTATGAACGTTTGCTTATCTTTCACAATACAGCTCATGTAGATCTAGATTTTAAAAATATTTTTTTATACGCAACAGCAGAGTCGTAGCTGGGGGGTGCAGCGACAGATCGTTTTCTAACGGTAACCTGGGTCTTCTAGTATTTTTTAAATGTTGTGAAACTGCTCCCTCCAGATGGTCATAAAAATCCGTACCTCCCTCTTTAACTAACCAACCATTCTATTTTCCTTTAACAGTTGGTTCTCTAACTATCCGCGGTTTAACTAAAAAAAACAAAAAATTTGTAAGCTAACCTGCCGGATTTAAATGGTTATTTAATAGCACGCCAAAAAGTTTTATTTGCCAGATAAAATTACTGGGAAATTGCGACGGAATATTTACCTTATTTTATTGCGTGTCGTAAAAGTGTGCGTCTCGACAAAAACAGAGATATTCAATTTCTAGCATGACGTAACTGTGGGTAATGTGCAACATATGGGATCTGGCGGACACCGCCACAACCACCAGACTCACACACACTGCACGTCCACAGAGAAGCTGGCGGACACCGCCACAACCACCAGACTCACACACACACACTGCACGTCCACAGAGAAGCTGATGACATCATTAGAGCCAGCGATACACTACACGTTCAATATTTCCTGTCTGTTCCACGGTACACGCAAGTCGACTGGTGGCTGCCTGACGTCATAAGGCAGACAATCCAAGACCAAGTTCGCCACATTTGCTATGGGGTGTACAGCTCACGTGACTAAAGGTGTGATGGGGTGTACAGCTCACGTGGCTAAAGGTGTGATGGGATGTACAGGCCACGTGACTGACTGAAGGTGTGATGGGGTGTACAGCTCACGTGACCAAAGGTGTGATGGGGGTGTACAGCTCACGTGACTAAAGGTGTGATGGGGTGTACAGCTCACGTGACCAAAGGTGTGATGGGGGTGTACAGCTCACGTGACTAAAGGTGTGATGGGGTGTACAGCTCACGTGACTAAAGGTGTGATGGGGTGTACAGCTCACGTGACTAAAGGTGTGATGGGGGTGTACAGGCCACGTGACTGACTGAAGGTGTGATGGGGTGTACAGCTCACGTGACTAAAGGTGTGATGGGGGTGTACAGGCCACGTGACTGACGGTGTGATGGGGTGTACAGCTCACGTGACTAAAGGTGTGATGGGGTGTACAGCTCACGTGACTAAAGGTGTGATGGGGGTGTACAGCTCACGTGACTAAAGGTGTGATGGGGTGTACAGCTCACGTGACTAAAGGTGTGATGGGGTGTACAGCTCACGTGACTAAAGGTGTGATGGGGGTGTACAGGCCACGTGACTGACTGAAGGTGTGATGGGGTGTACAGCTCACGTGACTAAAGGTGTGATGGGGTGTACAGCACACGTGGCTAAAGGTGTGATTGGCTGTACAGGTCACATGACTCGAGTTCAACATCTTGATTCTGTAAACCCTTAAGGACCGATGTCTTTATGTGATTACTTCAAGAAAAAAATTATTTTCCCTTTTTTGGGGTTGCAACAATCTCAGGGGTGGGGGTGGAGGGGGAGGGAGGAGGAGAGAGAGGCTCTGCAAAGCTATTTTTGAGTCCAGATATAAAATTGTTTTAAATCGATTTCCGGAGATCTAAAAGGGTAAGCTAAAATAAAAAACAAGTTTAAATAAACCGGGAGTGATCTCCCCTAAACTTTCTCGAATATTCTTATATAAAATAACAGGGGATGGGAACTCGGGCTATAGACGTGATTTTTAATCCATTTTCTACACTAAATACTTAAAGTTTTAAAAATAGAATAAAATCTCGTAGACAAAAGATTGCACACCAAGTGAACGCCAAATTAAAAAAGTGCATAATAGTGCGCAATATTATTAGTACTTTAAAAATTTACATTAGTTTTTTGAGAAATCGAAAGTAGCATAAATTAGTACTTCCGGGCAACGGAAATTACTCAAAATTTGAAAGAAGGTAGAGAATTAGATTTTATACTTACATGTGAAATGAAATTTCATTTATCTATCTGAAATAGTACTCAAGTTATAGGCTTTTGAAAAATTCAAAGTAAAAAAGTACCACTTCCGGTTATCGGAAATCGCTCAAAAGTTGATACGGATCTACGATTTTGATAAAATACTTATATATGAAATTTCATCAACCTAGCTGTAACGGTACTCATGTTATCGTGTTTACACACGGACAGACAGACACACAGACATAATTGCAAAGCCCAGTTTTTCAGACTGGATTACGCATAAAACCTCTTAATTTTGATAAATCTGAATTGATAATTTTTGCCCGATTAAAATAAGTCCTCTATACTTTGGATGTGATGAAGGACTGAGGTGTAATACGGTGAAAATTGTTAAAATTTCAAGTGATTTTTGTGCACGATTACAATACTTTCTCTATACTTCGTATATACGAGAAAGTAAAGTGTTTTTTAAATGGCACAATTTATAAAAGTTTAAAAGCTTATTATCTCATCTCTTTCACGATGTTAAAAAAAATAATGTTAGAATTCAATTAAAATAGGCCCCTTCTTGCCTTACCCGAGCTAGGCGTGAGCCCTGTGGTCTCTGTATCACGGTGGGCTGAAATTGTTCTCAAACACTAGACCAGCCGGTTTTTAGTTCTTTATTTTTAGTTCTTTATGGCTTTAGAAGGAATGTATGGTGTAAGAAATGTAAGCAGCTGAATGTGAATGGTGTAATAAATGTAAGCAGTTACATGTGAATGGTGTAAGAAAGATGTAATGATGTAACCAAGATTGATGTATTAAGAAGTACAAACTTATCATGTAACAGTAGCTACATTACAATATATCAGACAACATGTTGATACAGCAATATATCAGACATGTTGATACAGCAATATATCAGACAACATGTTGATACAGCAATATATCAGACATGTTGATACAGCAGTATATCAGACAACATGTTGATACAGCAGTATATCAGACAACATGTTGATACGGCAATATATCAGACAACATGTTGATACAGCAATATATCAGACATGTTGATACAGCAATATATCAGACAACATGTTGATACAGCAGTATATCAGACAACATGTTGATACAGCAATATATCAGACACGATACAGCAATATATCAGACACGATACAGCAATATATCAGACAACATGTTGATACAGCAATATATCAGACATGTTGATACAGCAATATATCAGACACGATACAGCAATATATCAGAAAACATGTTGATACAGCAATATATCAGACAACATGTTGATATAGCAATATATCAGACATGTTGATACAGCAATATATCAGACAACATGTTGATACAGCAATATATCAGACATGATACAGCAATATATCAGACAACTGTTGATACAGCAATATATCAGACAACATGTTGATACAGCAATATATCAGACAACATGTTGATACAGCAATATATCAGACAACATGTTGATACAGCAATATATCAGACAACATGTTGATACAGCAATATATCAGACATGATACAGCAATATATCAGACATGATACAGTAATATATCAGACAACTGTTGATACAGCAATATATCAGACAACATGTTGATACAGCAATATATCAGACATGATACAGCAATATATCAGACATGATACAGCAATATATCAGACAACTGTTGATACAGCAATATATCAGACAACATGTTGATACAGCAATATATCAGACAACATGTTGATACAGCAATATATCAGACAACATGTTGATACAGCAATATATCAGACAACATGTTGATACAGCAATATATCAGACAACATGTTGATACAGCAATATATCAGACATGATACAGCAATATATCAGACATGATACAGTAATATATCAGACAACTGTTGATACAGCAATATATCAGACAACATGTTGATACAGCAATATATCAGACATGATACAGCAATATATCAGACATGATACAGCAATATATCAGACAACTGTTGATACAGCAATATATCAGACAACATGTTGATACAGCAATATATCAGACTACATGTTGATACAGCAATATATCAGACAACATGTCGATACAGCAATATATCAGACATGTTGATACAGCAATATATCAGACATGATACAGCAATATATCAGACATGTTGATACAGCAGTATATCAGACAACATGTTGATACAGCAATATATCAGACATGTTGATACAGCAGTATATCAGACATGATACAGCAGTATATCAGACAACATGTTGATACAGCAGTATATCAGACATGATACAGCAGTATATCAGAAAACATGTTGATACTGCAGTATATCAGACAACATGTTGATACAGCAATATATCAGACATGTTGATACAGCAGTATATCAGACAACATGTTGATACAGACAATCCCAAGTATTCTGACTAGAGCAACAAGCAGTAAGTCATCTTGTCTGTAATTACTGTAATGAACTAATTAATTGTAGCTTGCTGAGCATCATCAGGGTGTGGCTCCTCTTCAATCACTTGGTAGGGTGGCAGTACTTCTGGCTTTACTAAAGCCATGTGGACAAAACTAAAATGGAAAAATATAAGTTTAGACAAGGCAACATGGCCTTTTCTAATACACCCAATCCCTGTAGCCCATGGCTGTATAGCCAATCCCTGTAGCCCATGGCTGTATAGCCAATCCCTGTAGCCCATGGCTGTATACCCAATCCCTGTAGCCCTTAGCTATACACCCAATCCCTGTAGCCCATGGCTGTACACCCAATCCCTGTAGCCCATGGCTGTATAGCCAATCCCTGTAGCCCATGGCTGTATAGCCAATCCCTGTAGCCCATGGCTGTATAGCCAATCCCTGTAGCCCATGGCTGTATACCCAATCCCTGTAGCCCATGGCTGTATAGCCAATCCCTGTAGCCCATGGCTGTATAGCCAATCCCTGTAGCCCATGGCTGTATAGCCAATCCCTGTAGCCCATGGCTGTATGGCCAATCCCTGTAGCCCATGGCTGTATGGCCAATCCCTGTAGCCCATGGCTGTATGGCCAATCCCTGTAGCCCATGGCTGTATAGCCAATCCTTGTAGCCCATGGCTGTATGGCCAATCCCTGTAGCCCATGGCTGTATAGCCAATCCCTGTAGCCCATGGCTGTATAGCCAATCCCTGTAGCCCATGGCTGTATACCCAATCCCTGTAGCCCTTAGCTATACACCCAATCCCTGTAGCCCATGGCTGTACACCCAATCCCTGTAGCCCATGGCTGTATAGCCAATCCCTGTAGCCCATGGCTGTATAGCCAATCCCTGTAGCCCATGGCTGTATAGCCAATCCCTGTAGCCCATGGCTGTATAGCCAATCCCTGTAGCCCATGGCTGTATAGCCAATCCCTGTAGCCCATGGCTGTATAGCCAATCCCTGTAGCCCATGGCTGTATAGCCAATCCCTGTAGCCCATGGCTGTATGGCCAATCCCTGTAGCCCATGGCTGTATGGCCAATCCCTGTAGCCCATGGCTGTATGGCCAATCCCTGTAGCCCATGGCTGTATAGCCAATCCTTGTAGCCCATGGCTGTATGGCCAATCCCTGTAGCCCATGGCTGTATAGCCAATCCCTGTAGCCCATGGCTGTATGGCCAATCCCTGTAGCCCATGGCTGTATGGCCAATCCCTGTAGCCCATGGCTGTATAGCCAATCCTTGTAGCTCACTGTGGGTTTTTTAAAATGGTTTCATCTACTGACTAGACCAAGACTTACAAATAATATTCACTGTGATGACCGAGACTTACAATATAAGCAGGACAGCATGGTCAACTGCTAGCCCAAAGGCCTCAAGTTCAGATCTCTGTCATCAGTCTGGACTGCAAGCCATCCCAGAGTCCATCCAGCTCTGATGGGTGCCACACAGTTAGGGAAAGGTAGCTGGGAATAGGGCTGACCACACTATCTCTTCATAGGCTGAGGTAAAAAAATATGAGCTCTACTTCATCTGCCCTATGTATCATTAGGTCTGAAAGGGAACTTGACTTACAAGTTATGCTGAGCACGACTTACCACACGAGAGCAGCTATAAGCAGGAGCAGGGCAGCTCCAAGCATGTAGCACAGGCCAGGGTAGATGGCTTGGGTGGCAGGGTACAGCTGGTTAAACAACAGGCTGGCCACAAGGGAGATGACACTTTCAGATGCAGCTATGACACCAAACAAGCGACCTGCACATAGGGAGATGACACTTTCAGATGCAGCTATGACACCAAACAAGCGACCTGCACATAGGGAGATGACACTTTCAGATGCAGCTATGACACCAAACAAGCGACCTGCACATAGGGAGATGACAGATGCAGCTATGACACCAAACAAGTGACCTGCACATAGGGAGATGACAGATGCAGCTATAACACCAAACAAGCGACCTGCACATAGGGAGATGACAGATGCAGCTATGACACCAAACAAGCGACCTGCACATAGGGAGATGACACTTTCAGATGCAGCTATGACACCAAACAAGCGACCTGCACATAGGGAGATGACAGATGCAGCTATGACACCAAACAAGCGACCTGCACATAGGGAGATGACACTTTCAGATGCAGCTATGACACCAAACAAGCGACCTGCACATAGGGAGATGACAGATGCAGCTATGACACCAAACAAGCGACCTGCACATAGGGAGATGACACTTTCAGATGCAGCTATAACACCAAACAAGCGACCTGCACACAGGGAGATGACAGATGCAGCTATAACACCAAACAAGCGACCTGCACATAGGGAGATGACAGATGCAGCTATGACACCAAACAAGCGACCTGCACATAGGGAGATGACACTTTCAGATGCAGCTATGACACCAAACAAGCGACCTGCACACAGGGAGATGACAGATGCAGCTATAACACCAAACAAGCGACCTGCACATAGGGAGATGACAGATGCAGCTATGACACCAAACAAGCGACCTGCACATAGGGAGATGACACTTTCAGATGCAGCTATGACACCAAACAAGCGACCTGCACACAGGGAGATGACACTTTCAGATGCAGCTATGACACCAAACAAGCGACCTGCACATAGGGAGATGACAGATGCAGCTATGACACCAAACAAGCGACCTGCACATAGGGAGATGACACTTTCAGATGCAGCTATGACACCAAACAAGCGACCTGCACACAGGGAGATGACAGATGCAGCTATAACACCAAACAAGCGACCTGCACATAGGGAGATGACAGATGCAGCTATGACACCAAACAAGCGACCTGCACATAGGGAGATGACACTTTCAGATGCAGCTATGACACCAAACAAGCGACCTGCACACAGGGAGATGACAGATGCAGCTATAACACCAAACAAGCGACCTGCACATAGGGAGATGACAGATGCAGCTATGACACCAAACAAGCGACCTGCACATAGGGAGATGACACTTTCAGATGCAGCTATGACACCAAACAAGCGACCTGCACACAGGGAGATGACACTTTCAGATGCAGCTATGACACCAAACAAGTGACCTGCACATAGGGAGATGACAGATGCAGCTATGACACCAAACAAGTGACCTGCACATAGGGAGATGACACTTTCAGATGCAGCTATGACACCAAACAAGTGACCTGCACATAGGGAGATGACAGATGCAGCTATGACACCAAACAAGTGACCTGCACATAGGGAGATGACAGATGCAGCTATGACACCAAACAAGCGACCTGCACATAGGGAGATGACAGATGCAGCTATGACACCAAACAAGCGACCTGCACATAGGGAGATGACAGATGCAGCTATGACACCAAACAAGCGACCTGCACATAGGGAGATGACAGATGCAGCTATGACACCAAACAAGCGACCTGCACATAGGGAGATGACAGATGCAGCTATGACACCAAACAAGCGACCTGCACATAGGGAGATGACACTTTCAGATGCAGCTATGACACCAAACAAGCGACCTGCACATAGGGAGATGACACTTTCAGATGCAGCTATGACACCAAACAAGTGACCTGCACATAGGGAGATGACAGATGCAGCTATGACACCAAACAAGTGACCTGCACATAGGGAGATGACACTTTCAGATGCAGCTATGACACCAAACAAGCGACCTGCACATAGGGAGATGACAGATGCAGCTATGACACCAAACAAGCGACCTGCACATAGGGAGATGACAGATGCAGCTATGACACCAAACAAGCGACCTGCACATAGGGAGATGACAGATGCAGCTATGACACCAAACAAGCGACCTGCACATAGGGAGATGACAGATGCAGCTATGACACCAAACAAGTGACCTGCACATAGGGAGATGACAGATGCAGCTATGACACCAAACAAGCGACCTGCACATAGGGAGATGACAGATGCAGCTATGACACCAAACAAGCGACCTGCACATAGGGAGATGACAGATGCAGCTATGACACCAAACAAGTGACCTGCACATAGGGAGATGACAGATGCAGCTATGACACCAAACAAGCGACCTGCACATAGGGAGATGACAGATGCAGCTATGACACCAAACAAGCGACCTGCACATAGGGAGATGACAGATGCAGCTATGACACCAAACAAGCGACCTGCACATAGGGAGATGACAGATGCAGCTATGACACCAAACAAGCGACCTGCACATAGGGAGATGACAGATGCAGCTATGACACCAAACAAGTGACCTGCACATAGGGAGATGACAGATGCAGCTATGACACCAAACAAGCGACCTGCACATAGGGAGATGACAGATGCAGCTATGACACCAAACAAGTGACCTGCACATAGGGAGATGACAGATGCAGCTATGACACCAAACAAGCGACCTGCACATAGGGAGATGACAGATGCAGCTATGACACCAAACAAGCGACCTGCACACAGGGAGATGACACTTTCAGATGCAGCTATGACACCAAACAAGCGACCTGCACATAGGGAGATGACAGATGCAGCTATGACACCAAACAAGTGACCTGCACATAGGGAGATGACACTTTCAGATGCAGCTATGACACCAAACAAGCGACCTGCACATAGGGAGATGACAGATGCAGCTATGACACCAAACAAGCGACCTGCACATAGGGAGATGACAGATGCAGCTATGACACCAAACAAGCGACCTGCACATAGGGAGATGACACTTTCAGATGCAGCTATGACACCAAACAAGTGACCTGCACATAGGGAGATGACAGATGCAGCTATGACACCAAACAAGCGACCTGCACATAGGGAGATGACACTTTCAGATGCAGCTATGACACCAAACAAGCGACCTGCACATAGGGAGATGACACTTTCAGATGCAGCTATGACACCAAACAAGCGACCTGCACATAGGGAGATGACAGATGCAGCTATGACACCAAACAAGCGACCTGCACATAGGGAGATGACACTTTCAGAAGCAGCTATGACACCAAACAAGCGACCTGCACATAGGGAGATGACAGATGCAGCTATGACACCAAACAAGCGACCTGCACATAGGGAGATGACACTTTCAGAAGCAGCTATGACACCAAACAAGCGACCTGCACATAGGGAGATGACAGATGCAGCTATGACACCAAACAAGCGACCTGCACATAGGGAGATGACACTTTCAGATGCAGCTATGACACCAAACAAGCGACCTGCACATAGGGAGATGACACTTTCAGAAGCAGCTATGACACCAAACAAGCGACCTGCACATAGGGAGATGACACTTTCAGATGCAGCTATGACACCAAACAAGCGACCTGCACATAGGGAGATGACAGATGCAGCTATGACACCAAACAAGCGACCTGCACATAGGGAGATGACAGATGCAGCTATGACACCAAACAAGCGACCTGCACATAGGGAGATGACAGATGCAGCTATGACACCAAACAAGCGACCTGCACATAGGGAGATGACAGATGCAGCTATGACACCAAACAAGCGACCTGCACATAGGGAGATGACAGATGCAGCTATGACACCAAACAAGCGACCTGCACATAGTGAAGACTTGGTAAACACACATTAGGAAAAGAAACCAATCAACTCTTCCTACTAGACAAGATGAGCTTAAATAATCAACCTGATGCTATCAGTGGCGGATCTAGGAAAAAAGGGCCACCCTGGAAAAAAAATGTTTTTAGGCCCCCCCCCCATATATATATATATATATATATATATATATATACATACATATATACATACATACATACATATATATATATATACAAACGCAAAATTCAAACATAGGATACTCATTGCTAGCCAGTTCGGGTTTTGAAAAAGACATGTTTTTATTTCAATTAATACAAATTACATCATCATGTCATGTGTGTAAATGCATTAGTGTGTTTTTGAAAATCAGTTTTATTAACACGTTTTTATTAACTCAGCTTCGCGTGGATGTGTTTGTTGTTAAAATTGACATCGAAAATTAGCCCACTTCTGATTGCTCTATAGATCTGAAATTTGGCATGCAGGTTACTTTCGCCTAACAATTTCAGATGCAATCATAAAAACTAGCAATTAGAGACCGTAATTAGCTTAATTTAATTACGCCCAAAGGACCATAAAATTGAGGACATGATTTCTAAAGATACCGACAAGACTGGAGGCTTGTTGACACAGTTACTTCGGCCCCAATCGATGTGAGCGCGCTGGCCGTGATCGTATAGTGGTTAGTACTTCGCGTTGTGGCCGCGACAACCCAGGTTCGAATCCTGGGCGCTCAAGATTTTTTTAGTCCGTGTATTTATAAACACTTAGTCAATTCATACTTAATCAAGTCATTAGATAAAGTAGAAAATAAACTATATAAAAAACTTTTTTAAAAAACACGTTTTTCATGTGTAGCAACGGACTAAAAAGGAGAAAATAAAATACTTAAAAAAAACTTTTTAAAAAACCACGTTTTTCTTGTGGACTAAAAAGTAGAAAATAACTATTTTCATACATTTGATGACAAAAAACGTGGGTCGGGCAGATGGGTCGGGAAATTTGATGGTGAACGTACCCACGTTTTTTGTCATCAAATGTATGAAAATAGTTATTTTCTACTTTTTAGTCCACAAGAAAAACGTGGTTTTTTAAAAAGTTTTTTTTAAGTATTTTATTTTATCTTTGCTTTAAGGTCTAGTGTAAGCTAGTCGGTCAAAAGAATATAAAACATGAATGCTTTGTATAAGTAATGGTGTCTCGTGTTATGTTTATTTTTAGTTTTTTTGTATTTATATTATTAGTTTTAAACATATTTCCTTTTTGTACAATGTCATTCTTTAGTATTTTATAAAAAATAAATAATTAAGAGAAGTAATTGCATTTTAATTTGCTTAGTACAAATCTATTAAAAGGAGCTTATGAGCACCCCTATTTGATTGTTTAAAAAGGGAAATAAGTCATGGAAGTGGTTTGAACGTTTGCTTATCTTTGATAAGTTTGATTGTAGGAGAAAGAGGACTCGGCTTTCACAGTGGTTTAAAAACAAAGGGAAAAAGAATATACAAGAGCTGTGGGTGGAGTCTATAGAATAAAGATAATCCAACCGCAGATACGGTAATCTTTTTACAAAACAACCATCAAGTCAAAAATGTCAGAAAATTAATTCTTTTTTAACTATAAAAAATGCATTATGGTCGGCTGTGGGCCCCTAAATGGCGTGCCCCCCCCCCCCCCCCATCTTGATATCTGATGTAAAAGGTAATTGATGTTCTGAGTAGATTGAACTGACCTTGTTCATTAGCAGGTACCAAAGTTGAGGCTGTTGATCTAATCCCAGCAGATGGAATCCCTTTAAACATTCCCACACCAGCAGCTGTAAAAGTCACATCACAGTGGTGGTCTTTTATGTAAGGCTGGCAGAACATGGGGCTTAACATGGGTTTTTAGATGGATGGATCAAATCTTTAACCAACATGTTATAAGGTTTTAAGATGGATGGATCAAATCTTTAACCAACATGTTATAAGGTTTTAAGATGGATGGATCAAATCTTTAACCAACATGTTATAAGGTTTTAAGATGGATGGATCAAGTCTTTAACCATCTTGTTATAAGGTTTTAAGATGGATAGATCAAATCTTTAACCAACATGTTATAAGGTTTTAAGATGGATGGATCAAGTCTTTAACCAACATGTTATAAGGTTTTAAGATGGATGGATCAAATCTTTAACACACATGTTATAAGGTTTTAAGATGGATGGATCAAATCTTTAACCAACATGTTATAAGGTTTTAAGATGGATGGATCAAATCTTTAACCAACATGTTATAAGGTTTTAATTTGGATTTATCAAATCTTTAACCATCTTGTTATAAGGTTTTAAGATGGATGGATCAAATCTTTAACCATCTTGTTATAAGGTTTTAAGATGGATGGATCAAATCTTTAACCAACATGTTATAAGGTTTTAATTTGGATGGATCAAATCTTTAACCAACATGTTATAAGGTTTTAATTTGGATGGATCAAATAATTACCTGACATTTCATAAGGTTTTATGATATAGAAATGTTACTACTAAATCTAAACAAATGTTCCCAATCTAAACAAATGTTCCCACTACATAAAATCTAAACAAATCTAAAATCTAAACAAATGTTCCCACTGCCTAAAATCTAAACAAATGTTCCCACTGCCTAAAATCTAAACAAATGTTCCCACTGCCTAAAATCTAAACAAATGTTCCCACTGCCTAAAATCTAAACAAATGTTCCCACTGCCTAAAATCTAAACAAATGTTCCCACTACCTAAAATCTAAACAAATGTTCCCACTGCCTAAAATCTAAACAAATGTTCCCACTACCTAAAAAAACCATCCACTTGGTGCTTGCCGCCCCCACCAGGATGAAGTCAATGGTGTAGGACACGAGGCCAAACATGACAAGTGGCAGCTCTCTCATGCTGGTCAGTTTCCTCACCAGAGGCAGGAAGGTCAGTAAGATCAGGCCACGCAGGAAGTTGTCCAACCCTCTCAGATAGCCAAACAGCTGTGGAGAGAAGTCCAAATTGTCCTTCAGGTACAGCAGGTTGATGTCCATGTCCCCTAGAAAAACAAAGACCATTTTTAAAAAATTTAAATTATGAGTTTTCACATTGAAATATACATTCATTTCATCTAGTTCATTGTATTCATCTACAAGAGATCCCTCTTAATACTACTGGTCATTACAAATACATAGAACAGGTCAATATAAATATTATAAGTAACTGACAAATACAACAGGTAAAAAATTACTAGGTCAAATACTACACCCCATTACAATTACAACAAGTGATATACCATGTGCCATTACAAAAACAACAGGTGAAATACTAGTGCAGGTCAGATAGTGCTGGTCACCACATGCAATCTACATCTAACCTGATGTACGTAACATTAGGACGTCTATTGCCACAATCACAAGACAAATCTAACCTGATGTACATAACATTAGGACATCTATTCCCACAATCACAAGACAAATCTAACCTGATGTACAAAACATTAGGACGTCTATTGCCACAATCACAAGACAAATCTAACCTGATGTACATAACATTAGGACGTCTATTGCCACAATCACAAGACAAATCTAACCTGATGTACGTAACATTAGGACGTCTATTGCCACAATCACAAGACAAATCTAACCTGATGTACATAACATTAGGACGTCTATTGCCACAATCACAAGACAAATCTAACCTGATGTACATAACATTAGGACGTCTATTGCCACAATCACAAGACAAATCTAACCTGATGTACATAACATTAGGATGTCTATTGCCACAATCACATGACAAATCTAACCTGATGTACGTAACATTAGGACGTCTATTGCCACAATCACAAGACAAATCTAACCTGATGTACGTAACATTAGGACGTCTATTGCCACAATCACAAGACCAAGACAAATCTAACCTGATGTACATAACATTAGGACGTCTATTGCCACAATCACAAGACAAATCTAACCTGATGTACATAACATTAGGACGTCTATTGCCACAATCACAAGACAAATCTAACCTGATGTACGTAACATTAGGACGTCTATTGCCACAATCACAAGACAAATCTAACCTGATGTACGTAACATTAGGACGTCTATTGCCACAATCACAAGACAAATCTAACCTGATGTACATAACATTAGGACGTCTATTGCCACAATCACAAGACAAATCTAACCTGATGTACATAACATTAGGATGTCTATTGCCACAATCACATGACAAATCTAACCTGATGTACGTAACATTAGGACGTCTATTGCCACAATCACAAGACAAATCTAACCTGATGTACGTAACATTAGGACGTCTATTGCCACAATCACAAGACCAAGACAAATCTAACCTGATGTACATAACATTAGGACGTCTATTGCCACAATCACAAGACAAATCTAACCTGATGTACATAACATTAGGACGTCTATTGCCACAATCACAAGACAAATCTAACCTGATGTACGTAACATTAGGACGTCTATTGCCACAATCACAAGACAAATCTAACCTGATGTACATAACATTAGGACGTCTATTGCCACAATCACAAGACAAATCTAACCTGATGTACATAACATTAGGACGTCTATTGCCACAATCAAAAGTAAAAGAGCCGGGAAAACCTTTCTCTCTCTGCGTTGCAGCACACAGTGAAAGGACTGGATGACAAAGTTGAACATCATCTTACAGCAGCCTTCCCCTTGACTGGCTTCACTACTGCTGGGCCCAACATTCTCTAGCCAAGCAACGGAGTAGATGACAGCCAACAGTATGATGAGGCATGCACAGAAAAATGTCCACACATAGCCCAACTGTTCTATCATGATGCCAGACACAAAGATGCCAACAGTGCCTGACAAGTACACCATAGACTGGACAATGCCCACTCTGGTGATTTTACTGGTGGGTGTTGAGATGTGGCCGACATAGCTGAAGACTGACATGAGACAAGCTATGTAGCCCCCAGTCAGTCCATTTATCACCGGCCCAATCAGGATGTAGCCAAGTGAAGCTGACATAAACCTGGCATTCAGTAGTGCAGACAGGTACGCAACAAAGGCGCCAAGACAGGGCAGAATGACTGGAACTTTTCGACCAATTTTGTCTCCAAGAGAACCAAGGAATAGAATAACAACAAAAAATGAAGGTACAGTAACAGCAATGTTAGTTTTAAGAATCCAAAATGATGTTTCTGCACTTATATTATGGAGCTCTTTCAAATGATGATGTTTAAAGGTTTCATTTTGTTCCATAGCCTCACAGAATTCATTGCTGAATTCACTCAAGCAAACTTTGTGCAAAATTAAAAATTGCAGTGTGGGAAAGTAGAGAAAATTGGTAAACATGTAGAGAAATATCACCGGTTCCACTGTGATATTAGCCAAATCAAAGCGACGGCTTCTACTGCCTACAAAAATGTGTCTGGCCATATTGAGCTTCAGTATTCTGAAAAAAAAAATTAAATTTTGTTTTTTAAAAACAAGATGAAGTCTTTTCTAAAAATATTTTTAAACAATAATATTTTTTTAATTAAAAATAAACCATGTCCAGTTTAAAAGGGATGGCTACTTATATTGGTTTGGGAGCAGGACATTTTCCTAAACCCCGCCGTTTCATCTTCCACTAAGCACAACGTCACCAAGTTCGCGGCGCGCGTGACGTCACTTGTCATTAGGTTAATGTTAAAGAAAGAGATACCGCGTAATTAAAAAAAATCAAAACAGGCTCTATGGCGTTGAGACTTTAGCGACGTTTAGCCTGACGAATAGTTCGGTAAATTATATTGGTGTTTAATTTATTACAGTGGCATGCTGTGCTCCCTCTACTATACAAATTCACGTGCTTTTAATTTCTGCAACCTGCTGCTCTGAGACTTTCGGCTCTAAAATGCCCGTGACACCGCGTAAATGCATGTAGGCTCCCAGTCCCACCTATAAACTTCGTTTGTCCTTTAAGCTCCACGCAAAACTTAAAATTAATATGGTGACATAAGTGGCGCTAGTGGTGGTGTCAACAGGGACCCCCTCCCCCCCAAGCTCAGCTCTTAAAGGTGCTCCACACTTCATAAAATTGATGTTCGGATATCGTCGGACTCTGGCGTTTTGCCGACGGCCGTAGTCCTAACGCACCGTCTTAGAGACTGTCCACTGCTAACACTATTTCTATATTAAACTCAAGATTATACTGAGCTCTGGCTTTACATCAGCTGCTGTCGTATTAAGAGTTGATCTTTTGTTATGCCCCATGTCGCGAAACTTACTGTTTTGTTCAATTTTACCTGCAAGTCAATAATTGTCTTGGACTCTTGTCGAATATCATTGCTAGGAGAAACTTGGTTTGAGCCTTATTGTCAGAAGTTATTTCATTTGGAGTCAATATGGTGCGGCCTATTTTCGTCAGTAGGCATTTAGTGGCAGGCCCTTTTTGGCGGGGATGATGTGCTGAGGTTGTAACACCTCTAATGACAACAGGCTTGCAATAGTTATGATCATTTGTTATGAGCAAAGGTATGCATAAAAACGAACGCTTTATGTTACTCATTTTCATTGAGCACAGCTTTATAGAAGTCTTCCATAATTGACGTCATGCATCCTCCCCCGATCACCCCTTCATTATAGGTCATCAATCGCGGTCTTGCGTAAGTTGATGTCACATTGGCATAGCATATGTGACATCGTTTATGGACAACCCCATATAACTCATTTTGGTTATTTGGTATCAACATTTTAACTACAAAGGTTGTTCAAAATGTGTATTGGAGGTAAGGACTTGAAATCTACCATAAATGACATCACGCACTTTAGGGGTGGAGTAACTGGATTTGAGACGACGTTTTACGCGGGAAAGGGGAGGGGTAAGAAACGTGAAACGTTATGTATTTCGCCTAATACAAAAAATGCTGAAAAAAAAATTCTTTTTCGTTAGAATTGTGGCTTGACTTTTAAACAGGCAGGGCAAAAAGGTAATTTTCGACATTACGACTATTTCGTGACGGCGAAAATGGGGGGAGGGGGGGGGGGGTGGTGGTTAAGGTGAAGAGAGGTAAAAAACGTGATGTCATTTATGATTAAATCATTAATTAAAGGAAAAAAGCATGAACATATGAAATGAAAATAGCAAACAAAAAATAACACAAACAATAACAATTAGAACTGGTGTTTATTGTCACGCAATTAAATTGTTTAAAGGGCAGAATTAAAAAAAAACACATGCTTTGTATTTAAACACAAGACAATCGTATTAGCAAACATCAATATATTTCCATACATATAGAAATTAAAGGGAAATGACTCAAAATAATATTTTCTTAAGATGGCCGCTGATTTTAATAGCAAATTTAGTATCTGGAACATCGTTGGGTAATCTATCGTTTTAGGTACGTAAAATCGCCCGCGGCTAGTAATGTATGAAAAAGTTACCTCATATTGTCAAGGCTTTAATAGATGTATACTGTGATATATTTGTGTCAAATATTATAGATAAATGAATAAAAACCTAAATCAATGGCTAAACATATCAATATGCAAGAAATTAACTTTAAACAGCAGTGTTTGCCAGCAAGATTTGCTATATAAACAGCAGCCATTTGTAAAATAGAGTGGCTTCCCCTGAATCTGCTATAAGTTTACATGAAAACAAACTTAAACAAGATGTCTGCTATAGTAAATGAGCATGGATGCATCTGTTGGAAACATCGCTAGTCGTCATTTATTACTGAAAAGTTTTAATTCAATTGTTTAAAAACAGATACATAAATGAAACAAGGAAACATTTTTGTATTTTTCAAAACATAAATCATCCTCAAAATGTGAAATAATTATTAAAATTTAAGGAGTCACCTGTTTTTCACATTACTAGTCGCGGGCGATTTTTACGTACCTAAAACGATAGATTACCCATCGTTGTTAAACCTTAATAATTTCATGACATTTTTATTGATTTAACCCTTAACTGTGGTTCAATATTCAATTATCTTTAGTATTTTAGTAGAATATACAAAAATATAATTAATATATAAATATATTCATTTAGGCCTATTATTTATTAAATATTAAATTAAATAAAATTAAATAATATTTACTATTTAGTAGGCCTAATTTAAGTAATTTTCAGCCATCATATAATACCATATTATTATTATCGGTAATCTATCGTTTTGGGTACGTAAAATCGCCCGCGGCTATTTATGTACGAAAACGTTACCTCATTGTCAAGGCTTTAATAGAAGTATATTGTCATACTTGTGTGTCAAATATTATAGATAAATGAATAATAAACCTAAATCAATGGCTAAATATATCGATACAGGCCAGAAATTAACTTTAAACAGCAGTGTCTGAGAGCAAGATTTGCTATATAAACAGCAGCCATTTGTAAAATAGAGTGGCTTCCCCCTGAATCTGGCGCTAAAAGCTTATAAATATAAAACTTAGACAAGATGGCTGCTATAGTAAATGAGCATGGTTGCATCTGTTGGAAACATCGCTAGTCTTCATTTATTACGGAAAAGTTTTAATTCAATTGTTTAAAAACAGGTACATAAATGAATCAAGGAAACATTTTTGAATTTTTTAAAACATAAATCTTCCTCAAAATGTGAAATAATTATTAAAATTTAAGGAGTCACCTGTTTTTCACATTACAAATCGCGGGCGATTTTACGTACCCAAAACGATAGATTACCTTATTATCCCTACATTACTAGCGACGGCCGAATTGATTACGCTAAAACGATAGATTACCTTTTTTATTTTCTGGACGTCGTGATGTAGATTCTTTATAGATCTAGAATCTAGGTCTAGACCTAGAATAGATCTAGATCTAGATCTAAGTCTATGTAGAATCTAGACTAGTCGATTGCATTGGTCATGAAAAACAGCTGCCATTTTTATGAAAAAGTTATTTAGAGTAGCCCCCCTCGATAACCTCGTCGATTCTCCTGGCGAAATATATGATGGTCTTACTTATTATATTAAAGTAGGGCCTACTGAGGTGTTATTTTTTTTCTAAAAAAATAAAATAAAAGGATGTGACAAAATGAATTTTAGAATTTTTAAGACTAAGTGGATCTAGGCCCTGGTCCAAACCGATTAAAAAAACTGTTAAAAATGCTATGATTGATTATGAATAGCTAGATCTAAATCAAGTAAATGAATATAATTATTATAATTTATTCAATATTAATATGTCAAGAACTCTTGATTTTAAAACTGTGGATGCCAAAACAGTAAAACATTTATGTGTAGGCCTATGTGAATGTAGTTTTAAGGTGGTATTTTAACTCACTAGGTTGGACACACATTTGTAGCTCACTGTCCAAACGTTTTTCAAACCTCAGAAATAAGTTGGCTGCATGAATTATCTGATTGGCAATGGGCTGGGCCTACCTCATATTTTGATAAAATTTAAAAACCCAGTTTGTGAACATTTGAAAAAAAAATCGTCTTTAACTTATAGATACAAAAGCATAGGGCATTATAGGGTCTACGCCTATTATTATGATAATGAACTCAACATGGTGACATTGTCTAGCTGGCCTCAATATGGTGACAGAGAAGAGACTGACAGGGTTATGACAGAGGAGCTAGCTCCCATGTAATAATGTTTAACAACTTATGAAATATTTTATCACAAAACTATTCAATGCAAAACTACACATGAGTTTGAAGTCTAGGACATTCCCCCCCCCCCCCCTCCAGAGCAATTATCCCCCTAGGGAATTACCCCTCACCCCCCATGCTCAAGAATCCTGACTCCAACTCGAGACCTATATTTTACCTTAAGCTTAAACCTAAGCATTTACCTCAGCCTAATACTAAACCCTACCATTAGTTAAAGCCTAACCCACACTGTTCCTTAAGCTATGACTGGGGAGGTAGTGCCCTGTCACCTCCCCCCCCCCCCCCCCTTGTTAGGAAAATAATGAGCAATTTTTAATTTAGACAAAGTGTTTTCTTAAAAAGAAAAGAAAACCGTTACTGTTGTTTATGTTTTATTTACCCACAATTCTTGCAATAAAATACAGTATGCTAAAAGAAATGTAGTGCTATTTGCTCTTCTCACACAAGCCAGGTACACCACTTACCTGAGTTACTCCACATCAATAATTCACCTAAAACAATACTGGAATACATTGGTGCATACATTTTTACAATAAGATAATTTTATCATATAAAAATATAAAGAATATTTTGTTCCATTTTAATACACTGACATAAACACATTTGTGAAATGCTTTGAAAAGAGACATTTATCATCTTTTTTTTGTCTGAAAATGTGGGAACCCCAACTAACGAATAACTAGAGTGGGCCCCCAGCTAATGACTAACTATGGAGTGCGGCCCCAGCTAATGACTAACTATGGAGTGAGTTCCAGCTACCTCATTTGTCTGGACTATATGACTACATCATATGACTACATCATTTGTCTGGACTATATGACTACATCATTTGTCTGGACTATATGACTACATCATTTGTCTGGACTATATGACTACATCATTTGTCTGGACTTTATGACTACATCATATGACTACATCATTTGTCTGGACTATATGACTACATCATTTGTCTGGACTATATGACTACATCATATGACTACATCATTTGTCTGGACTATATGACTACATCATTTGTCTGGACTATATGACTACATCATTTGTCTGGACTTTATGACTACATCATATGACTACATCATTTGTCTGGACTATATGACTACATCATTTGTCTGGACTATATGACTACATCATATGACTACATCATTTGTCTGGACTATATGACTACATCATTTGTCTGGACTATATGACTACATCATTTGTCTGGACTTTATGACTACATCATATGACTACATCATTTGTCTGGACTATATGACTACATCATTTGTCTGGACTATATGACTACATCATTTGTCTGGACTATATGACTACATCATTTGTCTGGACTATATGACTACATCATTTGTCTGGACTATATGACTACATCATTTGTCTGGACTATATGACTACATCATTTGTCTGGACTATATGACTACATCATTTGTCTGGACTATATGACTACCTCATTTGTCTGGACTATATGACTACATCATTTGTCTGGACTATATGACTACATCATTTGTCTGGACTATATGACTACATCATTTGTCTGGACTATATGACTACATCATTTGTCTGGACTATATGACTACATCATTTGTCTGGACTATATGACTACATCATTTGTCTGGACTATATGACTACATCATTTGTCTGGACTATATGACTACCTCATTTGTCTGGACTATATGACTACATCATTTGTCTGGACTTTATGACTACATCATTAGACTACATCATTTGTCTGGACTATATGACTACATCATTTGTCTGGACTATATGACTACATCATTTGTCTGGACTATATGACTACATCATTTGTCTGGACTATATGACTACATCATTTGTCTGGACTATATGACTACATCATTTGTCTGGACTATATGACTACATCATTTGTCTGGACTATATGACTACATCATTTGTCTGGACTATATGACTACATCATTTGTCTGGACTTTATGACTACATCATATGACTACATCATTTGTCTGGACTATATGACTACATCATTTGTCTGGACTATATGACTACATCATTTGTCTGGACTATATGACTACATCATTTGTCTGGACTATATGACTACATCATTTGTCTGGACTATATGACTACATCATTTGTCTGGACTATATGACTACATCATTTGTCTGGACTATATGACTACATCATTTGTCTGGACTATATGACTACATCATTTGTCTGGACTATATGACTACATCATTTGTCTGGACTATATGACTACCTCATTTGTCTGGACTATATGACTACATCATTTGTCTGGACTATATGACTACATCATTAGACTATAGCCTAACTAACAGCAATGCATATAACAACTCAGCATGTACAAGTAGACCAAGAGAAACCACCAATCTGTGCTATCAGCCACTAAGATACAAGTAGATATGTACATTCATGGCAAGGCAGTTATCACAGATAAAAAAAAATGGTTATATTGAGTTACTAATGTCAGCACATTGACAATAGCGTTTCTGGTGCAATGATATATTTACAAAAATAAATGAGACGAATAAAATACAGTACCAAACTTATTTTATCAATAAATTAGCTGTAACAGACTGGTCCTCATTAACCCTTTCATGTCCTATGACATCATGACATAACATTGTTTTATTTTTTATAAAATAATGTTAGAAGCTCAATTTTAGTAGTTAATTCGCAATTTAGAAAGCTGTTGTGGTGTTTTTAAAATTGATTAATATTCTTTGACGACCAAAATCAGTAGCTATTTTAGGGGGGGGGGGGGGGGGGGGAGGGAGGGTTTCAGACATCATTATGATATCATTTTAGGTGGGGGTGTCAGGCTCTCTGTGACTTGTGATGGGGGGTTAAAGATAGTCTTTAAAAGCTTGATGTCATTCATGGATGACCACATAATGTTTTTAATGCCTGGACAATAAAGGGTTAAGCTTGTCAATCAAATAAAGACAAAATTCAAGCCTGAAGCCCCAGCTGTCAACAGAACGTGTCTAAAAAAAAACAGATGTTGACATTGCTCATATCATGTAGATGCCATGGTAAGCATTAATGTTTGTATACAAACAAAACTTGGGCTCCAAGTTTAGCGTTAAATTGACACCCCCTAAAAGTTGGGCTCTAAGTTTAGAGTTACATTGACACCCCTAAAAGTTGGGCTCCATGTTTAGATGCTCAGTGTGTGAAGTTTCAGGCAGTAAAACTTTAAACAAACTGCGGAGCCTCTCCAGTGAGTCATCCAATCCATAGATGGGGTTAGACCTCTGTGTCCAGACTTCCTTGAACTGTTTGATTAGCTCCAGCAACCTGAGGGAAATAAATGGTGGCTCAATCATTCAGACCGTCAATGTCGGGGCAAGGGTAGGCACTTGATAGAAATAAATTATAGATTTTTACAGTCTTTCTGCATTAGATATAAATACTGTTTTATAAACAATACACCTTTTTTCACTGCTAAGTCAGGTGCTACAAAACAACGCTTGTACAGTGACAGTATTCATTTAACTAAAATTGGAAGCAGTATTCTTGCTAAAAAAAAATAAAGTATCCCCAAAGAGCCGTCAGCTTAACAGATAAAGACCAGGTGCACCTTTCAAACGTAAAAGGTACAAAGGCTGATTTGGTTTATGAATCTTCGACTGTTGATATGCCACCAACAATATCTTCAGGTCAATTGAACTCTAGCCCAGACAATGTTTTGCTGAACCAAGGCTTACACCACTTAATGGGCTTTAGCCCTTTGTTGCTACATCAAGCTCTAATGTTGTCGCTTAAGCGCCTTCCTGTTGAAATTAATGAAGCTCATTGACTGGAACCTAACACATTTTCACTTACTATTCTCTACTAGTTTAGCTCACGGTACTATATTAAATATAATACATATTGATACAATTGTATATTTATATAGCAATATATATATATATATATATATATATATATATATATATATATATATATATATATATATATATATATATATAAATATATATATATAAATATATATATATATATATATTGAGAGAGAGAAAAAGAGAGAGAAAGACAGTAAGGCAGTGTGAAGAGCAGCGAGTGTTTGTTTTTACTGGGTGACAAAGTGTGTAATTGTAAGACAGTTATACTGATTCTGTTTAAATTAGTTCATTATATTGATTTTTGTTTATAACATCTCTTATTCATTGATATTTTATTATCTTTATGCATTGTCTATTTTCATCATCCTGGCCCTCACAAAGTGGGCTAAAATTGGGCCATTTAAATATTTTCCAAATATTTAATAAACACCATGAAGTTCTAAAAATTTTAAACAATTCCAACAATCCTTTCCATATCTTTGGTTTCTCTGAAACTCGATTACAATCTTTTATAAATGATGATGAGATATCCATCTCTGATTATAACCTAATACGCAGAGACCCATCCTTACACAAAGAAACTGGCCTTTGTGTCTATGTCTATGACAGCCCTACAGACAGCCCCACAGACAGCCCCACACAGCCCTACAGACAGCCCCACACAGCCCTACACACAGCCCTACACAGCCCTACAGACAGCCCCACACAGCCCTACAGACAGCCCCACACAGCCCTACAGACAGCCCCACACAGCCCTACAGACAGCCCCACACAGCCCCACACAGCCCTACAGACAGCCCCACACAGCCCCACAGACAGCCCCACAGACAGCCCCACAGACAGCCCCACAGAGCCCTACAGACAGCCCCACACAGCCCTACAGACAGCCCTACAGACAGCCCCACACAGCCCTACAGACAGCCCCACACAGCCCTACAGACAGCCCCACACAGCCCTACAGACAGCCCCACACAGCCCTACAGACAGCCCCACACAGCCCTACAGACAGCCCCACACAGCCCTACAGACAGCCCCACACAGCCCTACAGACAGCCCCACACAGCCCTACAGACAGCCCCACACAGCCCCACAGACAACCCCACACAGCCCTACAGACAGCCCCACACAGCCCTACAGACAGCCCCACACAGCCCTACAGACAGCCCCACACAGCCCTACAGACAACCCCACACAGCCCTACAGACAGCCCCACACAGCCCTACAGACAGCCCTACAGACAGCCCCACACAGCCCTACAGACAGCCCCACACAGCCCTACAGACAACCCCACACAGCCCTACAGACAGCCCCACACAGCCCTACAGACAGCCCCACACAGCCCTACAGACAGCCCCACACAGCCCTACAGACAGCCCCACACAGCCCTACAGACAGCCCCACAGACAGCCCTACAGACAGCCCCACACAGCCCTACAGACAGCCCCACAGACAGCCCCACACAGCCCTACAGACAGCCCTACAGACAGCCCCACACAGCCCTACAGACAGCCCCACACAGCCCTACAGACAGCCCTACAGACAGCCCCACACAGCCCTACAGACAGCCCCACACAGCCCTACAGACAGCCCCACAGACAGCCCCACACAGCCCTACAGACAGCCCCACACAGCCCTACAGACAGCCCCACACACCCCTACAGACAGCCCCACACAGCCCTACAGACAGCCCCACAGAGCCCTACAGACAGCCCCACAGACAGCCCCACACAGCCCCACAGACAGCCCCACACAGCCCTACAGACAGCCCCACACAGCCCCACAGACAGCCCCACAGACAGCCCCACACAGCCCTACAGACAGCCCTACAGACAGCCCCACACAGCCCTACAGACAGCCCCACACAGCCCTACAGACAGCCCCACACAGCCCCACACAGCCCTACAGACAGCCCCACACAGCCCTACAGACAGCCCCACAGAGCCCTACAGACAGCCCCACAGACAGCCCTACAGACAGCCCCACACAGCCCTACAGACAGCCCCACACAGCCCTACAGACAGCCCTACAGACAGCCCTACAGACAGCCCCACACAGCCCTACAGACAGCCCCACACAGCCCTACAGACAGCCCCACACAGCCCTACAGACAGCCCCACACAGCCCTACAGACAGCCCCACACAGCCCTACAGACAGCCCTACAGACAGCCCCACACAGCCCTACAGACAGCCCCACACAGCCCTACAGACAGCCCCACACAGCCCTACAGACAGCCCTACAGACAGCCCCACACAGCCCTACAGACAGCCCCACACAGCCCTACAGACAGCCCCACACAGCCCTACAGACAGCCCTACAGACAGCCCTACAGACAGCCCTACAGACAGCCCTACAGACAGCCCCACACAGCCCTACAGACAGCCCCACACAGCCCTACAGACAGCCCCACAGAGCCCTACAGACAGCCCCACAGAGCCCTACAGACAGCCCCACACAGCCCTACAGACAGCCCCACACAGCCCTACAGACAGCCCCACAGACAGCCCCACACAGCCCTACACAACCCCACACAGCCCTGCAGACAGCCCCCACACAGCCCTACAGACAGCCCTACAGACAGCCCCACACAGCCCTACAGACAGCCCCACACAGCCCTACAGACAGCCCTACAGACAGCCCTACAGACAGCCCCACACAGCCCTACAGACAGCCCCACACAGCCCTACAGACAGCCCCACACAGCCCTACAGACAGCCCCACACAGCCCCACAGACAGCCCCACAGACAGCCCCACACAGCCCTACAGACAGCCCCACACAGCCCTACAGACAACCCCACACAGCCCTACAGACAGCCCTACAGACAGCCCCACAGAGCCCTACAGACAGCCACACACAGCCCCACACAGCCCTACAGACAGCCCCACACAGCCCCACAGACAGCCCCACACAGCCCTACAGACAACCCCACACAGCCCTACAGACAGCCCTACAGACAGCCCCACAGAGCCCTACAGACAGCCCCACACAGCCCCACAGACAGCCCCACACAGCCCTACAGACAGCCCCACACAGCCCCACAGACAGCCCCACACAGCCCTACAGACAGCCCCACACAGCCCTACAGACAGCCCCACAGACAGCCCCACACAGCCCTACAGACAGCCCCACACAGCCCCACAGACAGCCCCACACAGCCCTACAGACAGCCCCACACAGCCCCACAGACAGCCCCACACAGCCCCACAGACAGCCCCACACAGCCCCACAGACAGCCCCACACAGCCCTACAGACAACCCCACACAGCCCTACAGACAGCCCTACAGACAGCCCCACAGAGCCCTACAGACAGCCCCACACAGCCCTACAGACAGCCCCACACAGCCCTACAGACAGCCCCACACACAGCCACACACAGCCCTACAGACAGCCCCACACAGCCCTACAGACAGCCCCACACACAGCCACACACAGCCCTACAGACAGCCCCACACAGCCCCACACAGCCCTACAGACAGACCCACACAGCCCTACAGACAGCCCCACACAGCCCTACAGACAGCCCCACACAGCCCCACAGACAGCCCCACACAGCCCCACAAACAGCCCCACAGACAGCCCCACAGACAGCCCCACACAGCCCTACAGACAGCCCCACACACCCCTACAGACAGCCCCACACAGCCCTACAGACAGCCCCACACACCCCTACAGACAGCCCCACACAGCCCTACAGACAGCCCCACACAGCCCTACAGACAGCCCCACACAGCCCTACAGACAGCCCCACACAGCCCTACAGACAGCCCCACACAGCCCTACAGACAGCCCCACACAGCCCTACAGACAGCCCCACAGAGCCCTACAGACAGCCCCACACAGCCCTACAGACAGCCCCACACAGCCCTACAGACAGCCCCACACAGCCCCACACAGCCCTACAGACAGCCCCACAGACAGCCCCACAGACAGCCCCACACAGCCCTACAGACAGCCCCACAGACAGCCCCACAGACAGCCCTACAGACAGCCCCACACAGCCCTACAGACAGCCCCACACAGCCCTACAGACAGCCCTACAGACAGCCCCACACAGCCCTACAGACAGCCCCACACAGCCCTACAGACAGCCCCACACACAGCCCCACACAGCCCTACAGACAGCCCCACACAGCCCTACACAGCCCTACAGACAGCCCCACAGACAGCCCCACACAGCCCCACACAGCCCTACAGACAGCCCCACAGACAGCCCCACACAGCCCTACAGACAGCCCCACAGACAGCCCCACAGACAGCCCCACACAGCCCTACAGACAGCCCCACACAGCCCTACAGACAACCCCACACACAGCCCCACACAGCCCTACAGACAGCCCCACACAGCCCTACAGACAGCCCCACACACAGCCACACACAGCCCTACAGACAGCCCCACACAGTCCTACAGACAGCCCCACAGACAGCCCCACACAGCCCTACAGACAGCCCCACACACCCCTACAGACAGCCCCACACAGCCCTACAGACAGCCCCACACACAGCCACACACAGCCCTACAGACAGCCACACACAGCCCTACAGACAGCCACACACAGCCCTACAGACAGCCCCACAGACAGCCACACAGACAGCCCCACAGACAGCCCCACAGACAGCCCCACACAGCCCTACAGACAGCCCCACAGACAGCCCCACACAGCCCTACAGACAGCCCCACAGACAGCCCCACACACAGCCCCACACAGCCCTACAGACAGCCCCACACAGCCCTACAGACAGCCCCACACAGCCCTACAGACAGCCCTACAGACAGCCCCACACAGCCCTACACACAGCCAGAAGGAGCAGCTTACTTGTTGGCCAGATCTGTGCGTGTGGTGATGGCCAGGTTGCTGATGCCGAAGTTGACCACGCCATATCCTGCTTGATGGTCTGGTTTACGGCCTGACAACACCAGAGCTTTGCCTATCCTACAACAAGTGGGGAACAGGCTCAGATAGTACATTCACACTGGTGACTGGGGGGATGGGGTAAGGAGTAATGGGGTGTGGTGTCATGGGGTAGTGGGGTGTGGTGTCATGGGGTAGTGAGGTGTGATGGGGATGAGGTGTGGTGAGGTGTGATGGGGATGAGGTGTGATGTGATGGGGATGAGGTGTGGTGAGGTGTGATGGGGATGAGGTGAGGTGTGATGGGGATGAGGTGTGATGTGATGTGATGGGGAAGAGGTGTGGTGAGGTGTGATGTGGATGAGGTGTGGTGAGGTGTGATGGGGATGAGGTGTGATGTGATGGGGATGAGGTGTGATGTGATGTGATGGGGATGAGGTGTGGTGAGGTGTGATGGGGATGAGGTGAGGTGTGATGGGGATGAGGTGTGATGTGATGTGGATGAGGTGTGGTGAGGTGTGATGGGGATGAGGTGAGGTGTGATGGGGATGAGGTGTGATGTGATGGGGATGAGGTGTGGTGAGGTGTGATGGGGATGAGGTGTGGTGAGGTGTGATGGGGATGAGGTGTGGTGAGGTGTGATGGGGATGAGGTGTGGTGAGGTGTGATGTGGATGAGGTGTGGTGAGGTGTGATGGGGATGAGGTGTGATGTGATGGGGATGAGGTGTGGTGGGTTGTGATGTGGATGAGGTGTGGTGAGGTGTGATGGGGATGAGGTGTGGTGAGGTGTGATGGGGATGAGGTGTGATGTGATGGGGATGAGGTGTGGTGAGGTGTGATGTGGATGAGGTGTGGTGAGGTGTGATGGGGATGAGGTGTGGTGAGGTGTGATGGGGATGAGGTGTGGTGAGGTGTGATGGGGATGAGGTGTGATGTGATGGGGATGAGGTGTGGTGAGGTGTGATGGGGATGAGGTGTGGTGGGTTGTGATGTGGATGAGGTGTGGTGAGGTGTGATGGGGATGAGGTGTGGTGAGGTGTGATGGGGATGAGGTGTGATGTGATGGGGATGAGGTGTGGTGAGGTGTGATGTGGATGAGGTGTGGTGAGGTGTGATGGGGATGAGGTGTGATGTGGATGAGGTGTGGTGAGGTGTGATGGGGATGAGGTGTGGTGAGGTGTGATGGGGATGAGGTGTGGTGAGGTGTGATGGGGATGAGGTGTGATGTGATGGGGATGAGGTGTGGTGAGGTGTGATGTGGATGAGGTGTGGTGAGGTGTGATGGGGATGAGGTGTGGTGAGGTGTGATGGGGATGAGGTGTGGTGAGGTGTGATGGGGATGAGGTGTGATGTGATGGGGATGAGGTGTGGTGAGGTGTGATGGGGATGAGGTGTGGTGAGGTGTGATGGGGATGTGGTGTGGTGAGGTGTGATGGGGATGAGGTGTGATGTGATGGGGATGAGGTGTGGTGAGGTGTGATGGGGATGAGGTGTGGTGAGGTGTGATGGGGATGAGGTGTGGTGAGGTGTGATGGGGATGAGGTGTGATGGGGATGAGGTGTGGTGAGGTGTGATGGGGATGAGGTGTGATGTGATGGGGATGAGGTGTGGTGAGGTGTGATGGGGATGAGGTGTGGTGAGGTGTGATGGGGATGAGGTGTGATGTGATGGGGATGAGGTGTGGTGAGGTGTGATGTGGATGAGGTGTGGTGAGGTGTGATGGGGATGAGGTGTGGTGAGGTGTGATGGGGATGAGGTGTGATGTGATGTGGATGAGGTGTGGTGAGGTGTGATGGGGATGAGGTGTGGTGAGGTGTGATGGGGATGAGGTGTGATGTGATGGGGATGAGGTGTGGTGAGGTGTGATGGGGATGAGGTGAGGTGTGATGGGGATGAGGTGTGGTGAGGTGTGATGGGGATGAGGTGAGGTGTGATGGGGATGAGGTGTGGTGATGTGATGTGGATGAGGTGAGGTGAGGTGTGATGGGGATGAGGTGTGATGTGATGTGATGGGGATGAGGTGTGGTGAGGTGTGATGGGGATGAGGTGTGGTGAGGTGTGATGGGGATGAGGTGTGGTGAGGTGTGATGGGGATGAGGTGTGGTGAGGTGTGATGGGGATGAGGTGTGGTGAGGTGTGATGGGGATGAGGTGTGATGTGATGGGGATGAGGTGTGGTGAGGTGTGATGTGGATGAGGTGTGGTGAGGTGTGATGGGGATGAGGTGTGATGTGGATGAGGTGTGGTGAGGTGTGATGTGGATGAGGTGTGGTGATGTGATGTGGATGAGGTGTGGTGATGTGATGTGGATGAGGTGTGGTGAGGTGTGATGGGGATGAGGTGTGGTGAGGTGTGATGGGGATGAGGTGTGGTGAGGTGTGATGGGGATGAGGTGTGGTGAGGTGTGATGTGGATGAGGTGTGGTGAGGTGTGATGGGGATGAGGTGTGGTGAGGTGTGATGGGGATGAGGTGTGGTGATGTGATGTGGATGAGGTGTGGTGAGGTGTGATGTGGATGAGGTGTGGTGATGTGATGTGGATGAGGTGTGGTGAGGTGTGATGGGGATGAGGTGTGGTGATGTGATGTGGATGAGGTGTGGTGAGGTGTGATGGGGATGAGGTGTGGTGAGGTGTGATGGGGATGAGGTGTGGTGAGGTGTGATGTGGATGAGGTGTGGTGAGGTGTGATGTGGATGAGGTGTGGTGATGTGGATGAGGTGTGGTGAGGTGTGATGGGGATGAGGTGTGGTGATGTGATGTGGATGAGGTGTGGTGATGTGTGATGTGGATGAGGTGTGGTGAGGTGTGATGGGGATGAGGTGTGGTGAGGTGTGATGTGGATGAGGTGTGGTGAGGTGTGATGGGGATGAGGTGTGGTGAGGTGTGATGGGGATGAGGTGTGGTGATGTGATGGGGATGAGGTGTGGTGATGTGATGTGGATGAGGTGTGGTGAGGTGTGATGTGGATGAGGTGTGGTGAGGTGTGATGGGGATGAGGTGAGGTGTGATGGGGATGAGGTGTGGTGAGGTGTGATGGGGATGAGGTGTGGTGATGTGATGTGGATGAGGTGTGGTGAGGTGTGATGGGGATGAGGTGTGATGTGATGGGGATGAGGTGTGGTGAGGTGTGATGTGGATGAGGTGTGGTGTCTGTGGTGTGCTGCCTGACCTGCAAGCCAGCAGCATGAGCTCAATGGTCAACTGCACCTCTGCCTTGAGCAGGTCACCAAACAAGCACTGGGAGTCTGCAGCAATCAGAGAGGCCTGGCATCTGCGGATGTGCTTGGTCACTTGCTGCATGGACACATTAAGGTCTTTCAACACATCTGCCATTAAGGTCTTTCAACACATCTGCCATTAAGGTCTTTCAACACAACTGCCATTTAGGTCTTTCAACACATCTGCCATTAAGGTCTTTCAACACAACTGCCATTTAGGTCTTTCAACACATCTGCCATTAAGGGCTTTCAACATATCTGCCATTAAGGGCTTTCAACATATCTGCAATTGACACGCTTTCAACACAAGACCATCTGCCCTTAAGTTTGTTAACCACAACTAGATTGAAAGAAATTGTAGGGTTACCTGAAGGGCATCTGTTGAAAGATTTTCTAGCGGAACCCCGTCAGGGTGGGTGAGAAATCTGTAGAGGATGGAGCCCTGTTCTTCAGGTAGGTCGGAGTAGTCATCAGCTGTGACATGGGAGCAACATTAGCAGTGGTCAGTACAGGGGGCCCCAAGCTACATGGGGCCCCAAGGTTCAGGGGGTGATAAACATCACACTGTCTTACATTCAACACATGGCTAAACTCTCAGCTATAACCAGACAGACATGCCAGCCATAACCAGACGTATCAGCCATAACCAGACGTATCAGCCATAACCAATCATACCAGCCATAACCAGAAAACAAAGCTAGGTTTTTCTACATTTTAAGCCAATTTTGAGTGCGTGTGTTGCTTTAATGTTCTGCGACTTGAGAAAAACTTCTCAGACAAATCAGACTTACAGTTTTGGTTGCGTGTGTTGCTTTAATGTTCTGCGACTTGAGAAAAACTTCTCAGACAAATCAGACTTACAGTTTTGGTTGCGTGCCCGCTGTATGGCATAGGTTTCTGCCTTTCCAAGTTCCATAACCACATGCCCTAGAGCAGCGCCTCTATCTTTAAACACATGCTGGTTTAACAGGCTGGGCAGAGATGTTTTGAGGGTACCCTGCACACAATGTAGACAAACATATAGAGGGGGCCCTGCACACAATGGAGACAAACATATAGAGGGGGCCCTGCATACAATGAAGACAAACATATAGAGGGGGCCCTGCACACAATGTAGACAAACATATAGAGGGGGCCCTGCATACAATGTAGACAAACATATAGAGGGGGCCCTGCACACAATGTAGACAAACATATAGAGGGGGCCCTGCATACAATGAAGACAAACATATAGAGGGGGCCCTGCACACAATGTAGACAAACACACAATGAAGACAAACATATAGAGGGGGCCCTGCATACAATGTAGACAAACATATAGAGGGGGCCCTGCACACAATGTAGACAAACATATAGAGGGGGCCCTGCATACAATGAAGACAAACATATAAAGGGTACCCTGAACACAATGGAGACAAACATATAGAGGGGGCCCTGCACACAATGTAGACAAACATATAGAGGGGAGCTTCCCATCAACCCATACAACCCCCCCCATCAGCCCATACAACCCCCCACCAGCCCATACAACCCCCCCCATCAGCCCATACAACCCCCCCCCCCACCAGCCCATACAACCCCCCATCAGCCCATACAACCCCCCCATCAGCCCATACAACCCCCCACCAGCCCGTACAACCCCCCACCAACACGTACAACCCCCACCAGCCTGTACAACCCCCATCAACCCACACAACCCCCCCCCCACCAGCCCACACAACCCCCCACCAGCCCATACAACCCTCATCAATCCACACAACCCACAACCAGCCCGTACAACCCCCCACTAGCCCATACAACCCCCATCAACCCACACAACCCCCCCCCCCCCCCCCACCAGCCCGTACAACCCCCCACCAGCCCGTACAACCCCCCACCAGCCCATACAACCCCCCCACCAGCCCATACAACCCCCATCAACCCATACAACCCCCCACCAGCCAATACAACCCCCATCAACCCCCACCAGCCCATACAACCCCCATCAACCCATACAACCCCCACCAGCCAATACAACCCCCATCAACCCCCACCAGCCAATACAACCACCCATACAACCCCCCACCAGCCCATACAACCCCCCACCAGCCCATCCAACCCCCCACCAGCCCTTACAACCCCCATCAACCCATACAACCCCCCACCAACACGTACAACCCCCACCAGCCTGTACAACCCCCATCAACCCACACAACCCCCCCCCCCCCACCAGCCCACACAACCCCCCACCAGCCCATACAACCCTCATCAATCCACACAACCCACAACCAGCCCGTACAACCCCCCACTAGCCCATACAACCCCCATCAACCCACACAACCCCCCCCCACCAGCCCGTACAACCCCCCACCAGCCCGTACAACCCCCCACCAGCCCATACAACCCCCCCACCAGCCCATACAACCCCCATCAACCCATACAACCCCCCACCAGCCAATACAACCCCCATACAACCCCCACCAGCCCATACAACCCCCATCAACCCATACAACCCCCCACCAGCCCATACAACCCCCATCAACCCATACAACCCCCCCCCCCCACCAGCCCATACAACCCCCCACCAGCCCATACAACCCCCCCACCAGCCCATACAACCCCCATCAACCCATACAACCCCCCACCAGCCCATACAACCCCCATACAACCCCCCATCAACCCATACAACCCCCCCCCACCAGCCCATACAACCCCCCCACCAGCCCATACAACCCCCATCAACCCATACAACCCCCCCCCCACCAGCCCATACAACCCCCCCACCAGCCCATACAACCCCCATCAACCCATACAACCCCCCACCAGCCCATACAACCCCCCCACCAGCCCATACAACCCCCATCAACCCATACAACCCCCCATCAACCCATACAACCCCCCCCACCAGCCCATACAACCCCCCACCAGCCCATACAACCCCCATCAACCCATACAACCCCCCCCCCCACCAGCCCATACAACCCCCCACCAGCCCATACAACCCCCCACCAGCCCATACAACCCCCCCCACCAGCCCATACAACCCCCATCAACCCATACAACCACCCATACAACCCCCCCCCACCAGCCCATACAACCCCCACCAGCCCATACAACCACCCATACAACCCCCCCCCCCCCCACCAGCCCATACAACCACCCATACAACCCCCCACCAGCCCATACAACCCCCATACAACCCCCCACCAGCCCATACAACCCCCCACCAGCCCATACAACCCCCCCACCAGCCCATACAACCCCCATCAACCCATACAACCCCCCCCCCACCAGCCCATACAACCCCCATCAACCCATACAACCCCCCCCCCCCACCAGCCCATACAACCCCCCACCAGCCCATACAACCCCCCACCAGCCCATACAACCCCCCCCACCAGCCCATACAACCACCCATACAACCCCCCCCACCAGCCCATACAACCCCCCACCAGCCCATACAACCCCCCACCAGCCCATACAACCCCCCACCAGCCCATACAACCCCCATACAACCCCCCACCAGCCCATACAACCCCCATCAACCCATACAACCCCCCCCCACCAGCCCATACAACCACCCATACAACCCCCCACCAGCCCATACAACCCCCCACCAGCCCATACAACCACCCATACAACCCCCCACCAGCCCATACAACCCCCCACCAGCCCATACAACCACCCATACAACCCCCCACCAGCCCATACAACCACCCATACAACCCCCCACCAGCCCATACAACCACCCATACAACCCCCCACCAGCCCATACAACCACCCATACAACCCCCCACCAGCCCATACAACCCCCACCAACCTCTTTAGTTTTCTTGTTCCAGGCTAGGCCTGCGGCTGCCAGTATACCCGGCCAAGAGAAGGGCTGGTGGTTGAGGTGACCTTTGCCAGTCCAGTCACAAATGACCAGGCCCAAGGCCCCAGCATTTCTTCTTGCAGCTGATGTTATGTTGCCAACTGCTGCTTCTGGACAGCCTGCCAAACTGGTGTTCATCAAGATGTATCATTGGAACAGGATGTCTAACTGTGACTGTAACTAACTATGCCTGTAACTAACTGTGCCTGTAACTAACTGTGCCTGTAACTAACTGTGCCTGTAACTAACTGTGTACCTGTAACCAACTGTGCCTGTAAGTAACAGGGTGCCTGTAAATGTTACGTAAACTTTACCTGTTCCATGCAGCTGTTCCTGGGCAGACCAAATAGTTAATGCTGAAATGAAAAATTAAAAGTATAAACCAAAAGACAAAAATAAAAGTATAGACCAAATCACAAAAATAACATTATAAAAACCAAATAACAAAAAAAAATTATAAACAAACTGACAAAAATAAAATTATCTATATATATAATTCTCTACATTGATACCATAGAAAACACCACGCAGCTTAGCCACCACCCTCATCCCCACTTGGCAGGTGAGCTGTGGTTCACCCCGAATGTTTACAATCAGAGTTTCTTCCAGACATCTCTTCGGGGGGGGGGGGGGGGGGCAAAGCCCCTTCACCCCGTAAATTTTTTACCGCCCCATCCCCCCCCCCCCCCCCCCGAACGAAATGCAATTTATATAATTTATATAGAAAATATATACTTTTAACAGTGTCCGCCTCCCCGAAGAAAGTCTACCCCCCCCCCCCCCGAAAATTTCAAGTGCCCCCCCCCCCCCCGGAGAAAAAAAGTCTGGAAGAAACACTGTTTACAATTGTAGAGCTGGGGGTTAGTGACGGCTATTAAGGGCAGATAATTATTTAGTATTAAGCAATTTGAAACGGAGGGGAGGTAACAATTTCTGATCGATCTTTTCTTTGTCTGTAAACGGCTGCTTTCAATGGGCGGGAGGGGGGGGGGGGGGCGGGAAGGGGTAGTGTTGAATTCACAAATTATGAATTGCTGATAAGTAGAAATAAAACATCTAGATGGCGGCATATACTACGTCGCGGGTCAGCTTGTAAAAACTAAATGACAAAAATAAAATTATAAAAACCAAATGACAAAAATTAAATCATAAACCAAATGACCAAAATAAAATTATTAAAAACAAATGACCAAAATAAAATGATAAAACCAAAAGATAAACAACTAATATAAGAAGCAATTGACAGCAAATTTATGATAAACTTCATGTACAGGTTTTTTAAAATATAAAACAAAATTAAATTAATCTAATACACACATAAAACAAATTCTAAAATAAACATAAAATATTTTTTTGGCATACCCAAGTTCAGCCAAAGGTGTGCAGAATTTGCTATAGTCATGGTCAGCCTGAAACAAGGTTAACATTCACATTATACAGTGCCTAGATAGCTGAAACAAGGTTAACATTCACATTATACAGTGCCTAGATAGCTGAAACAAGGTTAACATTCACATTATACAGTGCCTAGATAGCTGAAACAAGGTTAACATTCACATTATACAGTGCCTAGATAGCTGAAAAAAGGTTAACATTCACATTATACAGTGCCTAGATAGCTGAAACAAGGTTAACATTCACATTATACAGTGCCTAGATAGCTGAAACAAGGTTAACATTCACATTATACAGTGCCTAGATAGCTGAAACAAGGTTAACATTCACATTATACAGTGCCTAGATAGCTGAAACAAGGTTAACATTAAATATAAATTGTACATGTGTGATGGTCATCGCATGCACTAACAAGACTTTGAGCAATGCACCTCAAAACCACATCACTAATTAATGTACCTGCCCTGTTCTAGAACCCACAGTACTTTCATTGTAAGTTCCTTCATAGGCAGAGATTGTTGCATTATTTTAAAATGGTAAAATTAATAAAATCATCCTAAATACTATAAATATTTAGCTGGGAGTTATTTTGTCTAGGATACTTTGTCCATGGTATCATTTGTCTGAGATCATTTGTCATGGATCAGAGAGGCCATACTTTGACAGCAGAGAGTCAAGAGATGAGAGAGGCCATACTTTGACAGCAGAGAGTCAAGAGATGAGAGAGGCCATACTTAGAGAGTCAAGAGATGAGAGAGGCCATACTTACAGAGTCAAGAGATGAGAGAGGCCATACTTTGACAGCAGAGAGTCAAGAGATGAGAGAGGCCATACTTACAGAGTCAAGAGATGAGAGAGGCCATACTTACAGAGTCAAGAGATGAGAGAGGCCATACTTACAGAGTCAAGAGATGAGAGAGGCCCTACTTTGACAGCAGAGAGTCAAGAGATGAGAGAGGCCATACTTAGAGAGTAAAGAGATGAGAGAGGCCATACTTACAGAGTCAAGAGATGAGAGAGGCCATACTTACAGAGTCAAGAGATGAGAGAGGCCATACTTTGACAGCAGAGAGTCAAGAGATGAGAGAGGCCATACTTTGACAGCAGAGAGTCAAGAGATGAGAGAGGCCATACTTTGACAGCAGAGAGTCAAGAGATGAGAGAGGCCATACTTTGACAGCAGAGAGTCAAGAGATGAGAGAGGCCATACTAAGAGAGTCAAGAGATGAGAGAGGCCATACTAAGAGAGTCAAGAGATGAGAGAGGCCATACTTTGACAGCAGAGAGTCAAGAGATGAGAGAGGCCATACTTTGACAGCAGAGAGTCAAGAGATGAGAGAGGCCCTACTTTGACAGCAGAGAGTCAAGAGATGAGAGAGGCCATACTTTGACAGCAGAGAGTCAAGAGATGAGAGAGGCCCTACTTTGACAGCAGAGAGTCAAGAGATGAGAGAGGCCATACTTTGACAGCAGAGAGTCAAGAGATGAGAGAGGCCCTACTTTGACAGCAGAGAGTCAAGAGATGAGAGAGGCCATACTTTGACAGCAGAGAGTCAAGAGATGAGAGAGGCCCTACTTTGACAGCAGAGAGTCAAGAGATGAGAGAGGCCATACTTTGACAGCAGAGAGTCAAGAGATGAGAGAGGCCATACTTTGACAGCAGAGAGTCAAGAGATGAGAGAGGCCCTACTTTGACAGCAGAGAGTCAAGAGATGAGAGAGGCCCTACTTTGACAGCAGAGAGTCAAGAGATGAGAGAGGCCCTACTTTGACAGCAGAGAGTCAAGAGATGAGAGAGGCCATACTTTGACAGCAAAGAGTCAAGAGATGAGAGAGGCCATACTAAGAGAGTCAAGAGATGAGAGAGGCCATACTAAGAGAGTCAAGAGATGAGAGAGGCCATACTTTGACAGCAGAGAGTCAAGAGATGAGAGAGGCCATACTTTGACAGCAGAGAGTCAAGAGATGAGAGAGGCCATACTTTGACAGCAGAGAGTCAAGAGATGAGAGAGGCCATACTTTGACAGCAGAGAGTCAAGAGATGAGAGAGGCCATACTAAGAGAGTCAAGAGATGAGAGAGGCCATACTAAGAGAGTCAAGAGATGAGAGAGGCCATACTTTGACAGCAGAGAGTCAAGAGATGAGAGAGGCCATACTTTGACAGCAGAGAGTCAAGAGATGAGAGAGGCCATACTTTGACAGCAGAGAGTCAAGAGATGAGAGAGGCCATACTAAGAGAGTCAAGAGATGAGAGAGGCCATACTAAGAGAGTCAAGAGATGAGAGAGGCAATACTTTGACAGCAGAGAGTCAAGAGATGAGAGAGGCCATACTTTGACAGCAGAGAGTCAAGAGATGAGAGAGGCCATACTTAGAGAGTCAAGAGATGAGAGAGGCCATACTTTGACAGCGTACTCCTTGAAGATGAGACCTGGTGGCAGCTGCTGCAGTAGGTTTGTGGTCAGGTCGTGCAGTGGGTAGCCACACAGCTGCAGGGTCTGGTGGGAGCCAATGGGCAGGTGCCTCAGTACGTCGTCCACGCCCAGACTCTCTTCCGTCTGCTCCAGCAGGAAGCTGCTCAGTCTGGGACCAGCACTCACAAACCTGAGCACATCATCAAATCACTCAAACAACCAGCACTCACAAACCTGAGCACATCATCAAATCACTCAAACAACCAGCACTCACAAACCTGAGCACATCATCAAATCACTCAAACAACCAGCACTCACAAACCTGAGCACATCATCAAATCACTCAAACAACCAGCACTCACAAACCTGAGCACCAGTGTTCCCTCTAAGCTGCGCGGCTGCGCGGCCGCGCAGCACTTACAAATATGCCGCGCAGACATTTTCTGATGCCGCGCACAGATTATCAGAACGTCGGGCAAGCCTGATTCACTAAAAAATTGTGGTCATTGGCTTGAATGAAACGACATTTTTAGTGCCTGTTTTGTTAAACAAACAGTCTTTGTGTTTTGGGACATAAATAGAGACCCCGGATATAATTAACTGGCCTCGATCAAGCTAATACTTAAAGTTTCTGACCTCGGTTGTCATAGCACAGGTCTAGTTTATGACTTGCCTCTCACCTGAGCGGGGGACCGATCTAATGTCTGGGTGACACTCCCGCTGCTTGATTTAATGGTTTACCCCAAAACTGACCGCAGCACTGACACCTAATACCGGAAAGGGATTGCGACTACTGGCTGACCATTCAAGGTTTTTTTTATTGCCACTGCCTTCCCCCATCTCCCAACCCCACCCATTTCCTTGATACTTTGACGATTTACCCAAGTCAGATGCAAATTCTACGCTACTAGAGGTGGATGTGTTTTTGCTCTTGGTTTAAGGATTTATATACTTTATATATCCAATTCTTGGGATCATTACGTGCACCTGGATTGAACTGTTTCAGTGTTCACAAACCGGTTTGGTAAATAAGGAATAAAAGTTTACTACTCTGTGCTATTTGAAAATGTTGAAAAGAAAAATGTGTGTAACAAGCGGTAAAACAATGCAGCAAAAAAAAGCGAGAGATTCGTTTAAACTGGAATGGCTCAAAGTTAAAGTGACAACCGATACGCCAGATTCTAAGAATGTTTCAGTTGAATTAGGAAGCATCTATGAATATTCAGATGAGATTGGACTGAAGTGTAAGTTCTGTGCTACTAGTGGGTGTAACAAAACCAACAAAGACAACGAATTCGTCACAGGAAAGCGTTGGGAATCATGGAAGCTTGACTACTGTAAACGTCATTTATTGTCTCGTGTTCATGTAGAAAATGTTGCGATTGTGTACAACCGCTTAAATGGGACTGGTCTTAAACGTCTGCTGGTTGAAACTAACAATGAGCGAGAAGAACGAATTGAACAAAATGAGCGCCAGCGTTCAAACGAGGATCAAGTTCGAATCCTAATGGATAATGTTCTTCTCGCCATTAGGATGAACGCCTCGATGCTGTCGGTACAACTGATTCATAACCACATGGGGAAGTATGTTTCTATACCAGACAGTTGGCGAAGTAAGAACTACGCCTTTGAGTTTGTTGAAGCAATCAACGAGGTGGTTGTAAAGAACATACTGACAGAACTTCGAGTAGCATCGTTTCACACGCTTATAGTTGATGAAAGTACTGACATAACTGTACATAAAATGCTAATCCTTTATTTTAAATTTCGTCCAGTCAATTCTTTACTCTACAAAACCGTTTTTGGTGGAATAATTCAGCTTGCTGCATGTGATGCCTCAGCTCTGGAGGCAGCCATAACACAGTACTACACTGAACATCAACTTGATATGAACCGCATGGTAATGATAACATCAGACGGGGCATCTGTTATGTTAGGCCGTAGGAAGGGATTAGCTGCTTTACTGAAGGCTAAGGTCCCCCATCTTGTTGAACAGCACTGTGTTGCTCATCGAGAAGACTTGGCACTTTCTGACGCTTGGAAAGATGTTAATTTGTTTAAAAATATTGAGGTTCTCTTACGCACGGTTTACACTTTATTTAGTCGATCTTCAGTTAAAAAGGGCGCACTTGAAGAATTGGCCAAGGTGCATGATATGGATGTAATTTCTTTTCGATCAATTCATGAAGTTCGTTGGTTGTCACGTCACTTTGCTGTCAGTGCTTTGGTTAGAAATCTTGATGTTTTAGCTGCCTACTGTGAAGAACAAGTCCAAGACTGCAATGATCCTGTTTGTTGTTATATTTTGAAATCAATAAGAGATCCCCTGTATCAAGTTGCTCTGTATACCGTTAATGATGTATTAACTGAATTAGCTAATCTATCAATGTTGTTGCAGCGAAGTAATTTATCATCTATTGAAGCACATCAATTTTGCATTTCTAAAATACGCAAATTAGAAGCACAATACCTTAGTGAAGATGTTTATTGGAATGATAAGGCCAAGAAAATTTTGAATGAAAACGTAGGAATCGACACAAGACAAATCACACAGTTTATAAGATCAGTCTGCGATCATTTAAATGTAAGGTTTCCAGCAGATGAACTTCAGTTTTGGTCAGCTTTTGATCATACTGGTTTAAAAAATTGTGCATTTGAGTTTGGCGTCAAAGAGATTAAAGAGCTGTGCGGAAAGTACAAAGATGTGTTACAAACAACAAATGAAGAGTCAATTATCACGCAATACAATGACTTCAAATTTCAGATCAGCGAAAAACTCAAATCAGGTTCAGTAAATTCACTATGCGAAATCGCAGGAGTTGCTTTAAACGATGAACAATTTAGCTCACTGGCAAAGTTAATTGACATATGCTGTACTTTTCAAGCATCCAGCGCTGATTGCGAGCGAGGTTTTAGCCTTATGAACAGCATTAAAGTGCAAGCACGAAATAGACTTGAAGCCACACATTTAGGAAATCTAATGCGAATTAAATTATATCTAAATGCTGGAGAGGATGTGGATTTAAAAAAAGCATATAAGGTGTGGAAGCAAGGCAAGGTTAGACGCGAGAAATTGCAATGAATGCCCCTGCAAGGTTAGCTAATTTTGTTTTCAAGTCAGCTTTTTAATATGGTTAACATGTAAAACTGTCGTATTTGTATTACCGTTATGGTATTAACATTATTAACATGATTGCATTACACTAACATAGAAAGTCGACCACATAACCTCTTGTCTAAGTATAACTCTGAAAGTTTTTATTGTGTATTTTATTTTATTTTGATGGTATTCGTATCTTCTTTTAATTGCAATAGTTTCACTAGTCCAAAACATTATTCTATTAATTTATCAAAATGCATGCCTTCATTATTATGCTTAATTGCAAGCCTAAACATACATATTAACTTGCCCAAGTCATTTTTAGCACCGCGCACACAACATATTTTTTGCACACACACTCTTGGTCCTTAGAGGGAACATTGCTGAGCACATCATCAAATCACTCAAACAACCAGCTCAAACCACCCCCACAACTAACCACCCCCACAACTAACCACCCCCACAACTAACCATTCCCACAACTAACCATCCCCACAACTAACCACCCCCACAACTAACCATCCCCACAACTAACCACCCCCACAACTAACCACCCCCACGACTAACCACCCCCACGACTAACCACCCCCACAACTAACCACCCCCACAACTAACCACCCCCACAACTAACCACCCCCACAACTAACCACCCCCACGACTAACCACCCCCACGACTAACCACCCCCACACCTAACCACCCCCACGACTAACCACCCCCACAACTAACCACCCCCACAACTAACCACCCCCACAACTAACCACCCCCACAACTAACCACCCCCACAACTAACCACCCCCACAACTAACCACCCCCACAACTAACCACCCCACAACTACCCCTAAGCTAACAACTTACTCAGCCTGCCCAAAGCAGGAGAGGAAGTCCTGGAAGACGGAGTACAGCTTGGACAGGTCCTCAAACTGTACCCGCGGGCCCACCTCCACCACTGGCACCAGCTGCATCTGACGCTTGGCACAAAACTCAGAAAGGTGGAGGACCTCACTACAAACAAATTGTGACATTAGGTGAAGGACCTCACTACAAACAAATTGTCACATTAGGTGAAGGACCTCACTACAAACAAATTGTCATATTAGGTGAAGGACCTCACTACAAACAAATTGTCACATTAGGTGGAGGACCTCACTACAAACAAATTGTCACATTAGGTGGAGGACCTCACTACAAACAAATTGTCACATTAGGTGAAGGACCTCACTACAAACAAATTGTCACATTAGGTGAAGGACCTCACTACAAACAAATTGTCACATTAGGTGGAGGACCTCACTACAAACAAATTGTCACATTAGGTGGAGGACCTCACTACAAACAAATTGTCACATTAGGTGGAGGACCTCACTACAAACAAATTGTCACATTAGGTGGAGGACCTCACTACAAACAAATTGTCACATTAGGTGGAGGACCTCACTACAAACAAATTGTCACATTAGGTGGAGGACCTCACTACAAACAAATTGTCACATAAGGTGGAGGACCTCACTACAAACAAATTGTCACATTAGGTGAAGGACCTCACTACAAACAAATTGTCACATTAGGTGGAGGACCTCACTACAAACAAATTGTCACATTAGGTGGAGGACCTCACTACAAACAAATTGTCACATTAGGTGAAGGACCTCACAACACACACATTGTCTCATTAGGTGAAGGACCTCACTACAAACAAATTGTCACATTAGGTGAAGGACCTCACTACAAACAAATTGTCACATTAGGTGAAGGACCTCACTACAAACAAATTGTCACATTAGGTGAAGGACCTCACTACAAACAAATTGTCACATTAGGTGGAGGACCTCACTACAAACAAATTGTCACATTAGGTGGAGGACCTCACTACAAACAAATTGTCACATTAGGTGAAGGAACTCACAATAAAAAAATGTCACATTAGGTGGAGGACCTCACTACAAATTGTCACATTAGGTGCAAGACACTCCACTACAAATAAATTGTTACATTAGGTGGAAGACCTTGCAACAAAATAACTGTCACATTAGGTAGTGTTTGACAAATGACACAATGTTTTGTTCAGACAGCTAGTAACGTATGTTAACAAACCTGCGTGTGTAAGGACACTGCCACTGGGGTGGAAGGTTGGAATGGAACCTGTTGTACAGGTACACCTGAAACACAGGTTTAACTTTACAAAACATGCTGTCATGGTTTAACTTTACAAAACATGCCGTCATGGTTTAACTTTACAAAACATGCCGTCATGGTTTAACTTTACAAAACATGCTGTCATGGTTTAACTTTACAAAACATGCCGTCATGGTTTAACTTTACAAAACATGCCGTCATGGTTTAACTCTACAAAACATGCCGTCATGGTTTAACTTTACAAAACATGCCGTCATGGTTTAACTTTACAAAACATGCCGTCATGGTTTAACTTTACAAAACATGCCGTCATGGTTTTACTTTACAAAACATGCAGTCATGGTTTAACTTTACAAAACATGCCGAAATGGTTTAACTGTACAAAACATGCCGTCATGGTTTAACTTTACAAAACATGCCGTCATGGTTTAACTTTACAAAACATGCCGTCATGGTTTAACTCTACAAAACATGCCGTCATGGTTTAACTCTACAAAACATGCTGTCATGGTTTAACCTTACAAAACATGCCGTCATGGTTTAACTTTACAAAACATGCCGTCATGGTTTAACTTTACAAAACATGCCGTCATGGTTTAACTTTACAAAACATGCCGTCATGGTTTAACTTTACAAAACATGCCGTCATGGTTTAACTTTACAAAACATGCCATCATGGTTTAACTTTACAAAACATGCCGTCATGATTTAACTCTACAAAACATGCCGTCATGGTTTAACTCTACAAAACATGCTGTCATGGTTTAACTTTACAAAACATGCTGTCATGGTTTAACTTTACAAAACATGCTGTCATGGTTTAACTTTACAAAACATGCCGTCATGGTTTAACTTTACAAAACATGCTGTCATGGTTTAACTTTACAAAACATGCCGAAATGGTTTAACTTTACAAAACATGCTGTCATGGTTTAACTTTACAAAACATGCTGTCATGGTTTAACTTTACAAAACATGCTGACATTGTTTAACTTTACAAAACATGCTGACATTGTTTAACTTTACAAAACATGCTGTCATGGTTTAACTTCACAAAACATGCCATCATGGTTTAACTTTACAAACCATGCCATCATGGTTTAACTTTACAAAACATGCTGTCACGGTTTAACTTTACAAAACACTCTGTCATGGTTTAAGTTTACAAAACATGCTGTCATGGTTTAACTTTACAAAACATGCTGTCATGGTTTAACTTTACAAAACATGCTGTCATGGTCTAACTTTACAAAACATGCCATAATGGTTTAACTTTACAAAACATGCTGTCATGGTTTAACTTTACAAAACATGCTGTCATGGTTTAACTTTACAAAACATGCTGTCATGGTTTAACTTTACAAAACATGCTGACATGGTTTAACTTTACAAAACATGCTGACATTGTTTAACTTTACAAAACATGCTGTCATGGTTTAACTTTACAAAACATGTCGTCATGGTTTAACTTTACAAAACATGCCATCATGGTTTAACTTTACAAAACATGCTGTCATGGTTTAACTTTACAAAACACTCTGTCATGGTTTAAGTTTACAAAACATGCTGTCATGGTTTAACTTTACAAAACATGCTGTCATGGTTTAACTTTACAAAACATGCTGTCATGGTTTAACTTTACAAAACATGCTGTCATGGTTTAACTTTACAAAATATGCTGTCATGGTTTAACTTTACAAAACATGCCGTCATGGTTTAACTTTACAAAACATGCCGTCATGGTTTAACTCTACAAAACATGCTGTCATGGTTTAACTTTACAAAACATGCCGTCATGGTTTAACTTTACAAAACATGACGTCATGGTTTAACTTTACAAAACATGCTGTCATGGTTTAACTTTACAAAACATGCTGTCATGATTTAACTTTACAAAACATGCTGTCATGGTTTAACTTTACAAAACATGCTGTCATGGTTTAACTTTACAAAACATTCTGTCATGGTTTAACTTTACAAAACTAGAACTGACTGCATGCCTGATTCATTAATTAATCAGACAGTAAATGACAGCATACCTGATTCATTTTAAGCAGGGAAAGTGTGTCCAGATACTCCTCAAGGCTTAACTGCAAAAAAATTTTTTTATATCTACTTCAAACATTGAACTAAAGAAATAAATATAAAAAAATTGACAAAAACCTGCTTTATACATTGTAGCAAGGAAATAGAAACAGCACACAGAGACAAAGGTACTTCACACACTGAGCTGAGAAAATAAAAACACTACACAGGAAGAAAGCTACTTTAAACAGAGAAAATAAAAACACCACACTGGAAGAAAGCGACATCAAAGATTAAACTTGCCATGGCAGTGATTCGCCCCTGAGAAACATCTAACAAAACTCCTCTATGGGCAAGGTCTGGCCAGTCATCAATCTAGAGAGAATAAATGTTCACAGGTATAATCTATAATCTAGAGAGAATAAATGTTCACAGGTATAATCTATAATCTAGAGAGAATAAATGTTCACAGGTATAATCTATAATCTAGAGAGAATAAATGTTCACAGGTATAATCTATAATCTAGAGTAGAGAGAATAAATGTTCACAGGTATAATCTATAATCTAGAGAGAATAAATGTTCACAGGTATAATCTATAATCTAGAGAGAATAAATGTTCACAGGTATAATCTATAATCTAGAGAGAATAAATGTTCACAGGTATAATCTATAATCTAGAGAGAATAAATGTTCACAGGTATAATCTATAATCTAGAGAGAATAAATGTTCACAGGAATAATCTATAATCTAGAGAGAATAAATGTTCACAGGTATAATCTATAATCTAGAGAGAATAAATGTTCACAGGTATAATCTATAATCTAGAGAGAATAAATGTTCACAGGTATAATCTAGAGAGAATAAATGTTCACAGGTATAATCTATAATCTAGAGAGAATAAATGTTCACAGGTATAATCTAGAGAGAATAAATGTTCACAGGTATAATCTATAATCTAGAGAGAATAAATGTTCACAGGTATAATCTATAGCCATAACTTGTTTCAGCTATATTCAGTCATCAATCTAGAGAGAATAAATGTTCACAGGTATAATCTATAATCTAGAGAGAATAAATGTTCACAGGTATAATCTATAGCCATAACTTGTTTCAGCTATATTCAGTCATCAATCTAGAGAGAATAAATGTTCACAGGTATAATCTATAATCTAGCCATAAGTTGTTTAAGCTATATTCAAGCCATAAGTTGTTTAAGCTATATTCAGTCATCAATCTAGAGAGAATAAATGTTCACAGGTATAATCTATAATCTAGCCATAAGTTGTTTAAGCTATATCCAAGCCATAAGTTGTTTAAAGCTATACTGAAGCTGTAAATTGTAAAGCAATGTGTAAAGTCTGATGTAGAGTAAAGAAAAAAGTCTGATGTAGTGTAAAGCAAAAAGTCTGATGTAGTGTAAAGCAAAAAGTCTGATGTAGTGTAAAGCAAAAAGTCTGATGTAGTGTAAAGCAAAAAGTCTGATGTAGTGTACAGCAAAAAGTCTGATGTAGTGTACAGCTAAAAGTCTGATGTAGTGTACAGCTAAAAGTCTGATGTAGTGTACAGCAAAAAGTCTGATGTAGTGTAAAGCAAAAAGTCTGATGTAGAGTAAAGAAAAAAGTCTGATGTAGTGTAAAGCAAAAAGTCTGATGTAGTGTACAGCAAAAAGTCTGATGTAGTGTACAGCAAAAAGTCTGATGTAGTGTACAGCAAAAAGTCTGATGTAGTGTACAGCAAAAAGTCTGATGTAGTGTACAGCAAAAAGTCTGATGTAGTGTAAAGCAAAAATTCTGATGTAGATTAAAGAAAAAAGTCTGATGTAGTGTACAGCAAAAAGTCTGATGTAGTGTACAGCAAAAAGTCTGATGTAGTGTAAAGCAAAAAGTCTGATGTAGAGTAAAGAAAAAAGTCTGATGTAGTGTAAAGCAAAAAGTCTGATATAACTTACCAACATAGTTGGGATGGCCACACCAGTGTCTTCTCTGTAGAGAGCCAGCAGCTGAATGACCGTGGAGATGGCGTAGTTCAGGCTCTCCATATCCCCACAGATAAGTTTCATCTGGAGGCAAGATACAACATGTCTGTAGGAGTCTGCTGCTATAGGAGCTGTGTGCTACTACAGGAGCTGTGTGCTACCATGTGCTACTACAGAAGCTGTGTGCTACTACAGGAGCTGTGTGCTACCATGTGCTACTACAGGAGCTGTGTGCTACCATGTGCTACTACAGGAGCTGTGTGCTACTGCAGGAGCTGTGTGCTACCATGTGCTACTACAGGAGCTGTGTGCTACCATGTGCTACTACAGGAGCTGTGTGCTACCATGTGCTACTACAGGAGCTGTGTGCTACCATGTGCTACTACAGGAGCTGTGGGCTACCATGTGCTACTACAGGAGCTGTGTGCTACCATGAGCTACTACAGGAGCTGTGTGCTACCATGTGCTACTACAGGAGCTGTGTGCTACCATGTGCTACTACAGGAGCTGTGGGCTACCATGTGCTACTACAGGAGCTGTGTGCTACCATGAGCTACTACAGGAGCTGTGTGCTACCATGTGCTACTACAGGAGCTGTGTGCTACCATGTGCTACTACAGGAGCTGTGGGCTACCATGTGCTACTACAGGAGCTGTGTGCTACCATGAGCTACTACAGGAGCTGTGTGCTACCATGTGCTACTACAGGAGCTGTGTGCTACTACAGAAGCTGTGTGCTACTACAGAAATTGTGTGCTACTACAGGAGCTGTGTGCTACTACAGAAATTGTGTGCTACCATGTGCAACTACAGAAGCTGTGTGCTACCATGAGCTACTACAGAAGCTGTTTGCTACTATAGAAGTTGTGTGCTACTACAGAAATTGTGTGCTACCATGTGCAACTACAGAAGCTGTGTGCTACCATGAGCTACTACAGAAGCTGTTTGCTACTATAGAAGTTGTGTGCTACTACAGAAATTGTGTGCTACCATGTGCAACTACAGAAGCTGTGTGCTACCCAATAAACAATGACCTGCTTAGGTGTGATCGTCAACTTGTAAGAAGCTCTCTGGTTGGTCAGATGTTTGTTGACATGACAGACAATGTGAGGAGATTCAAATGATGACAGGGGTGTCAGCAGGTTGAGTGACAGCTCCAGACCTAGCTCTTCAAACAGGTGGCGCCGCAAGTTCCACAAGAATCCAATATCAGAGGCTGAGGCTGTGGAACATACAACATGTGGGGCTGGTCTGTCAAGACTTACCTCCCTGTGGGGCAGGTCTGTCAAGACTTACCTCCCTGTGGGGCAGGTCTGTCAAGACTTACCTCCCTGTGGGGCAGGTCTGTCAAGACTTACCTCCCTGTGGGGCAGGTCTGTCAAGACTTACCTCCCTGTGGGGCAGGTATGTCAAGACTTACCTCCCTGTGGGGCAGGTCTGTCAAGACTTACCTCCCTGTGGGGCAGGTCTGTCAAGACTTACCTCCCTGTGGGGCAGGTATGTCAAGACTTACCTCCCTGTGGGGCAGGTCTGTCAAGACTTACCTCCCTGTGGGGCAGGTCTGTCAAGACTTACCTCCCTGTGGGGCAGGTATGTCAAGACTTACCTCCCTGTGGGGCAGGATGTCAAGACTTACCTCCCTGTGGGGCAGGATGTCAAGACTTACCTCCCTGTGGGGCAGGTCTGTCAAGACTTACCTCCCTGTGGGGCAGGTCTGTCAAGACTTACCTCCCTGTGGGGCAGGTCTGTCAAGACTTACCTCCCTGTGGGGCAGGTCTGTCAAGACTTACCTCCCTGTGGGGCAGGTCTGTCAAGACTTACCTCCCTGTGGGGCAGGTCTGTCAAGACTTACCTCCCTGTGGGGCAGGTCTGTCAAGACTTACCTCCCTGTGGGGCAGGTCTGACAAGACTTACCTCCCTGTGGGGCAGGTATGTAAGGTAAAGACTTACCTCCCTGTGGGGCAGGTCTGACAAGACTTACCTCCCTGTGGGGCAGGCTTGATGAAGACAGGCAAGATGTTGCTGACCAGAAAAGGTTTGCCACCTCCCTGCCTCAGTCTCTTCACAGCTGGCCACACCAGCTCCAACTTTTCATCCACTGGCACGGGGCTGGCAGACTCAAACTTGACTTTCATGGAATTCTGGGGAGAAAATGACAACCTTAATAGCTAATGAGAGTGTTGACTTTCATGGAATTCTGGGGAGAAAATGACAACCTTAATAGCTAATGAGAGAAAATGACAACCTTAATAGCTAATGAGAGAAAATGACAACCTTAATAGCTAATGAGAGAAAATGACAACCTTAATAGCTAATGAGAGTGTTGACTTTCATGGAATTCTGGGGAGAAAATGACAACCTTAATAGCTAATGAGAGTGTTGACTTTCATGGAATTCTGGGGAGAAAATGACAACCTTAATAGCTAATGAGAGAAAATGACAACCTTAATAGCTAATGAGAGAAAATGACAACCTTAATAGCTAATGAGAGAAAATGACAACCTTAATAGCTAATGAGAGTGTTGACTTTCATGGAATTCTGGGGAGAAAATGACAACCTTGATAGCTAATGAGTGGAATTCTGGGGAGAAAATGACAACCTTAATAGCTAATGAGAGAAAATGACAACCTTAATAGCTAATGAGAGTGTTGACTTTCATGGAATTCTGGGGAGAAAATGACAACCTTGATAGCTAATGAGAGAAAATGACAACCTTAATAGCTAATGAGAGAAAATGACAACCTTAATAGCTAATGAGAGTGTTGACTTTCATGGAATTCTGGAGAGAAAATGACAACCTTAATAGCTAATGAGAGAAAATGACAACCTTAATAGCTAATGAGAGTGTTGACTTTCATGGAATTCTGGGGAGAAAATGACAACCTTGATAGCTAATGAGTGGAATTCTGGGGAGAAAATGACAACCTTAATAGCTAATGAGAGAAAATGACAACCTTAATAGCTTATGAGAGAAAATGACAACCTTAATAGCTAATGAGAGTGTTGACTTTCATTGAATTCTGGGGAGAAAATGACAACCTTAATAGCTGAGAGTGACAAAAATTGATCTGAAGTAGAGTAGCCAGACTGAACATACCAACAAAGTTTCATTAAAATGGCTCTACTATAAATGGGGTAGAATAGGGTTGTTTATTGGACCACCACAGAAGTGAGTGTGACCCAGGAGAATTTGCAAAAGTCGTGTGACTGGTCATGTGAAGACTTCACTCTGTAGCAGGACAAGGGACAGAACTCTTCAAAACTTAGATAACCTGGTGACACTAGGCTGTGACCACAATAGACCACACCTTATTGGGAGAGGCATCAACTGACCACACCTTATTGGGAGAGGCATCAACTGACCACACCTTATTGGGAGAGGCATCAACTGACCACACCTTATTGGGAGAGGCATCAACTGACCACAATAGATCACACCTTATTGGGAGAGGCATCAACTGACCACACCTTATTGGGAGAGGCATCAACTGACCACACCTTATTGGGAGAGGCATCAACTGACCACAATAGACCATACCTTATTGGGAGAGGCATCAACTGACCACACCTTATTGGGAGAGGCATCAACTGACCACACCTTATTGGGAGAGGCATCAACTGACCACAATAGATCACACCTTATGGGAAGAGGCATCAACTGACCACACCTTATTGGGAGAGGCATCAACTGACCATACCTTATTGGGAGAGGCATCAACTGACCACAATAGACCATACCTTATTGGGAGAGGCATCAACTGACCACAATAGACCATACCTTATTGGGAGAGGCATCAACTGACCAGACCATACCTTATTGGGAGAGGCATCAGGTCTGGGGGAGTGAAGGTAATCCTCTCCATCCAGTCCATTGTCTAGAACGCTGTCTGTGGAAGTCATGCTGTCAAAGCGGACCAAATTTGCTTTGCTGTCTGAAGTCAGATCAACTTATTAAATGACAAAAAATACATACAATATCACATTTTTCAAACATTACACAAACGCAAGAAACACTAACAAAACAAAGTGTTGGATGGCAAGAAACAAAGTGTTGGATGGCAAGAAACAAAATGTTGGATGGCAAGAAACAAAATGTTGGATGGCAAGAAACAAAATGTTGGATGGCAAGAAACAAAATGTTGGATGGCAAGAAACAAAATGTTGGATGGCAAGAAACAAAATGTTTTATGGCAAGAAACAAAATGTTGGATGGCAAGAAACAAAATGTTGGATGGCAAGAAACAAAATGTTGGATGGCAAGCAACAAAATGTTGGATGGCAAGAAACAAAATGTTGGATGGCAAGAAACAAAATGTTGGATGGCAAGAAAAAAATGTTGAACATCACAAGTACCAAAGTAATGGTTGATTTTGTGTACAGGTTCCATCAAGTGGCGTGGAGCCCTGAAGGCTTGTAGAACAGGTTCCTTCCCTGCAGCCATGTCCACGGCTGTTTGGCCAATATTTTCACTGTGAACAACAATTGTAGTTGGATAAACTTGGGTTAGTTGATGCTGTTCTCAGTGAAAATATTTTCACTGTGAACAACAATTGTAGTTGGATAAACTTGGGTTAGTTGATGCTGTTCTCAGTGAAAATATTTTCACTGAGAACAACAATTGTAGTTGGATAAACTTGGGTTAGTTGATGCTGTTTTCAGTGAAAATATTTTCACTGTGAACAACAATTGTAGTTGGATAAACTTGGGTTAGTTGATGCTGTTTTCAGTGAAAATACTTTCACTGAGAACAACAATTGTAGTTGGATAAACTTGGGTTAGTTGATGCTGTTCTCAGTGAAAATATTTCAATGAGAACAACAATTGTAGTTGTGTAAACTTGGGTTAGTTGATGCTGCTCACAGTAAAAATATTTTCACTGAGAACAACAATTGTAGTTGTGTAAACCAGCACAAGAGCACCAGATTTATGCTTGGACATGCTGTTGTCATGACTATCAAAAAGTGAGTTGGTGACCTAAGGTAATAGGTTGAGACCTACCCTAAAGCAATTAAGTGACCTAAGGTAATAGCTTGTGACCTACCCTAAAGCAATTAAGTGACCTAAGGTAACAGGTTGTGACCTACCCCAAAGTAATTAAGTGACCTAAGGTAATAGGTTGTGACCTACCCTAAAGCAATTAAGTGACCTAAGGTAATAGGTTGTGACCTACCCTAAAGCAATTAAGTGACCTAAGGTAACAGGTTGTGACCTATCCCAAACCAATTAAGTGACTAACAGTACTGCAACTAACTGACCTAAAGGAACAAGTTGTGACCTACCATAATGTAACTAAGTAACGTAATGTAAACTGTTGTGACCTTCACCAAACTGACTTAGTGACATTAAGTAACTATTTTTGTGGCATACCCTAAAGTGACTTGTAACTGCACATTGGCGCCATAGTTGAGCAATTCTTCAACAATAGCAGCATCTCCCCTTTTGACGGCTTCATGTAATGGTGTCAGCCCTCTAGCATTGTAGACATTCAAATCTGCTCCTCTGGCTGCAACAAAGTCAACAGCTGACCATATCTGGATCTATCATTCAAGTTTCAACAGTCAGCAGTGTAGACTTACCTCATAAGCACTGGACCACTTGGAAATGTTGACTTACCACATAAGCACTGGCCCACATGGAAAAGTTGACTTACCACATAAGCACTGGCCCACATGGAAAAGTTGACTTACCACATAAGCACTGGACCACATGGAAAAGTTGACTTACCACATAAGCACTGGCCCACATGGAAAAGTTGACTTACCACATAAGCACTGGCCCACATGGAAAAGTTGACTTACCACATAAGCATTGGACCACATGGAAAAGTTGACTTACCACATAAGCACTGGACCATGTCCCTGTTGCCGTGACACACAGCCCAGTGGAGTGGAGTGTTCATCATCTCAGGGCTGTCTATCAGGTTGATGTCAACACCTGCAGCTAACAGCTGACACACTCGACCTAGGCTAGAGTAACACATGGCACAGGTGGCTAAAGTAGCACGTCTCAGGTGACTAAAGTAGCACATAGCACAGGTGAATAAAGTAGCACGTCTCAGGTGACTAAAGTAGCACATGGCGCCGGTGACTAAAGTAGCACATGGCGCCGGTGACTAAAGTAGCACATGATGCCGGTGACTAAAGTAGCACATGACGCAGGTGACTAAAATAGCACATTGTGCAGGTGACTAAAGTAGCACATGTACATTGTATGGTGACTAAAGTAGCACATGTCTGGTGACTAAAGTAGCACATGGCACAGGTGACTAAAGTAGCACATGGCGTCGGTGACTAAAGTAGCACGTCTCAGGTGACTAAAGTAGCACATGGCGTCGGTGACTAAAGTAGCACATGACACCGGTGACTAAAATAGCACATGACGCAGGTGACTAAAATAGCACATGGTGCAGGTGACTTAAGTCGCAGACGGCTCAGGTGACTGTGACCCTGACTAAAGTAAGCAAATTTTACGAGTTATGCAGAGGACATCTGGTCACTGGGACATGTATAACTAAATTACTACCACACCATAACGACTTACTTTAACTACTGACTACCACACCATAAACCACTTACTTAATGACTACTACACCATAAACCACTTTCTTAATGACTACCACACCATAAACCACTTACTTAATGACTACCACACCATAAACCACTTACTTAATGACTACCACACCATAAACCACTTAATGACTACCACACCATAAACCACTTACTTAATGACTACCACACCATAAACCACTTAATGACTACCACACCATAAACCACTTACTTAATGACTACCACACCATAAACCACTTAATGACTACCACACCATAAACCACTTACTTAATGACTACAACACCATAAACCACTTACTAAATGACTACTACACCATAAACCACTTACTTAATGACTACCACACCATAAACCACTTAATGACTACCACACCATAAACCACTTACTTAATGACTACCACACCATAAACCACTTACTTAATGACTACCACACCATAAACCACTTACTAAATGACTACCACACCATAAACCACTTACTTAATGACTACAACACCATAAACCACTTACTTAATAACTACGGCACCATAAACCACTTAATGACTACCACACCATAAACCACCTACTTTGACTGAGCAGTTGCTTTCAAAAGCTCCTCATTATAAACCGTCCGTATTTGATTGGATGCCAGCTCTAGGGGAAGCAGCCCCTGCTCATTCTGTATGCCTGGATCTGCCCCTCCAGCCAGCAGGGCACGCACTTTATCAACTTTACCAAGCTGAAAAGTTGATTTCATCATGAGTAATGGCACTTTTTTGACTGAATTAATTTCATATTGCCCACTCCAGCTAAAGTTAAGATGTCGCCTAAGATGTTAAACTTTATTATTGTTCAAGATGACTTAAACAATTAAAAACTACATTTATTTACCCTTAATTTAATTTAAAAACTACATTTATTTACCTTTAATTTAATACCAATTTGAATTATCAAATTTAATCGGTAGCCTAGAAAATAATTTGTGAAAAAACGCTTTAGTTTTTAAATGGCTAAGATGATATGACTGATACTCAGTTATACGGTGGGTTAGTTTTTTAAGGAGTGTAGTTGTGACGCGATTGACCGTTCATTGTCGTTCAGCAGAAACGTGTCGTCTTCTAGATTTCTTCCCATTCAAATACACGGCGGGCAAAATGGGTGGGCTTAGTTAGCTGTTGTCTTGGTCAAGTTATTTTTTTAAAGGTTTTGTTTTTATCCTGCATGACTTTTTAAAAATTAAAGAAATTATTTTAGCAGGATGCAATTTGTAATTTTCTATAGTTAACAGTATATTTGAATAAGTTTACAATAATTTGAATAAAGTAATTCACGTTTTGCTTACTTATATTCTGCCGGTTATTCTCAGCGATTACACACAAAAAATGTACAAATGACAAGTTTGCATCAAACACTAATCGCCCATTGTTAAAATTAGGTATCGTTGAATAATACGCAAAAATAACGATTCTTAGTAAATATCTCTGAAATGACCAAACAGAATCACTGTATCATCATTTTCAGCAGCCATCATTACCATGGGGGTCATCCATTTATGACATCCACACAGAAGGGGGGGCCCAAAAAAAATTAACTTTTGCTGATGCGTATGGACTTTTATAAGGAAATAAGTGGATTTTTGTTGGGGGGGTCCAAAATCCAAAAAAATTGTGGACGTCATAAATGGATGATCCCACGCGGACTGTAAAAGAAAATAGATCAAGCGACAGGCTAGCTGAAGTGTCACACTCCCACCAGTCTCTCTACTGCGACAGGCTAGCTGAAGTGTCACACTCCCACCAGCCTCTCTACTGCGACAGGCTAGCTGAAGTGTCACACTCCCACCAGTCTCTCTACTGCGACAGGCTAGCTGAAGTGTCACACTCCCACCAGCCTCTCTACTGCGACAGGCTAGCTGAAGTGTCACACTCCCACCAGTCTCTCTACTGCGACAGGCTAGCTGAAGTGTCACACTCCCACCAGCCTCTCTACTGCGACAGGCTAGCTGAAGTGTCACACTCCCACCAGTCTCTCTACTGCGACAGGCTAGCTGAAGTGTCACACTCCCACCAGCCTCTCTACTGCGACAGGCTAGCTGAAGTGTCACACTCCCACCAGTCTCTCTACTGCGACAGGCTAGCTGAAGTGTCACACTCCCACCAGTCTCTCTACTGCGACAGGCTAGCTGAAGTGTCACACTCCCACCAGTCTCTCTACTGCGACAGGCTAGCTGAAGTGTCACACTCCCACCAGTCTCTCTACTGCGACAGGCTAGCTGAAGTGTCACACTCCCACCAGTCTCTCTACTGCGACAGGCTAGCTGAAGTGTCACACTCCCACCAGTCTCTCTACTGCGACAGGCTAGCTGAAGTGTCACACTCCCACCAGTCTCTCTACTGCGACAGGCTAGCTGAAGTGTCACACTCCCACCAGCCTCTCTACTGCGACAGGCTAGCTAAAGTGTCACACTCCCACCAGCCTCTCTACTGCGACAGGCTAGCTAAAGTGTCACACTCCCACCAGCCTCTCTACTGCGACAGGCTAGCTAAAGTGTCACACTCCCACCAGTCTCTCTACTGCGACAGGCTAGCTGAAGTGTCACACTCCCACCAGCCTCTCTACTGCGACAGGCTAGCTAAAGTGTCACACTCCCACCAGCCTCTCTACTGCGACAGGCTAGCTAAAGTGTCACACTCCCACCAGCCTCTCTACTGCGACAGGCTAGCTCAAGTGTCACACTCCCACCAGTCTCTCTACTACGACAGGCTAGCTGAAGTGTCACACTCCCACCAGTCTCTCTACTGCGACAGGGTAGCTGAAGTGTCACACTCCCACCAGCCTCTCTACTGCGACAGGCTAGCTGAAGTGTCACACTCCCACCAGCCTCTCTACTGCGACAGGCTAGCTGAAGTGTCACACTCCCACCAGTCTCTCTACTGCGACAGGCTAGCTGAAGTGTCACACTCCCACCAGTCTCTCTACTGCGACAGGCTAGCTGAAGTGTCACACTCCCACCAGCCTCTCTACTGCGACAGGCTAGCTAAAGTGTCACACTCCCACCAGCCTCTCTACTGCGACAGGCTAGCTGAAGTGTCACACTCCCACCAGCCTCTCTACTGCGACAGGCTAGCTGAAGTGTCACACTCCCACCAGTCTCTCTACTGCGACAGGCTAGCTGAAGTGTCACACTCCCACCAGTCTCTCTACTGCGACAGGCTAGCTGAAGTGTCACACTCCCACCAGCCTCTCTACTGCCCCAACCTGCAAATACTTTTTTTATTGCTATCTCTGTGCAAAATATTCATTAATTGATTCCCCAAATAAAAGCTACAACAGATAAAAATAAAACATAGCAACTGTTTTGTGCTAGACTTAGCCAGAATTTGTATCACTATTTCGTGCTGAAAATTGTGTTAACCACTCCAGCCTTCATCCTAAAGAATCCCCTCCCCCAGGAGAGTGACATCATTCAGTGTCAAGATTCTTAAGTTAACTAAGCTATAAATAAGTTCAACAATTTGCAAGTAAAAACCTTTGTCGCATAATGCAGGAGAGTTCCATGTTCTGTGTGAACACCATTCAAAACATTTCCCAACAACTCTGGACTGTGGCTATCTGAAACATTGACAATATAAATTCTCTGATGTTTATTTAAATGTATTATTTATAATCAATTTTTGCAGGCAGCAGAAATACTAATAGTTAGCCTGCCTCCTCTCTCTCCCCCACCCCTCCAACATATTTTACCTCGTTATGCTGAAGCTTATGGGCAGTGGTAAAATGCAAGACATGAAATGGCTAGGCTGTAAAATGCAAGAAGGGTATGAAAAATGCCGGTCAAGTGACAGTTTTGTCTGGCATTAAACTCCCACCCGACTGGTAGGCAGGGTTGGGGTAAGATGTGATAACAACGACTGTGAAAATGTTTGCAGCCTACTATGAATCTGCTGTTTTGAATTTGACACACCCAAAATGTATCAATGACAAATCAACTTTCCATATAATTACCACCTTGTTCAATCAAAACTACTTTTTTCTCTTCTAATGTTTATTTTAACATAATTACATTTTATATTTTATCTGTCCAAAATCAGTCACAAAAAAAGTGCTGTTAAATGTTGCAATTCGATAAAGGAAACTGAATCACCTTAACCAGGTTTCTTAAAGTTAATCTAGCATGCTTATGTTTAAGTTTATGTGAACTCAAAATGAACATTAGTAGGTTTTTTAAATGCTTGGTTTGGGGAAAAATAAAAGTGGCATCACTGACAAGTAGCCATTATTCATGCTATGATGTATATATGCCACTGGTCCATGCCAGGAATTTTCTCCAGCTGACAAGAAAACATGAGCAGATGATGGAATTTGCAGATCTCTTAATAATTGTTTACATACACCAATTGTGGAATATTAATGTCCAATAACAGACTCTTCCAAAAATAAGTGTGTTTGTTAGTAGTATTGAAATCGCATCTAGTTTTATGATTTGATTACAAATTAGATTTAAGCGTATGGTAAGACTAAGGTTAGGGCTAAGGTTAGCATTAATATATATGTATTTAATTAACTATCAGAAACTTAAAGCCCCTTACTTAAGGGGGGGGGGGGGGGGGGGCAACTGATATTTTCGGAGGGGGGGGGCGGACACTAGTAAAAGTGTATGTTTACTATATAAATTCCGTCTCGTTCGGGGGGGGGGGGGGGGGGGGCGGTAGACTTTATTTTTTGTATTTATATTATTAATTTTAAATAGGCCTACATTTCCTTTTTATACTATCGTACAAGAAATCCACCAAAATAAAAAATCCAGACTGGAATCTTGTCCAGATAGCCCCGCCACTAATGCAAAAAGTACACTGCCAAAAATGTTAAGCCCCATCACTTTTTTCTAGCTTCATTTAATTTAATGCATGCACGCAACCTTTTCTTGTTGGGTTAGGTGTGCTGTCTAGACAATTAAATGTTTAAATGCATGCCATAAAAACAACTCCTTATCCACATCTTCTTGAGTTAAGGTTGGGTTAAAAACTAAAAGTACACAAGCTTCATATCCTCTTTTGTATAATCTTTTGCAGGTGGTGGGGCTACTCTGGACAAGATCCCCATACTTAGATCAAGAAAATATAGTTGATCTACCTGTTTAATTGAAACTTTTCTTCTTGCACATCTTAAAACAATCAAAATTTTAAAAAAACTGGCAAAAAATTAAAATGTATTGCTAATTTGTGGCTAGTTGATTACTATTTTGATTGGTAATCTATCATTTTAGGTGCGTAAAATTGGCCGAGGCTAGTAATGTGCAAAAAAGTTGCCTTATTGTTAAGGCTTTAATAGACATATATTGTGATATATTTGTGGCAAATATTATAGATAACTGAAAAATAAACAAAAATGTATCAATATAGGCCATAAATTAACTTAGAACAGCAGTGTTTGCGAGCAAGATTTGATATATAAACAGCTGCCATCTGTAAGTTAAGAGTGGTTTCCAATGAATCTCAAACTATAATTTTACCAAAAAAAAACTTAAGATAGTTTTTAGATAACTGCTAAAGTAAATGAGCTTGGTTGCATCTGATGAAAACATCGCTAGTTTTTATTTTTTACTGAAAAGTTGTAATACAATTGTTTAAAACAATTAGGGCCTAATGAAATTTTGAAACAATTTTGTAACTTTCAAAACATAAATCCTCCTAAAAATGTGAAAAAGTTATAAAAATTTAATGAGTCACCTTTTTTTCACAGTACTAGTCTCGGCCCGATTTTACATAGGCCTACATAATAAAAACGGTAGATGTCTAGATTACCTTTTGATTTTATTTATATCAGATTATATCTAGATTCTAAAAGTACTATCTAGATCTAGTGATCTTCATCTACGACATCTAGTCTAGCCTCGCTATTGGAAATTCAGGTCTTGCATTTTCCCACCCACTAATTTTACTACAAATAAAAAAAGTAAAAATTATATAACAATTTTGAATGAGGATTATTAAAGTATTATTATTATCCTTCGCAAATCCTACTTTTTTTTAATTCAGACAGTACAGTGCAAATAACATCAGTTCTTTCTGTATTTATGGCTGTAATAATATTGTTTACAATTGCAGTGACATCATCGGCCATTTTCTGTAAATACGATTGAATTAAACCGTATTGTAAATTAATCAAAATCAAGCCATTAAGTTCGATTTAGATCTAGATATCTAGTATTCTAGTACTGTATCTACTACAGCATTAAATCTAGATCTAGATCTACCGGTTTGTTTGAGTGTGTGTTGTGAACGTCAGCAGTTCAAACCCGGAACTAAACATTAAAAATTACATTCGAAAAACAAAACATTGCCTAAATTATTAAATTCGATCAACGACAAGCGGTACTAAGAATTTAATTATTTTTATGCTAGTCATTGACATAAGAGGATACGGGAAGCTAAGTAGACAACGCCAAAGAGGTGACTTTCAAACAGTGTTTCTTCCAGACTTTTTTCTCCGGGGGGGGGGCGGGGGGGGGGGGGGGGACACTGATATTTTCGGGGAAGGGGGGGGGGGGGGCGGACACTAGTAAAAGTGTATGTTTACTATATAAATTCCTTCTCGTTCGGGGGGGGGGGGGGGAGAGGTAGGCTTTCTTTGTATTAGTAATGGTTTCTCGTGTTATGTTTATTTTTATGTTGTTTTTTTTTTGTATTTATATTATTAATTTTAAATACATTTCCTTTTTATACTGTCATTCTTTAGTAAGTACTTTATAAAAGATAATAATTAAGAAAGGTAATTGCTTTTTAATTTGTTTAGTATAAATATATTAAATTTAACAATTTAAGGAAGGGAAATAAGTCATGAAAGTGGTTTGAACGTTTGTTTATCTTAGATAAGTTTGATTGTAGGAGAAAGACGACTCGGCTTTCACAATGGTTTAAAAAACAAAGGAAAAAAAGAATATATACGTGCCAGGGGGTGGTGTCTATAGAATAAAGATAATCCAACCGCAGCTACGGTAAGCTTTTTACAAAACAACCATCAAGTCAAAAATGCAAGACATTTTTTTTTAACTTTTAAAATGTATTATGGTCGGCTGTGGGCCCCTAAATGACGTGCCCCCCTCCCCACATTGCGGGGTCTGGCGGTACTGTAGTTCCGCCCTTGGAGAAGGGGTGCCAAACGGGAAGAATAAAATAAATAGCTCACTCTGAGCTGCATTACTTTAGTATACACAGTCAGAGTTAGGAATATAGCCAACTACTTGGCTTGAACGAAAAGAATGATTTAATGTTTTCTACATCTGTTGTCTCTCTCTCTCTCTCTCACACACACACAACTGGGGGGGGGGGGCAGTGACTGCGACGGTTAGGGGTGCCGTTTTTTCCCCATATATGAATAACTATATATAAATGGGGTGGTGCAAAAAATTAATGTTCCGCACCGGTATTTCTTAGATTTTATAGTAGCTTGGTGATGAGTGGATTTGTCCAAACTGCCGACCAGACGCCCCAGGATGTGTTGTGTAAAACCTTGGTAGAACACTACTCCACGACCACCCAGGTGCCAGGGGCGTTATAGAGACCACAGTCTACACTGCCACAGGGGGTGACGCCCTGGCTCAGTTTATTCATCGATTATAGTAGCACACCTCAGTATAGGGCGCTATTTAGAACGAATGTAGGCGCCATGTGTTCACGGGTGATCGCAGAGTGCTCCAAGAGACGCCTCTATTCACTTTGGCCGTTGACTCCAGTATTAGGGCTCCCACTGAATCCATATCAGTAAAACCAATCCTTACCAGGTGCTAATTTAATGTAGTTGATGAGAACTGAACCACATTACCACCAGCACGCAGTTGGTGACCACACATAGCAGGCAGTTGGTGACCACACATAACACGCAGTTGGTGACCACACATAGCACGCAGCTGGTGACCAAACAAACATAGCACGCAGTTGGTGACCAAACATAGCACGCAGTTGGTGGCCACACGTAGCACGCAGTTGGTGACCACACGTAGCACGCAGCTGGTGACCAAACAAACATAGCACGCAGTTGGTGACCACACGTAGCACGCAGTTGGTGACCACACGTAGCACGCAGCTGGTGACCAAACAAACATAGCACGCAGTTGGTGACCACACGTAGCACGCAGTTGGTGACCACACGTAGCACGCAGCTGGTGACCAAACAAACATAGCACGCAGTTGGTGGCCACACGTAGCACGCAGTTGGTGACCACACGTAGCACGCAGTTGGTGACCAAACAAACATAGCACGCAGTTGGTGACCACACGTAGCACGCAGCTGGTGACCACACATAGCACGCAGTTGGTGACCAAACAAACATAGCACGCAGTTGGTGACCAAACATAGCACGCAGTTGGTGACCACACGTAGCACGCAGCTGGTGACCACACATAGCACGCAGTTGGTGACCAAACAAACATAGTACGCAGTTGGTGACCAAACATAGCACGAAGTTGGTAACCAAACAAAAATAGCACGCAGTTGGTGACCAGACATAAACGCAGTTGGTGACCACTCATTACCAGCAGCATGCAGTTGGTAACCAGAAATTACCACCAGCATGCATTAATTACTTCTAGAGTATAGTACTGGCCACACAATCACCTTATTTGGCTAATTCATTAATTACGTCTAGAGCATAGTACTGGCCCCAGAATCACCTTAATTGGCCAATTCATATAAAAAATAATGCAACTAGAGGACAAAAACTGGCTATTGTGTACACAACTTAAAGCAGCAACTAGAGGACAAAAACTGGCTATTGCGTACACAACACAGTAACTAGAGGACAAAAACTGGCTATTGTGTACACAACTTCAAGCAGCAACTAGAGGACACAAACTGGCTATTGTGTACAGAACTCAGCAACTTGAGGACAAAAACTGGCTATTGTGGACACAACACAGTAACTAGAGGACACAAACTGGCTATTGTGTACACAACTTCAAGCAGCAAATAGAGGACAAAAACTGGCTATTGTGTACACAACACAGCAACTAGAGGACACAAACTGGCTATTGTGTACACAACTTCAAGCAGCAACTAGAGGACAAAAAACTGGCTATTGTGTACACAACACAGCAACTAGAGGACACAAACTGGCTATTGTGTACACAACTTAAAGCAGCAACTAGAGGACAAAAACTGGCTATTGTGTACACAACACAGCAACTAGAAGACAAAAACTGGCTATTGTGTACACAACACAGTAACTAGAGGACAAAAACTGGCTATTGTGTACACAACACAGTAACTAGAGGACACAAACTGGCTATTGTGGACACAACAGAACAAAAACTGGCAATTGAGTCTCTGTATTACAATGAAATAGATCTACTAACATCCTCCCATTAAAAATAAAACAAAGAACCTTATTTTTGATCTAGCATACAGACTTTATTTCCAAACAAATTTCATTTATTTACATACACAAATGTTCATAATTCATAGAGGCATTGATCACAAGCAGGTAGATTTTAGATATCAGCTTTGACATTTACAATGTAAATATATCGAAGCATTGGCAATCAAACACTGTGCTAGCTGTAGCCATTTAAACTCACATTCACCCTACTAGCTGCAGTCAGTGATACACACACACACACTGTAGAAACAGCAGTTATCAACCACACAAAAACCAGCTATGAAAGGTACAAGGTAAAATAAGTTGACTGTTGATGTTTTAAAATGTCTGAACCACAGGTGGCAAGGGGTTCTGCAAGGCTTTGTGTACTGAAATATCTCAGTTGTCAACATAAGAAAAAACTCAGCATCATTTACAACCAACATAATCTGTAGTCAGAACTAATTACATTCCCGGTTCTAATACTTTTCTCTCCATTTACACCATCAGTCTAGGCAATTTAAAATTAGATATCATTTGCTTATTCATAGAAAACTATCTGACAATTCAAAACCAATTCACTATAAATCCAACAATACTATATTATTTTATATTTATTCCTTTTTTAAACTATCACTATCAGGCAAAGGAAAAACTAAAATCACATTCGTACACAAGAGCAAACTGTACTATTTCCCCCCCAATATCCTTTTGACATAGCCAGTATTCTCTGGCTTATTCACTGTCTCTGCTGTTAAAGTGTCCACCTGTTTCTGTAGCTCTCTGATCTGACTCTCCTGAATCTCTGTGACAGTGGTTAAAGTTTCTATTTTGGACTTGATGGTATTTAGTTCATTCCTTGCTTTCTCCTCCTTGGCTGCTTCTTTTTTGGAACTGCGTTGATACTCCATTCCCACGACAAGACAAGCCAGCCCAAAGACAACAAACTCCCCCAGCATTTCACCACCAAGTTCAATGGCTTCTTTTTCAGAGAGTCTTTCAACATTTTTCGCTTTACCCAGACCCATTATCCGGAGACGGAAGTTCACTTCAAACCAATGGTAAACTAAAGGGGAATTAAGGAATCAATAGTTAGCATTACCTTCATTTAGATTTAAAAATAAAAACACACTGAACCCAGTTTACTTAAGATCATTAACGTTTCTGCTTTACTTAATGTGGTGTATTAACAACTAGACAGTAATTAGTGTAAATATTAACAACTAGACAGTAATTAGTGTAAGTATTAACAACTAGACAGTAATTAGTGTATTAACAACTAGACAGTAATTAGTGTAAGTATTAACAACTAGACAGTAATTAGTGTATTAACAACTAGACAGTAATTAGTGTAAGTATTAACAACTAGACAGTAATTAGTGTAAGTATTAACAACTAGACAGTAATTAGTGTATTAACAACTAGACAGTAATTAGTGTAAGTTGTAAGTATTAACAACTAGACAGTAATTAGTGTAAGTATTAACAACTAGACAGTAATTAGTGTAAGTATTAACAACTAGACAGTAATTAGTGTAAGTATTAACAAATAGACAGTAATTAGTGTAAATAGACACTGTAATTTTGGGGCAGTATCATTTATTTAAACAACAAAGGTAGCATTTTAGTTGTACTGATGTGATCTGATCAAACAATGATTTTGTGTTCTTCCAAGATTCAGTTCCCTCCATATGATAAATTATAAACTGCTAGTCTAGCTTGTTTTCATACAATGAATATTAAAAGTGCAACTAGCTTGAAAACACCAACAGCTTATAGGGTTTCCATGTGGGTGAGGATGGTGCCATAAACGTTGTAGCACTAGTAACTTGTCCTGCCCTTATAACTGGCTACCCAAGTTTTATAGCTTGTTTGCAATTTTTATTATTTATAAAACTGAGCAAAATAGGAAACATTTGGTCCTTTCTAATTTTATTACATTATACAATACAAATTTAAAAAACTGAGATAAAATAACCATAACAAGCTTCTATCAAGACTGATAAGTTTAATGCATATATTTTACATGATATGTTCCCAGTATTTTTAGCCACCTTTATATTAATTAAAATATTTTTTCCCCTGGCCATATACGATATAAACAATACCACCATGCTATGTTGATTGTGAGTGAGCTGAGATTGGTCTGAGTACATAACTTAAATTGTGGCTTTAATTAGTTGTAATAATTACATAAAACATAAATACAAAAACATTTGTTTACTCATTTGTTTCATCAATTTCCATTTTTATTGTTTCTGTTTCAAAAATAGTAAAATTATTTTTATTTAAGTTTTTTTATTGAAATTTTTTTTGTTAATTGTTGGCAACTTAGGGGGGCTGGAACAGATGAATGCAGTTTTATATCATTTCATTGGAGAAAACTGCTTTCAGATAGGAACAATCTAACACGCGACCAATATTACTAAACATATTAAACTTGCATCTTGAAGTACAACTGTATTCGGTTATTAGTTGGTTATAAAATTTGTTAGAAGCTATTTTTCTGCCAAAGAAGAAACTAATGAAAAATGCCTTTAAAGCAGGTATTTTTAAATTGTTAAATAATGAATTGTAATTTAAATTTGAGGTAGAAAGGGGAGGGGGTGTTATATATTTGCTTATCACACTCCAAGTTTGAGTTCTTATAGGTCCCAAAAATGGAAACCTAGGCAAGTAGGGCATATAATAACATGTGCAGTGGTGTAGTGAAGGGTATTTTGGTTGCCTGTGGTGTCTAAATGGCAAAATATGGCTACAGGATAGGGACACACCCCTAATTATATATGGCTGTTGTTGATAACAGTGTTTAATGTTGAGTCTTGAAGGTGTTGAAAAAAAGTGTTATGAAGTGTTAATAGCTGTCATAATGAGTTATTTTTATAGATTTTTCCATTTATTATATATATAGGCCAAACCAAAAACTGTTTTATTCATGCCCTTCTGATTTCTCCTTATCTCACTTAATATGGAGGTAGGAATTATATAAATTCAGATACCATGATTTAATTAGCTGCTTTTTCCTAAATGGACCCAGCTGTAAATAGTCTCGAAATTGTGTATATAATATTTTTAAAATCTGATGAGATTAACCCTTTATCTACTGACGGTACTTATAAGTACCACTTTAATTAAGTGCCTGTATTATTTTTAATTTAATACGAATTTTAAAAATTATTGAAGTAATTAATAGTATTATCTCCCCTGAGTCGCCGGTAGTCGGAGGTATCAATGATTTTTTAAAATTACTGGTGTGGCGCATTTTCAATGTCTTACTATATCGGTAGTTCACAATTTTTCTGTACATTTCTCACACACGTTCTTGATTTCCCTTTGTTTTACCTTATTTTTCAAATTTTCAACCCCAAATATTTTTTATTGGCACCTTCAATAGTCAGGCAAACGCGTTTAACTTCTAGTTATACAATTTTAATCAAATTGTCTTTGTATTAGATCGATGTTTACAAGTGGACTTATAAGTACCGTCAGGGCACACGGTAATTTTTTAGGATTTTTAGAAAATGGCAGATTTTTTATGTGGAGTTACATAAATATTGTCCTGATAATTAACTATCGAAATGTACTCAAAACATGATATTTACACATTTATAAGAAGGTTAGCATATGGTTTACCTAAGAAACATAGTAATAACATGTTAATTTCTAGTAGTAAAAAATAACAAGAATAAAGTTATCAGTTGCAGGCTCGTTTACAAGGTTTAGTATGCTTCATTTGTATACCAAAGCCTAGTTCTAGTTGTAAGATTTAATTTGTTAGTTATATTTACTGCAATAAACTGTCTTGCCTACAACAACTAGCATTTACGTAATGTATACCTGTAGACTAGTAATAGTCCATACTTCTGCATTAAGTATAGATCTATAAGGTAAATTTTAATTAGTAAACAGAAAAGAGTAGGCCACTACGGCTATCCTAAACACATTGAGCTCACTTCTATTTATGAGCTTTGCACTGTAGTGTAGACTTGTCAAAACATTCTAGTAGGCTACAATTTTACTAGTATTACTAGTAGTTGCGTGCTGAATGACTAGGCTTTTGTTTGTTAATGCGGCTCATTGTACTAGCTATTGGAAGCTTCAAGCAAAAGCATGTTCATTCCGGCAACCGTTGCTACACCAGAAAGACCACAGACAAGATTTAGGGAGCTTGATATGTCGGCAACTTTTGCTGTGTTTGAGGTCTAAGATGTGTTATGATTGAAAATCCAGTAAAAATCGTACTCAAAATATACTTTTTTGCTGTATTTATGTGTGAAAATTACAAAAAGTGATTGCTATAATGATTGCCATGTTATTAGTTAATAAATTGTATCGTTTGTTCCTGTTTTGTAAAAAAAAAAAATATTGACAAAAAATGTCCTACATTCCTGGCGGTACTTATAAGTACCAATATACGTTTGGGCCATTAAAAATTTACGAAACGAAATTTCCTTCGACATATGCTTTGAATGTGCCAAAAGCAATATAGTAACACATTGTTTAAGTAAAAATTTCATTCAGAACATAATTCCGTAAATAAAGGGTTAAAAATAAAAATGGTTAGGGCCTATAAAAACATGACTGTTTGATTTTTGACTGACTTTAAGATTGGATGTGTTTTAGTATTTTCTGAAGCAGTGTAGCTAAGCACAATTTTTGAAAAGGCAAAAACAGTGGTTTTTATTTTAAGGTGGGATGGCGTGGCCTAGTGGTAAAGTGCTAGACTGCTAACCCGAAAATGACAAGTTTGAATACGGGTTCAAGTCAGTAGAATGTCCCTGAGTCCATCCAGCTCTGATGGGTACCTAACTCATGTTAGTATGATGTTAGGGAAAGTACAAACCCAGCGAATGGACATAGATCTTGTCACATTCTAGTGCTGTACACACTATCCCTTCATACATACTTCATATGCCGATGTCACAGAAACAGGTAAACATTACTTTACTACTTTACTTCGTTTGTCCCATGGACCAACGTAAAGTTCAAAAAGGTCAGGGAACTTTAGTTACTTTAACTTTAAGCCTTCAGGCCGACTTTTTTAAAGTTTTAGATTTAGGTGATAATGAAAGAAATCTGCCTAGTAAGTAGTAAAATATAAAAAAACAATGCCCTACTAATACTATGCCCTACACTACACACTACACTAAACACTTGGCCTACTTACTTTACTTAGTAACTTACTAATAGAGTCCTTTCATATGACGTCACGTCCGTTCATGATACCTACGTCCGCCGCCACGGTGGTGTACACCAGGCGTAAACACAATCAGCTGTTCACCAGCGCTGGACGCGTTGTTCACTGTATGTAAAGAACCGCACCCGCGGAAAAGGAAAAATGCGTTAAAATACTTGAACTCTTAGGAATTGAAGATCCTTATACTGTTATTGACAGTTTCGTAGATAATATAAATATGTGGCCAAAATTTCTAAATAAAAATACTGTTAGTAATACTGTTTGCGTTTAGAGTTTAAGCAGACGAATCTGATCAAATGCAGTTCTCGATACTTTGTTTCAGGTAAGGACAGTAAAATAATAAACTTCATTTTAATTATAAAAGATAACTATTAATAAAACAAATATGCTCGACCTTCAAAAATACTAATAGTAAAAGACAAAGTCAAAAGTAATAAGAATAATAAGATCTAATAGTAGGCCTAATAACAGTGTTTTAATATCTAGATCTAGAATCTAGCTCTAAACATGGCGTAAACAAAATTCGGACCACAGATCTAGATCTAGATTCTGGATTTAGGGTGACTGGCTCCGCTGGGTAGACATAGAATCTAGAATCTACTTCTTTACTTAAATTTAATTACAAAATTTAGATCTACATTCGATTCAAAATACACCCATAATAAATCAAAAGTAGTCATATTAGGCCTAATAAAGCATTTAATTGTCTCTAAGATCTAAAATCTCGCTCTACAATCTAATCATTTTTTTAGCAAACGAAATTTTCTGAAATTGAAATAGATTGTATGACTAGACTTAGGTCTAGAATCTGCTACTTAAATTAAATTTTAAAAATTGTATACAAGCATGTAATTGATATTATTGAGTAGAAGGCTTTAATAAATTACTAAGGCCTACCTACTTTGTGTCTTTTTACAGCAATATGTATCTGATACTGGACTGAGTTTAATTAAATTAAAATGCATATCTAGTAATTAGTGTACTAAGTTTATGTAGCCTAGTAGTAGAATCTAGATCATACCAGACAACAACAAATAACCACATTATTATTATTTGGTTAATGATTAGGCTAAATTTTTTTTAATCCACTGTTTATAAAAGAAACAAATCAAGCTAGAAACATTATAAGACTGAGATGGTTTAGAATAATAACAATGGACCCAGTCTACAATTGATACAATTGCAGGTCTACATAGGGCCTACAGTCTAGTAGTTTACAGTAGGCACCTAGTACTGTAGCTAGTATACTAGTGTGTAGCTGTCCAGAGTTAAGATTCTTAATGCCTTAATGCTTTCCCCTGATAAGCCATGTGTGCTATAAATGACATAACATGACATCGAGGTGAGAAATGTTGATGGGAGAGCAGTGGGACTTTCCCCTTTGTTCTCCCTGCTGGGCCCTGAGGGTATCACGGAGGTGAGAAATTTTCAGGGGAGGGCAGTGGTACTGACTCCTCTTTGGTTTTATTTTGGGCTAGAAAAGTGTGGGGGCTGGCCATCATGAGGGTTGAACTTCAGTATTAATGTGTCTGATCACTTCCCTGCTGGATTATAAGGGTCTTAAATTGTATAACATGCTACCCAGATTGGCTGAGATCTAAGAAAAGCAGTGGTTATTACCTATGAATTATATTAGCTGTTGTAGTGTGGGTTTTGTAGGAGTTAAGTGGTCTCACGTTTGCTACATTAGCGTGGTTGTACTAGATCTATTGCTACTAAATATTGTACTTAACAGAGAATCTATAATCTACATTAACCAGATTTAGATAACCTATAATATAATATAATATATAATAATATAATAATACCTACTTAAACTCTAAATTAGACTAAATGCAAACAGTATTACTAACAGAATTTTTATTTAGAAATTTCGGCCACATAGTTATACTATCCATAAAACTGTCAATAACAGTATAAGGATCTTCAATTCCTAAGAGTTCAAGTTTTTAAACGTATTTTTCCTTTTCCGCGGGTGTGGTTCTTTACATACAGTGAACGCGTCCAGCGCTGGTGAACAGCTGATTGTGTTTACGTCCGGTGTACACCACTGTGGCGGCGGACGCAGGTATCACGTGATTTAGGTCACGTGTTTGCAAGGACTCTATACTAGGCCTAGGCCTATAATTCTATTAATAGCCTAAAAGTAAAACTAAAATTCATTAATTTAGAAATAATTAATATAGGCCTAGATAGTCTTTAACACAACAGGCTTTAACTTTATTTAATAATATTTAATTATTTTAATATTTAGGCCCTAGGCCTATTTAATATTTATTTACTAATTCACTAAATTTAGGCCTAGGTCCTAGATGGCCTAGCTAGTCCCTAGAATATTTTTTATTTTAGGCCTAAGGAATTTTATTATTTTAACTTACTCTGGGCCGGTGGCATACATATATATGTACGAAAAAACGGGTGTGATTTCGCTCGTCTTTTAATTGAATTTGCAATTGGTTTACTGTGGCGGCGGACGCAGGTATCACGTGATTTAGGTCACGTGTTTGCAAGGACTCTATACTAGGCCTAGGCCTATAATTCTATTAATAGCCTAAAAGTAAAACTAAAATTCATTAATTTAGAAATAATTAATATAGGCCTAGATAGTCTTTAACACAACAGGCTTTAACTTTATTTAATAATATTTAATTATTTTAATATTTAGGCCCTAGGCCTATTTAATATTTATTTACTAATTCACTAAATTTAGGCCTAGGTCCTAGATGGCCTAGCTAGTCCCTAGAATATTTTTTATTTTAGGCCTAAGGAATTTTATTATTTTAACTTACTCTGGGCCGGTGGCATACATATATATGTACGAAAAAACGGGTGTGATTTCGCTCGTCTTTTAATTGAATTTGCAATTGGTTTACTAATCTGTTTTATAAAGAGGTAACCCAGTTTTATCAATGGAAATGGAGCCATTTCTTACAGGCTACAACTACAATACTACAACCATAATATTGCACCAGAAAGGTCATATTTCGTTTAATTTAAGCCGGATAGTGAAACTTTTTACTTTACTGTCTAAACAAATCTTGATGAATGAGACCAAATTAAAATACTAAAAAAGTGAATGTTTGAGCGCCTAAATGTAGCAGCATGCCATATAGTCTAGATCTAGAGAATCTAGAAAAAAAAAACAATTAAAAAAAAACGTCCAAATAACAAACTTGTATGTAATAATGCACTCAAAATAAAAAAGAAATGATTTATCTAGTAGTCCACGCTTTTCATTTTAGTAATTTAAATAGATCTAGTAGTGCATTATAATATATTTAAAGGAAATCAATTATTTTCTCATTTTAGTGCATTATTAGTAATTATTACATAAAATAAACGCTTGTTATTACAACGTTTTTTAATGCAATTTTAATGCATTTTTTTCGGTACTTAAATTTTTTTTTAATATTATAAGAGTTGCATGACTAAAACCTGTTGCGCACCAAATGAACATGAAAACGCGCATAGAAAATTTTAATTAACTGATAGAAAAATTAATTAATCATTCAATTGAGTCGTATTTATTGTCATATTGCATTGTCATCTGGTCTTGACCCACTTGCCAAATTTCAGAGAAATTGATCGGTTAGAAGTGCCCAAAATTTCGCTCTCCGTTTCGATCTAGGATTAAGAGGTAGGACAGATTGACGACAGATATCAAGGCCCGTAATTGGGGATGGGGATGGATCGGACACATATTAAGAAAAGAAAAAGAAAACATCGCAAAACACGCTTTGGATTGGAATCCCCAGGGAAAAATGAGGTTGGGCCCACAGCTGGGCTCACATGGGCACAGATAAAGGGAGCAGCCCAAAACCGAGTCCGATGGAGATGTGTGGTTGCAGCCCTTTGCTCCCCAGAGGAAGGAAGTAAGCTAGTAATAAAAAAGCTTGTAAAAGGTTTCTGTACAAAAAAATAATTAATTTTGAAAGGGCGGCGCCCCGGGGTGTGCGATTTTTCTCTATATATGGTTTATAAAAAATAAAACTTGGATGTAATTCGAAACCGTTCATCTGAGTATCATGAAACTGAGGGGAGTAGATGAGAAAACTCCCAAAAAGATTTCTGTTAGAAAAAAAAAAAAATTCTTATGGGCGGCGCCCGGGAGTGTGCAATTTTCGTTAATACACGGTTTCTCACTCAAAGCAGCTATGTTAGCACTTGGCATCCTGCATAGTGGGTCAGGTGTACTAATATGTATTCAGCGATAAAACTGCAACTGTTACAACCGCCGGCACGCCATCGATTGCGTGACCCGAAGCGTCCCGGGCTTCCCTGCGAACACTATGGCGCCTTCTTTCGTTTTAAAAAAGGCTATACACTAAACACACGATGGGCAAAAATAATCGTTGACTTTATCGAATCAGGCGTGTCATTCGGCGCCCCGACAGGCGGTGATTTGGCGCCCCGATCTTACCCGTGAGCATCATGATGCCTACATTCAATTTTTTTTCTAGCTCCACATCTGACAAATACTCAAACAAAATGTATCAGGCAAATAAGCTAGACGTACTGGCGTATCTGTTTCGTATGCGCATTCACCGAACCCTTCTTAGTAATTCTATTCTGGATCTAGATCTAGATCTAGATCTACTTCTGTCTAGATCTAGATCTAGGTCTAGGCCAGTCTATGCCACTACTGCTACTAGATTTAGAAACTAAATTATAATTTCGTACTTTTTCTCCAACATTATATTCGAAATGTCCAGGAACGCCCATTTAATATTCATTTCGGTCTTCGTCTGCGCTCAACCTTGACTGATAAGGGGGAAAAAAAGTTGTTTTGTATAGAAACGAGCATTGTTTTGAAAAACGATTAGAGATCTAGATCCAGATACAGATATTAGATAGATCTAGATCTAGTCGTATTAGACTATTAACTATAGTAATTTAGTAGGCCTATAGCGCATCTCAATAAATAAATAATTAAATAGTAGGCCTATAGGTCAGTATAGGTAGGCCCTATTGTTAATTTAATTTTTAAATTTTTATTAGAGATCTACTATTTTAGTATTACTATTAGTAGTATTAGGCCTAGATCTAGATCTAGATCTACTTAAAAATTAAAAGAGTTAAGAGTAAGACATTAGACGAGTTCATTATTCATTAGTTGTTTGGAATTACTAGATCTAGATCTATTTTAGAGTTTAATTTAGGCCTAATTTAATAATTTTAAATAATTTAGCCTAGATCTAGTTACTAGTAAGTAGTAGAGTAGTAGTTACTAGTTAGGCCTAGGCCTAATAAATTATTATTTAATTTAGGGCCTACAGTACTACAGAGTAGGCATACACTTACTACACTAATAAAAGTAAGTTACCTACACTACAGTTACACTACTACTATCTAGTACTACACGTTACTACATAATACACATAGTCTATTTATTTAATTTATTAGTCTATTAAATTAAACACTAGACTAAAGTAAAGAACAAAGATAACTAACCACACTGACGCTGTGTTTTAATTATGGCCGATTCTAGTCGGAATAAGATACGCATGCGATACGCATGCGCAATGGAGAGAAATTACGACTTAGCGGCGATGTTTTCGATGGTACTGCGCATGCGTGTGTTTACAACCGCAGAACCCTAATACCAACCCTAATCCTATCCTTAACCCTATCCCTAATCCTATCCCTAACCCTAGCCCTAATCCTATCCCTAACCCTAATCCTATCCCTAACCCTATCCCTAATCCTACCCCTAACCCTCATTCTAGCCCTAACCCTAGCCATAGGTCACTGCGCATGCGCAGAACTATCTTTTGCCGAAAAATCTTATTCCGAGTAGACACTTCGTTTAATTATTTACAATAGGGCCCCAATATATTTATTTAGAATATTTTAGATGTAGGGCCTAGATACTTAATAATAATTTAATTAATAATTATGGCCTAGATCTACAATCTATATAAATAATATAGAGTAGGCCTATATAATCTATAATGTGATCATAGTCTCAGATGATCATAGTAGATTGATATTTGATAATATAAGGCATTTTTATTTATAAGGCATGTGTTATGTAGTAGTAGTGTATACTATTACTATTATGTAGTGAGTTTATCAGCAGATTTAAGTTTGTGTAGTGTAGTGAGTTTATCAGTAGGTTTATGTGTGGTGAGTTTATCAGTAGGTTTATGTGTGGTGAGGTCAAATGTATATATTGTCTTAAGTTACCACACAACAGACATGTTGTTATATCTTTGTTGTCATTATCAGAAAAATTTTAATTAATTTCAGGCTTTTTATAGATGGCAACAGAGGATGGAGGCATTAGTAGAAAGAAGGTTCACAATGGAGTCCCAATGCAGCGCAATACCTCCCTTATTGGGAAAAATCCAAAGACAGCCAAAGTTTTGGTCATATATACTGGTGGAACTATTGGAATGGTTAGCCAGAAAGGAGGTTAGTTACACAGGCAGTATATTATTCAGGGGGTAACTACACAGCTCAGCCAACTGGGATAAATTTATTTCTTAAATTTTATTCTAAGACGGAAACAAATTACAAGGGTTTATTTCTATGTTCTGAAAGATCGATTTCCAATAGATAACACAGGTTGTTAAGTATACTACTTAATCTGGAGCCTGAGATCAGGAGATCTGCAGCATGTTATTGCTAAAAGGGGTCATCCATTTATGATGTCCACACAGGGAGAGGGGTGGGTAAAATAAAATTGACTTGTGGATGCATGTGGAATGGGGGGGGGGGGTAATGTGGACGTCCACATGCGGAACCACAAAATTCTTAAATTTGATCATTTTAAAAATAAATTTAAAAAAAAAATGATATAAAATGTACATTATACATTAAATTTGCAGTTCTCATGGTAAATGTATCCAGTGTTTCTTCCAGGCGTGTTTTTTTTCCCATCCCCCCCCCCTTCGGAAGAAATATAATTTATTAGCCGAATTTACCCGAACCGATGTAGTCGTTGATAGCTAGACAGCAATAAATGACAGTAAAAAGTTCGGTCTACAGCATCTTCAATTAAAAAATAAACCGGGAGTGATCTCCCCTAAACTTTCTCGAATAAAAAATAAATCCGAATATTCTTATATAACACCATGGGGGATGGCAACTCAGGTATATAAGCATGATTTTAAATCCATTTTTAATTACTTAAACTTTTAAAAATAAAAAAGAATGTCGTAGAAAAAAGAATGGCGCACCAAGTGAATGCCAAACAATATGTGTATAATAGTGCAGAATATTATTAGTACTTAATAAATTCACTTGCGTCTTTTGAGAAATCGGATATAGCGTAAATTACTACTTCCAGTCAACGGAAATTACTCAAAATTTGATAGAAGGCAGAGAATTAGATCTTTTAATTACATGGGAAATTTCATTTATCTATCTCAAACAGTACTCAAGCTATAGGCTTTTGAAAAATTGAAAGAGAATAAGTTCCACTGTTTATATTATGTTTATTTAAATTGTCTACCAAGCTTCATGGCTCTCTACCTATGGTATCATATCATGCTTTTAGCTGAAGTTTAAGCACAACCACATTTTAACTTATGGTCACAAATAGTCTAATCCTGGAGTCCATAAAATGTTCATTTCCTGAAAGGGAAATAACCAAGCTAGATTGATATGCTAAATATACAAATTAAGCTATTTCCCTTTCCTAGGAAACCAATGAAATAATGTAATGCGTATGATGGATCACCGTGGATGGGTGTGTGAATATATATTGTAGCGATATGCGAGGCGGGGTGTGTTGATGTGTATATTGTTGTACTGAGTGAAGGAGGGTACAAGGGAAGTGACTGGTTGAGTGACAGCGGGTGTGTTGTGAGTGAGAGAAAGGAGGTATGTAGGAATGAATGGGGAGGACAGCTGAAGGTTGGAGCAAGAAAGTGGAGATTGGTGTGAAGAAAGAGTGAAAGCCAGGACATTAATCTTGACTGACATACCTAACCTCTACGAGTTTGTTTGTGTATACGTATACCTGAGTGTACCAGATTCCTGATACCCTCACACATGTGATTTGAATCTGTTCGCAGCTTATGAGCCCAAACCAAATTGTATGATTGATAAACTGAAAGCCATGCCAATATTCCATTATACTGAGGATACAACTTTTCTAACCCCAGAAGAGGCAGACCAATTCCTAGTACTTCAGTAAGGCTGTCCTGATTTTTGTTTAGTAGCTTCATGATGTCATTCTGTTGTTTGTTTAGTAGCTTGATGATGTCATCCTGTTGTTTGTTTAGTAGCTTTATGATGTCATCCTGTTGTTTGTTTAGTAGCTTGATGATGTCATCCTGTTGTTTGTTTAGTAGCTTCATGATGTCATCCTGTTGTTTGTTTAGTAGCTTCATGATGTCATTCTGTTTGTTTAGTAGCTTAGGAATGTGACATGACAACAAGATTGTGTGCTGTTTTTTGTCAATCTCTGTGTGACACATGCACAAGATTGTGTACCATCAGTCACTAGTTTTATTTGTAGTTGAAAGTCCAGCTTGCAGAGCTCTAACAATGTCAGGTATTCTGTGTCTCTCTCAGGCCCTCGGTCAAGACACGGCGCCATGTCATATATCGTGTACTGGAGTTTGATCCTTTGCTGGACTCTTCCAACATGTCTTTCTGTGAATGGGTCAAAATAGCTGATGCCATCAAGGTAAAATTTTATTGCTTTTCACCGCTAAGTTTTTGCTAGAGTATAACTGTGTGACAATATCAGATAAAAATACTCATCAAATTTTTATATTCTGATAGAACTTAACTATCTGTAACTTTACTTTCTGTTACTTGACATCTATTTATTTTTCAATACATGACAGCTATGGCTTTATTCTCTGTTTCAGGACAGCTACCAGGATTATGATGGTTTTGTTGTACTGCATGGTACTGACACCATGGCCTATACTGCTTCTGCTCTTTCATTCATGTGTGAAAATCTAGGCAAGCCCATCATCCTAACAGGCTCACAGGTACACACAATCTAGGCAAGCCCAACACCCTAACAGGTATACAAAATCTAGGCAAGCCCATCATCCTAACAGGTATACAAAATCTAGGCAAGCCCATCATCCTAACAGGTACACAAAATCTAGGCAAGCCCAACACCCTAACAGGTATACAAAATCTAGGCAAGCCCATCATCCTAACAGGTATACAAAATCTAGGCAAGCCCATCATCCTAACATGTACACAAAATCTAGGCAAGCCCATCATCCTAACATGTACACAAAATCTAGGCAAGCCCATCATCCTAACATGTACACAAAATCTAGACAAGCTCATCATCCTAACATGTACACAAAATCTAGGCAAGCCCATCATCCTAACAGGTATACAAAATCTAGGCAAGCTCATCATCCTAACAGGTATACAAAATCTAGGCAAGCCCATCAATTACAAAGGTACACAGGAACAGTGTTACAGATATTTAACATTCAATTTTGCAGATACCAATATTTGAAACTCGGAGTGATGGCAGAGACAACTTTCTTTCATCATTGATCATAGCTGGAACATACTCTATCCCTGAGGTAGGCCCATTCTGCCTTAAGATTAGTTGGTATTTAGTCCAGCTTCTAAGGACTAGTTTATCTTTTGCCTAAAATTAGCATCAATGATATAATTTAATCTGTAGGCGATGATATGCTTCAATGATACAATTTAATCTGTAGGTGATGATATGCTTCAATGATACAATTTAATCTGTAGGTGATGATATGCTTCAATGATACAATTTAATCTGTAGGTGATGATATGCTTCAATGATAAAGTGTTCCGTGGTAACCGCTGCATCAAGGCAGACTCCAGTAGCTTCTCAGCCTTCACTTCCCCCAACATGCCCCCCCTAGTTACACTTGAGATTGATATCAAAGGTCAGAACAATACTCACCTCTATAGACTTCAGGGTTAGAGACAGTCTAACAAAATAATAATAGATTTTCATCATGCAAGGGTTCAACTTCAGTTGACCACACATCTATATTTAGACCTTGCTGTTTCAGTTGACCACACATCTATATTTAGACCTTGTTGTTTCAGTTGACCACACATCTATATTTAGACCTTGTTGTAAAAGTTGACTACACATCTATATTTAGACCTTGTTGTTTCAGTTGACCACACATCCATATTTAGAACTGTTGTTTCAGTTGACCACACATCTATATTTTGACCTTGCTGTTTCAGCTGACCACACATCTATATTTAGACCTTGTTGTTTCAGTTGACCACACATCTATATTTAGACCTTGTTGTAAAAGTTGACCACACATCTATATTTAGACCTTGTTGTTTCAGTTGACCACACATCTATATTTAGACTTGTTGTTTCAGTTGACCACACATCTATATTTAGACCAGGAACAACAGAGAAGTTTACAGTCTCAAGAAACATGTGTTGTAATGTTGGTTTGCTGCGCTTGTTTCCTGGGATCACATTCCAAACGGTGAGCTTCAGCTGTTATCTTGTTTATTGTTGTTGTCACATTCTATTCCATGTTGTATTGTAACTATGTGTGACCTACTTAGGTCTTTCTTTTTTATTATTTAGTTTTACATTTATATAATCGACCTTGAGTGGTCTGTGGTGCAATCGAGAAATTTTCCATCACGCTATGTGGTGAAATTTTGATTGGTTGATTCGTACTTTGGCGACTTCCTTCCCAATAGTTTTGGCTTTAAGGTGGACATCCCATGATTCTGGGGTCGCATAAATACCAGGAACGCTCTTCTCTCAAGGCAGTTGACCAGACATTTTACCGAGAGAGAATGCCATGTTGTATTTCATAAGTTAAGCAGTATTTTTCCCTAAGTTCCTGTGCTTTAAGTATTTTTCTGTGCCTCAATTTAAAATCTAGTAGGATGTGTTGATTACCTAAGTGCCATATCCTGTGTTAATAGTTACCTTGTGTTATTCTTCAACTCGTAAGTTGGGTCTTGCATTATTTGTATATTTATAATATTTTACATACAATCTAGAGGTTATTGTTTGGACTAGTATACTTTTTAAAAGGTTGTAAATTGATTAAAAGTGTTATTAGTTACAGGAGTTCTTCGTGTTTTCCCCCTAGACGTTAGATACGTGTTCATGGAGAGTTTTTGTTGTCTGGTACTCTTTTAGTTTCGTAAGTCATCAGTTTATAACCATCCAAAAGAATTCGGTAAGTGCGTTATCTTTACCAGTGGTAGAGTAGCGCCGTAATATATGTAATTATTTTTTCTTTATTCCACATTTTTATTTGCTATTTTACTCTTATGGCTTAAACATTTGATTGCTTTTTTATTAAAATGTCGTTGATATATGTATTTTTTAATTAATGACCAAGTGATAAAAGGCCTCAGTGGCTACTATTGTTACAGTTATAAAATAAAGTTGATTGTTATTATCATGTCAGTGGTTTATCATGTCAGTGTTTTATCATGTCAGTGTTTTATCATGTCAGTGTTTTATCATGTCAGTTTTTTTTATCATGTCAGTGTTTATCCTTGTTGCATGAAATGAATCCCTATTCCCAGGTTGACTACTGTCCTCTTGTGTAACAGGTGCGTGCATTTCTCCAGCCACCAGTGCAGGGTGTTGTGTTGCAGACCTACGGAGCAGGGAACGCACCAACCAATCGTCCTGATATCTTAGGGCTGCTACGGGAGGCTTGCAATTGGGGCGTGCTCATTGTCAACATCACACAGTGTAGCATAGGCAATGTCAGCGCTACTTATGCCACTGGATTGGTGGGTCACTTTGAATGTACACAGTCCTGGTGGGTCACTTAACTCTTCTGGTGGGTCACTTAACTCTTCTGGTGGGTCACTTAACTGGTGGGTCACTTAACTGGTGGGTCACTTAACTGGTGGGTCACTTAACTGGTGGGTCACTTAACTGGTGGGTCACTTAACTGGTGGGTCACTTAACTGGTGGGTCACTTAACTGGTGGGTCACTTAACTGGTGGGTCACTTAACTGGTGGGTCACTTAACTGGTGGGTCACTTGACTTGTCGGCTACTTAACTCTTCTGGTGGGTCACCTAAATCTGTGCAGCGCTATTTCAGACATGTATTATGATGTGTGTACAGTGATGTTTTAGCCATATATTATGATGTGTGTATACAGTGATGTTTCAGCCATGTATTATGTGTGTGTACAGTGATGTTTTAGCCATGTATTATGTGTACAGTGATGTTTCAACCATGTATTAAGATGTATATGTACAGTGATGTTTCAACCATGTATTATGTGTGTACAGTGATGTTTCAACCATGTATTATGATGTGTGTGTACAGTGATGTTTTAGCCATGTATTATGTGTACAATGATGTTTCAGCCATGTATTATGATGTGTGTACAGTGATGTTTCAGCCATGTAATATTTGTGTATGTACAGTGACGTTTCAACCATGTAATATGTGTGTATGTACAGTGACGTTTCAACCATGTATTATGTGTGTGTGTACAGTGATGTTTTAGCCATGTATTATGTTTACAGTGATGTTCCAACCATGTATTAAGATGTGTGTGTACAGTGATGTTTTAGCCATGTATTATGTGTACAGTGATGTTTCAGCCATGTATTATGATGTGTGTACAATGATGTTTCAGCCATGTATTATGTGTGTACAGTGATGTTTTAGCCATGTATTATGTGTGTACAATGATGTTTTAGCCATGTATTATGTGTGTACAGTGATGTTTTAGCCATGTATTATGTGTGTATGTACAGTGACGTTTCAACCATGTATTATGACGTGTGTGTACAGTGATTTTTTAGCCATGTATTATGTGTGTACAGTGATGTTTTAGCCATATATTATGATGTGTGTGTACAGTGATGTTTCAGCCATGTATTATGTGTGTGTACAGTGATGTTTCAGCCATGTATTATGATGTGTGTACAATGATGTTTCAGCCATGTATTATGTGTGTACAGAGATGTTTTAGCCATGTATTATGTGTGTACAGTGATGTTTCAGCCATGTATTATGTGTGTACAGTGATGTTTTAGCCATGTATTATGTGTGTACAGTGATGTTTCAGCCATGTATAATGATGTGTGTACAGTGTTGTTTCAGCCATGTATTATGATGTGTGTATACAGTGATGTTTCAGCCATGTATTATGTGTGTGTACAGTGATGTTTTAGCCATGTATTATGATGTGTGTATACAGTGATGTTTTAGCCATGTATTATGTGTGTACAGTGATGTTTCAGCCATGTATTATGTGTGTACAGTGATGTTTCAGCCATGTATTATGTGTGTATGTACAGTGATGTTTTAGCCATGTATTATGATGTGTGTACAGTGATGTTTCAGCCATGTATTATGACGTGTGTGTACAGTGATGTTTCAGCCATGTATTATGTGTATACAGTGATGTTTCAGCCATGTATTATGTGTGTACAGTGATGCATCAGCCATGTATTATGTGTGTACAGTGATGTTTCAGCCATGTATTATGTGTGTATGTACAGTGATGTTTTAGCCATGTATTATGATGTGTGTACAGTGATGTTTCAGCCATGTATTATGACGTGTGTGTACAGTGATGTTTCAGCCATGTATTATGTGTATACAGTGATGTTTCAGCCATGTATTATGTGTGTACAGTGATGCATCAGCCATGTATTATGTGTGTATGTACAGTGACGTTTCAACCATGTATTATGTGTGTACAGTGATGTTTTAGCCATGTATTATGTGTGTACAGTGATGTTTTAGCCATGTATTATGATGTGTGTGCAGTGATGTTTCAGCCATGTATTATGATGTGTGTGTACAGTGATGTATCAGTCATGTATTATGTGTGTATGTACAGTGACGTTTCAACCATGTATTAAGATGTGTGTGTACAGTGATGTTTCAGCCATGTATTATGATGTGTACAGTGATGTTTCAGCCATGTATTATGTGTGTATGTACAGTGACGTTTCAACCATGTATTAAGATGTGTGTGTACAGTGATGTTTCAGCCATGTATTATGTGTGTATGTACAGTGACGTTTCAACCATGTATTAAGATGTGTGTGTACAGTGATGTTTCAGCCATGTATTATGATGTGTACAGTGATGTTTCAGCCATGTATTATGTGTGTATGTACAGTGACGTTTCAACCATGTATTAAGATGTGTGTGTACAGTGATGTTTTAGCCATGTATTATGTGTACAATGATGTTTTAGCCATATATTATGTGTGTACAGTGATGTATCAGCCATATATTATGTGTGTACAGTGATGTTTTAGCCATGTATTATGTGTGTACAGTGATGTTTCAGCCATGTATTATGATGTGTGTGTACAGTGATGTTTTAGCCATGTATTATGATGTGTGTGTACAGTGATGTTTTAGCCATGTATTATGTGTGTACAGTGATGTTTCAGCCATGTATTATGATGTGTGTACAGTGATGTATCAGCCATATATTATGTGTATACAGTGATGTTTTAGCCATGTATTATGTGTGTACAGTGATGTTTCAGCCATATATTATGTGTGTACAGTGATGTATCAGCCATGTATTATGATGTGTGTGTACAGTGATGTTTTAGCCATGTATTATGTGTGTACAGTGATGTTTCAGCCATGTATTATGTGTGTACAGTGATGTTTCAGCCATGTATTATGTGTATACAGGCTCTAAAAGAGATGGGAGTGATAATGGGAGCTGACATGACACCTGAAGCTGCACTCATGAAGCTCAGCTATGTGCTGGGCAAGGAAGAGTGGACCATTGACCACAAGCGTGCGGTAACAAATCATGTTGTTGTCATCAAGCCCCTCATTTTGTTGTCATCAAGCCCCTTGTGTTGTCATCATCAAGCCCCTTGTGTTGTTGCCATCAAGCCCCGTGTTTTGTTGTCATCAAGCCCCTCATGTTGTCATCAAGCCCCTCATGTCGTCATCAAGCCCCTCATGTTGTCATCAAGCCCCTCATGTTGTCATCAAGCCCCTTGTGTTGTTGTCATCAAGCCCCTCATGTTGTTGACATCAAGCCCCTTATGTTGTTGTCATCAAGCCCCTTGTGTTGTTGTCATTAAGCCTTTTGTGTTGTTGTCATCATCAAGCCCCTTGTGTTGTTGCCATCAAGCCCCGTGTTTTGTTGTCGTCAAGCCCCTCATGTTGTTATCAAGCCCCTCATGTTGTCATCAAGCCCCTCATGTTGTCATCAAGCCCCACATGTTGTCATCAATCCCCTCAAGTTGTCATCAAGCCCCTCATGTTGTCATCAATCCCCTCATGTTGTCATCAATCCCCTCATGTTGTCATCAATCCCCTCAAGTTGTCATCAATCCCCTCAAGTTGTCATCAAGCCCCTCAAGTTGTCATCAAGCCCCTCATGTTGTCATCAATCCCCTCATGTTGTCATCAATCCCCTCATGTTGTCATCAAGCCCCTCATGTTGTTGCCATCAAGCCCCTCATGTTGTCATCAAGCCCCTCAAGTTGTCATCAAGCCCCTCATGTTGTCATCAAGCCCCTCATGTTGTCATCAAGCCCCTCATGTTGTTGCCATCAAGCCCCTCAAGTTGTCATCAAGTTCTCATGTTGTCATCAAGCCCCTCAAGTTGTCATCAAGCCCCTCATGTTGTCATCAAGTTCTCATGTTGTCATCAAGCCCCTCAAGTTGTCATCAAGCCCCTCATGTTGTCATCAAGTTCTCATGTTGTCATCAAGCCCCTCAAGTTGTCATCAAGCCCCTCATGTTGTCATCAAGCCCCTCATGTTGTCATCAAGCCCCTCATGTTGTCATCAAGATCTTGTGTTGTTGTCATCAAGCCCCTCTAGATGTTTTTAATAAATCAATTATCCCTTTATTTCACTCAAGCTGGTATCTGTACTTTAATACTTTAAATGATTAATTTATTCTATCATTTCATCTTGAGCTTGTTTTTACTTTCTCGTATATACAGAGTATAGAGAAAGTCTTGTAATCGTGCAAAAAAAAAATCGAGATTTTTACAAATCTCGACGTTTTACACCTCCCTGAGTTGGAAAAACATAATTTTGCAATCTTGTCCTTATGTGTGTGTGTGCCCGTAAACATGATAACTTACCGTTACTGTTAGGTTGATGAAATTTCATATATAAGTATAATATCAAAATTGTAGATCCTGATCAACTTTTGAGCGATTTCCGATAACCGGAAGTGGAACTTTTTCTACTTTGAATTTTTCAAAAGCCTATAACTTGAGTTATATTTTAGGATAGATAAATGAAATTTCACATGTAAGTAAAAGATGTAATTATCTGTCTACTGTCAAATTTTGAGTAATTTCCGTTGACCCGAAGTAGTAATTTACACTATTTACGATTTCTCAAAAAACGCATGTCAATTTAAAAAGTACTAATAATATTCCGTACTATTATGCACATTTTGTTTTGGCGTTCGCTTGGTGCGCAATTCATTTTTCTACTAGATTCTATTCTATTTTAAAAACTTTATGTAATTAAAAATCATGTCAATATCCCGAGTTGTTATCCCACGTAATGTTATGTAAGAATATCCGAGAACATTTAGTGGAGATCACTCCCGGTTTATTTAATACTTTAAATGATTAATTTATCCTATCATTTCATCTTGAGCTTGTTTTCCTTTAATTCTAATTTCTTAGAACAATTTAAAGGGGGGGGGGGGGGGGGAGTGTGAGAATGGTTTTTGCAGGAGGGAATTGTGGAAAAAAAAATTCAGATTTAGCTTGCTTTAAGGAAATAGTGAAAAAAAATACATCACCCCTCATATGGGTTAATTTTCAATGATTTTGATTTGCTTTTCAAAAAACAATATACATCACTCAGTCCAAATTTGAAATACACCAGTTGAAACAACACCAGCATTAGAAAACAAATAATAATAAATGTTTTATGAGCAAGTTTTAATCTAATAAGCAAAAAAAAATAAAAAAATAAATGATTTATTTTAATATATAATAATGAACCCTATAACTAAAAAGAAAAATGAGGGTCACTTATTAAATTTTAGTGCAGTATTCAATACATAATATATTATGACACATGCTTTTCTTTTTAATTATTAAATAGTGGTTCATTGTTACATTTTTAAAGAAAATCATTTAGTTACTTCTTTTTAGTGCATAATTCTACAAATGCTTGTTATTAAAAAAATTTTTATTCTTTTTCAATATCTTAAAATTGTTAATACAATAGAATAGCATGACAAGAAAGAAGTGTGATACAAATGAATGCAAAAAATGTGTGTATAATATTGTGATAAAAGTAGAACTCTATGGTAAATCCTTGCTAGCTTAGTGTTACAGCTTAGTGATGTAATAATAGAGTGAATAGAGGAGACTAATGAGCTTAAAAAACTGACATAGAATGGCATGAAATTGTCCTAAAACTATATATTCAATTAAAAACAAGCAGCTGCTGTATATCAGAGAGATGTGTGTCCACAGATGCTGGCCAGGAATCTCCGTGGTGAGATGACCACAATGTTAGGCGAGCAGCTGTCCATAACAGACTCAGAGCTGATCGATAGTGTGGCCAGATACATGAGTCTGAGCACAAGTGATGTAAGTCATGTTTTATCAGATACATGAGTCTGAGCACAAGTGATGTAAGTCATGTTTTATCAGATACATGAGTCTGAGCACAAGTGATGTAAGTCATGTTTTATCAGATACATGAGTCTGAGCACAAGTGATGTAAGTCATGTTTTATCAGATACATGAGTCTGAGCACAAGTGATGTAAGTCATGTTTTATCAGATACATGAGTCTGAGCACAAGTGATGTAAGTCATGTTTTATCAGATACATGAGTCTGAGCACAAGTGATGTAAGTCATGTTTTATCAGATACATGAGTCTGAGCACAAGTGATGTAAGTCATGTTTTAAGTGAGCACCATTGATGAGTTATCAGATAAGTGGCTAATGTTGTATGATAATCTGTCTCCCCCCCCCAGGAAATCAGTAAAGTGAAAGACGCCATCTACCCCTGTCTGATGTGTGCTGCAGCCAAGTCAGGTGACATCCCAGCCCTGGAGAAGCTGCGTGCCTCAGTCAGTTGTACGCCACTAACTTAACCAGTCAGACACTACGCCACTAACTTAACCAGACACTACGCCACTAACTTAACCAGTTATACACTATGCAACTAACTTAACCAGTCAGACACTACACCACTAACTTAACCAGTCAAACACTATGCCACTAACTTAACCAGTCAAACACTATGCCACTAACTTAACCAGTCAGACACTACGCCACTAACTAAACCAGACACTACGCCACTAACTTAACCAGTCAGACACTACGCCACTAACTTAACCAGTCATACACTATGCCACTAACTTAACCAGTCGGACACTACGCCATTAACTTAACCAGACACTACGCCACTAACTTAACCAGTCAGACACTACGCCACTAACTTAACCAGACACTATGCCACTAACTTAACCAGTCAGACACTACGCCACTAACTTAACCAGTCATACACTACGCCACTAACTTAACCAGACACAACGCCACTACCTTAACCTGTCATACACTATGCCACTAACTTAACCAGTCAGACACTACGCCACTAACTTAACCAGTCAGACACTACGCCACTAACTTAACCAGTTATACACTACTTACTAAGAAGGACCTTGTCCTAACAAACTACTGGTGAGTGTGTCACCATCAACTGATTGTGTCCCCCACATACTGCTTGTGTGTGCCACCATTAACTGGTGTCCCCCACGGGAACAGGGCATTTCCCCCCTGTCAATTACCCCCCCGGATATTTCCCCCCCGACATTACCCCCAGAGTAATTACCCCCCCCTGTCAATTACCCCCCTGTCAATTACCCCCCGCCCAGTAGGACATTACCCCCCCCCCCCCCCCCCCCCCCCCCCCGGAGAGGGTTAGAGTTAGGGTTAGGGTTAAGATTAGGGTTAGGGTTAGGGCTAGGGTTAGAGTTCGGGCTAGGGCTAGGGCCAGGGCTAAGGTTAGGGTTAGGGTTAGGTGCTAGGGTTAGGGTTAGGGCAAGGGTTAGGGTTAGGTTTTAGGGCTAGGGTTAGGGCTAGGGCTAGGGTTAGGTTTTAGGGCTAGGGTTAGGGTTAGGGTTAGTGTTAGGTTTAGGGCTAGGGTTAGTTTTAGGGTTAGGGTTAGGTTTAGGGCTAGGGTTAGGGCTAGGGCTAGGTTTAGGGTTAGGGTTAGGGTTGTGTCTGGTTTTGGTTTTGTGTGACGTTTTAGGCTAAGGTGGATGCTTAGGTTTTGGTCTTTTTCTTAAGGTTTGGATTAAAGTATTATATAGGGATAAAATTCTAGTTAGAGTTAGGATTTTAACTTGAGAGGGGGGGGGGGGGGTAATTCCCCGGGGGGGTAATTGACAGGGGGGTAATTGCTCCGGGGGGTAAATACGGGGGGGAAATGTCCGGGGGGGAAATATCCAGGGGGGTAATGTCCTGTAGCCGTCCCCCACATACTGCTTGTGTGTGTCACCATCAACTGATTGTGTCCCCCACATACTGCTTGTGTGTGTCACCATCAACTGTGTGTGCCCACAGGGAGGTGACCTTGCATTACAGAACCAAGATGGCAGGACAGCCCTGCACGTGGCCTGCAGGAAAGGTCGCATCAATGTGGTCCACTACCTGCTGAACCATGGGGTCAGCATACACCTCAAGGACTATCGCCAGGAGACAGCCTTGATTGATGCCATAGAAGGTGGACATATAGACATCATTAGACTCCTGGTTCAGACAGGTGCCAACCTGCCCCTGCCACAGTCCGTCATGGCTGTCCGCATGTGCAGGTAACTAGTCTACAGATGACCTCAGATGACCTTTTGTCCGCTGTTGTTTTTTGCTAAATGTATTGAGTCTCTTTCAAGTATAACTAGCTCTTTATGTATACTTGTCTAGTAGCGTATAGCTGGATTACTTGCTGAAGAATAGACATGATATATGTTACATGTCAACTGCTACCAGGGGGTTCCCACATTTCTCTCACCCATGTAACCATTCCCTAGACCTGTGGGTTCCCACATTTCTCTCACCCATGTTACCAGCTAGACCCTTGGGTTCCCACATTTCTCTCACCCATGTTACCAACTAGACCCTTGGGTTCCCACATTTCTCTCACCCATGTTACCAACTAGACCCTTGGGTTCCCACATTTCTCTCACCCATGTTACCAACTAGACCCGTGGGTTCCCACATTTCTCTCACCCATGTTACCAGCTAGACCCTTGGGTTCCCACATTTCTCTCATCCATGTTACCAACTAGACCCTTGGGTTCCCACATTTCTCTCATCCATGTTACCAACTAGACCCTTGGCTTCCCACATTTCTCTCACCCATGTTACCAACTAGACCCGTGAGTTCCCACATTTCTCTCACCCATGTTACCAGCTAGACCCATGGGTTCCCATATTTCTCTCACCCATGTTACCAACTAGACCCTTGGGTTCCCACATTTCTCTCATCCATGTTACCAACTAGACCCTTGGGTTCCCACATTTCTCTCATCCATGTTACCAACTAGACCCTTGGCTTCCCACATTTCTCTCACCCATGTTACCAACTAGACCCGTGAGTTCCCACATTTCTCTCACCCATGTTACCAGCTAGACCCATGGGTTCCCATATTTCTCTCACCCATGTTACCAACTAGACCCTTGGGTTCCCACATTTCTCTCACCCATGTTACCAACTAGACCCTTGGGTTCCCACATTTCTCTCATCCATGTTACCAACTAGACCCTTGGGTTCCCACATTTCTCTCACCCATGTTACCAACTAGACCCGTGAGTTCCCACATTTCTCTCACCCATGTTACCAGCTAGACCCATGGGTTCCCATATTTCTCTCACCCATGTTACCAGCTAGACCCATGGGTTCCCATATTTCTCTCACCCATGTTACCAACTAGACCCTTGGCTTCCCACATTTCTCTCACCCATGTTACCAACTAGACCCTTGGGTTCCCACATTTCTCTCATCCATGTTACCAACTAGACCCTTGGGTTCCCACATTTCTCTCATCCATGTTACCAACTAGACCCTTGGGTTCCCACATTTCTCTCATCCATGTTACCAACTAGACCCTTGGGTTCCCACATTTCTCTCATCCATGTTACCAACTAGACCCTTGGGTTCCCACATTTCTCTCATCCATGTTACCAACTAGACCCTTGGGTTCCCACATTTCTCTCACCCATGTTACCAACTAGACCCTTGGGTTCCCACATTTCTCTCACCCATGTTACCAACTAGACCCGTGGGTTCCCACATTTCTCTCACCCATGTTACCAACTAGACCCTTGGGTTCCCACATTTCTCTCACCCATGTTACCAACTAGACCCTTGGGTTCCCACATTTCTCTCACCCATGTTACCAACTAGACCCTTGGGTTCCCACATTTCTCTCACCCATGTTACCAACTAGACCCTTGGCTTCCCACATTTCTCTCACCCATGTTACCAACTAGACCCATGGGTTCCCACATTTCTCTCACCCATGTTACCAACTAGACCCTTGGCTTCCCACATTTCTCTCACCCATGTTACCAACTAGACCCTTGGGTTCCCACATTTCTCTCATCCATGTTACCAACTAGACCCTTGGATTCCCACATTTCTCTCACCCATGTTACCAACTAGACCCTTGGGTTCCCACATTTCTCTCACCCATGTTACCAACTAGACCCGTGAGTTCCCACATTTCTCTCACCCATGTTACCAGCTAGACCCATGGGTTCCCACATTTCTCTCATCCATGTTACCAACTAGACCCATGGGTTCCCACATTTCTCTCACCCATGTTACCAACTAGACCAATGGGTTCCCACATTTCTCTCATCCATGTTACCAACTAGACCCTTGGGTTCCCACATTTCTCTCACCCATGTTACCAACTAGACCAATGGGTTCCCACATTTCTCTCATCCATGTTACCAACTAGACCCTTGGGTTCCCACATTTCTCTCACCCATGTTACCAACTACACCCGTGGGTTCCCACATTTCTCTCACCCATGTTACCAACTAGACCAATGGGTTCCCACATTTCTCTCACCCATGTTACCAACTAGACCCTTGGGTTCCCACATTTCTCTCACCCATGTTACCAGCTAGACCCTTGGGTTCCCACATTTCTCTCACCCATATTACCAACTAGACCCTTGGGTTCCCACATTTCTCTCACCCATGTTACCAGCTAGACCCTTGGGTTCCCACATTTCTCTCACCCATGTTACCAACTAGACCCATGGGTTCCCACATTTCTCTCACCCATGTTACCAACTAGACCCTTGGGTTCCCACATTTCTCTCACCCATGTTACCAACTAGACCCATGGGTTCCCACATTTCTCTCACCCATGTTACCAACTAGACCCTTGGGTTCCCACATTTCTCTCACCCATGTTACCAACTAGACCCTTGGGTTCCCACATTTCTCTCACCCATGTTACCAACTAGACCCTTGGGTTCCCACATTTCTCTCACCCATGTTACCAACTAGACCTGTGGGTTCCCACATTTCTCTCACCCATGTTACCAACTAGACCCATGGGTTCCCACATTTCTCTCACCCATGTTACCAACTAGACCCATGGGTTCCCACATTTCTCTCACCCATGTTACCAACTAGACCCTTGGGTTCCCACATTTCTCTCACCCATGTTACCAACTAGACCAATGGGTTCCCACATTTCTCTCACCCATGTTACCAACTAGACCCTTGGATTCCCACATTTCTCTCACCCATGTTACCAACTAGACCCTTGGGTTCCCACATTTCTCTCACCCATGTTACCAACTAGACCCGTGAGTTCCCACATTTCTCTCACCCATGTTACCAGCTAGACCCATGGGTTCCCACATTTCTCTCATCCATGTTACCAACTAGACCCTTGGCTTCCCACATTTCTCTCACCCATGTTACCAACTAGACCAATGGGTTCCCATATTTCTCTCACCCATGTTACCAACTAGACCCTTGGGTTCCCACATTTCTCTCATCCATGTTACCAACTAGACCCTTGGGTTCCCACATTTCTCTCACCCATGTTACCAACTACACCCGTGGGTTCCCACATTTCTCTCACCCATGTTACCAGCTAGACCCATGGGTTCCCACATTTCTCTCATCCATGTTACCAACTAGACCCATGGGTTCCCACATTTCTCTCACCCATGTTACCAACTACACCCATGGGTTCCCACATTTCTCTCATCCATGTTACCAACTACACCCGTGGGTTCCCACATTTCTCTCACCCATGTTACCAGCTACACCCATGGGTTCCCACATTTCTCTCACCCATGTTACCAACTAGACCCTTGGCTTCCCACATTTCTCTCACCCATGTTACCAACTAGACCCTTGGGTTCCCACATTTCTCTCACCCATGTTACCAGCTAGACCCTTGGGTTCCCACATTTCTCTCACCCATGTTACCAACTAGACCTGTGGGTTCCCACATTTCTCTCACCCATGTTACCAGCTAGACCCTTGGGTTCCCATATTTCTCTCACCCATGTTACCAACTAGACCTGTGGGTTCCCACATTTCTCTCACCCATGTTACCAACTAGACCCGTGGGTTCCCACATTTCTCTCACCCATGTTACCAGCTAGACCCTTGGGTTCCCATATTTCTCTCACCCATGTTACCAACTAGACCTGTGGGTTCCCACATTTCTCTCACCCATGTTACCAACTAGACCCGTGGGTTCCCACATTTCTCTCACCCATGTTACCAGCTAGACCCGTGGGTTCCCATATTTCTCTCACCCATGTAACCAATCCCTATACAGTCTAGAGCCAAGATTTTGACCCACTAGTCTATATTCATTACTTGAGCTTTTCTTTTTTATATATCACTGTACCAATAATTGATTGCCATTGGTAGGCATGTCTGTGTACATCAGTCTCATGGTGTACATGTCTGTGTACATCAGTCTCATGGTGTACATGTCTGTGTACATCAGTCTCATGTTGTACATGTCTGTGTACATCAGTCTCATGGTGTACATGTCTGTGTACATCAGTCTCATGGTGTACATGTCTGTGTACATCAGTCTCATGGTGTACATCTTTCTAATGGTGTACATGTGTAAATGGTGTGTCTAGCTGTCTCAAGTTGATAGCTATCTCATAGTATATAGCTGTCTCATAGTATATAGCTGTCTCATAGTATATAGCTGTCTCATAGTATATAGCTGTCTCATAGTATATAGCTGTCTCATAGTATATAGCTGTCTGGTGGTGTACATCTGTCTGCCTATTTCACCTGTCCACATCTCACCTGTCCACACTGCCTATTTCACCTGTCCACATTGCCTATTTCACCTGTCCACATCTCACCTGTCTACACTGCCTATTTCACCTGTCCACATCTCACCTGTCCACATCTCACCTGTCCACATCTTACCTGTCCACATCTCACCTGTCCACACTGCCTATTTCACCTGTCCACATCTCACCTGTCCACATCTCACCTGTCCACATCTCACCTGTCCACATCTCACCTGTCCACATCTCACCTGTCCACATCTCACCTGTCCACACTGCCTATTTCACCTGTCCACACTGCCTATTTCACCTGTCCACATCTCACCTGTCCACATCTCACCTGTCCACACTGCCTATTTCACCTGTCCACATCTCACCTGTCCACATCTCACCTGTCCACGCTGCCTATTTCACCTGTCCACATCTCACCTGTCCACACTGCCTATTTCACCTGTCCACACTGCCTATTTCACCTGTCCACATCTCACCTGTCCACATTTCACCTGTCCACATCTCACCTGTCCACATCTCACCTGTCCACATCTCACCTGTCCACACTGCCTATTTCACCTGTCCACATCTCACCTGTCCACATCTCACCTGTCCACATCTCACCTGTCCACATCTTACCTGTCCACACTGCCTATTTCACCTGTCCACATCTCACCTGTCCACATCTCACCTGTCCACATTTCACCTGTCCACATCTCACCTGTCCACACTGCCTATTTCACCTGTCCACATCTCACCTGTCCACATCTCACCTGTCCACATCTCACCTGTCCACATCTCACCTGTCTACACTGCCTATTTCACCTGTCCACATCTCTCCTGTCCACACCTCACCTGTCCACACCTCACCTGTCCACACTGCCTATTTCACCTGTCCACACTGCCTATTTCACCTGTCCACATCTCACCTATCCACATCTCACCTGTCCACATCTCACCTGTCCACACTGCCTATTTCACCTGTCCACATCTCACCTGTCCACATCTCACCTGTCCACATCTCACCTGTCCACATCTCACCTGTCCACATCTCACCTGTCTACACTGCCTATTTCACCTGTCCACATCTCTCCTGTCCACACCTCACCTGTCCACACCTCACCTGTCCACACTGCCTATTTCACCTGTCCACACTGCCTATTTCACCTGTCCACATCTCACCTATCCACATCTCACCTGTCCACATCTCACCTGTCCACACTGCCTATTTCACCTGTCCACATCTCACCTGTCCACATCTCACCTGTCCACACTGCCTATTTCACCTGTCCACATCTCACCTGTCCACACTGCCTATTTCACCTGTCCACATTGCCTATTTCACCTGTCCACATCTCACCTGTCTACATCTCACCTGTCCACATCTCACCTGTCCACATTGCCTATTTCACCTGTCCACATCTCACCTGTCCACACTGCCTATTTCACCTGTCCACATCTCACCTGTCCACATCTCACCTGTCCACATCTCACCTGTCCACATCTTACCTGTCCACACTGCCTATTTCACCTGTCCACATCTCACCTGTCCACATCTCACCTGTCCACATCTCACCTGTCCACATCTCACCTGTCCACACTGCCTATTTCACCTGTCCACATCTCACCTGTCCACATCTCACCTGTCCACATCTCACCTGTCCACATCTCACCTGTCCACATCTCACCTGTCTACACTGCCTATTTCACCTGTCCACATCTCTCCTGTCCACACCTCACCTGTCCACACCTCACCTGTCCACACTGCCTATTTCACCTGCCCACATCTCACCTGTCCACATCTCACCTGTCCACACTGCCTATTTCACCTGTCCACATCTCTCCTGTCCACACCTCACCTGTCCACACCTCACCTGTCCACACTGCCTATTTCACCTGCCCACATCTCACCTGTCCACATCTCACCTGTCCACACTGCCTATTTCACCTGCCCACATCTCACCTGTCCACATCTCACCTGTCCACACTGCCTATTTCACCTGTCCACACTGCCTATCTCACCTGTCCACATCTCACCTGTCCACATCTCACCTGTCCACATCTCACCTGTCCACGTCTCACCTGTCTACACTGCCTATTTCACCTGTCCACATCTCACCTGTCCACATCTCACCTGTCCACATCTCACCTGTCCACACTGCCTATTTCACCTGTCCACATCTCACCTGTCCACATCTCACCTGTCCACATCTCACCTGTCCACATCTCACCTGTCCACATCTCACCTGTCCACACTGCCTATTTCACCTGTCCACATCTCACCTGTCCACATCTCACATGTCCACATCTCACCTGTCCACACTGCCTATTTCACCTGTCCACACTGCCTATCTCACCTGTCCACATCTCACCTGTCCACACTGCCTATTTCACCTGTCCACACTGCCTATCTCACCTGTCCACATTGCCTATTTCACCTGTCCACATCTCACCTGTCCACATCTCACCTGTCCACACTGCCTATTTCACCTGTCCACATCTCACCTGTCCACACTGCCTATCTCACCTGTCCACCCTGCCTATTTCACCTGTCTACATCTCACCTGTCCACATCTCACCTGTCCACATCTCACCTGTCCACATTGCCTATTTCACCTGTCCACATCTCACCTGTCCACACCTCACCTGTCCACACTGCCTATTTCACCTGTCCACATCTCACCTGTCCACCCTGCCTATCTCACCTGTCCACACTGCCTATTTCACCTGTCCACATCTCACCTGTCCACACTGCCTATTTCACCTGCCCACATCTCACCTGTCCACATCTCACCTGTCCACATCTCACCTGTCCACCCTGCCTATTTCACCTGCCCACATCTCACCTGTCCACATCTCACCTGTCCACCCTGCCTATTTCACCTGTCCACATCTCACCTGTCCACATTTCACCTGTCCACACTTCCTATTTCACCTGTCCACCCTGCCTATTTCACCTGTCCACATCTCACCTGTCCACCCTGCCTATTTCACCTGCCCACATCTCACCTGTCCACATCTCACCTGTCCACCCTGCCTATTTCACCTGTCCACATCTCACCTGTCCACATTTCACCTGTCCACACTTCCTATTTCACCTGTCCACCCTGCCTATTTCACCTGCCCACATCTCACCTGTCCACCCTGCCTATTTCACCTGCCCACATCTCACCTGTCCACATCTCACCTGTCCACATCTCACCTGTCCACACTGCCTATTTCACCTGCCCACATCTCACCTGTCTACACTACCTATTTCATCTGTCCACATCTCACCTGTCCACATCTCACCTGTCCACATCTCACCTGTCCACACTGCTTATTTTACCTGTCCACACTACTTTTTTCAACTGTCCACATCTCACCTGTCTACACTGCCTATTTCACCTGTCTACACTACCTATTTCACCTGTCCACATCTCACCTGTCCACATCTCACCTGTCCACACTGCCTATTTCACCTGTCCACATCTCACCTGTCCACATCTCACCTGTCCACATCTCACCTGTCTACAGTGCTGCTGCAGCAAATGATGTCAAGTCACTGGAAGCTTGGCTAGCAGCAGGTGCGTCCCCAAACTTGAAGGACTATGATGAGAGAACCCCCTTACATGTGGTAAGACATTGTCTCACCACTTACATTTAAAACAACATTGTTTCACCACTAACATATAATACAACATTGTCTTACCACTTACATTTAAAACAACATTGTCTCACCACTTACATGTAATACAACATTGTCTTACCACTTACATGTAATACAACATTGTCTCACCACTTACATGTAATACAACATTGTCTCACCACTTACATGTAATACAACATTGTCTCACCACTTACATTTAAAACAACATTGTCTCACCACTTACATGTAATACAACATTGTCTTACCACTTACATGTAATACAACATTGTCTCACCACTTACATGTAATACAACATTGTCTCACCACTTACATATAATACAACATTGTCTCACCACTTACATATAATACAACATTGTCTCACCATTTACATATAATACAACATTGTTTCACCATTTACATGTGTTCCACCATTGTCTCACCACTTACATGTGTCCCACCATTGTCTCCCCCTGACTGACTGTCTACAGGCTGTGAGCCTGAACTGCAATGAAGCAGCTGAACTGCTGTACAGAGCCGGAGCCCACACAGACCTTCCTGATGTCTTTGGCAACACGGCCCACAGCTTGGCTGACAAGATTCAGAATGTCAAGTTTTTAAACTTAATCAGCCACACTGAAAACAATTAATACTATCTGTGTTGGACTGACCTGACACACCCAGTTGTGTGTGTTGGACTGACCTGACACACCCAGTTGTGTGTGTTGGACTGACCTGACACACCCAGTTGTGTGTGTTGGACTGATCTGAGATAGTCACATTGCACTAGTCTTTCATTATTCCTGCCCTTTACCTTAGATATTAATTATACATTCTCATATTCCCTTCATCTTGACCCACTACATGTAGATCATATGAGATTTGTGGTCATGTTCACCATACACATCTGGTCATCTTGACCGTACAACATTTAGGTCATTTTAGCTTTACACGTGGTCATCTTGATCATACAACATTTAGGTCATTTTAGCCTTACACATGTGGTCATCTTGACCATACAACATTTAGGTCATTTTAGCCTTACACATGTGGTCATCTTGACCATACAACATTTAGGTCATTTTAGCCTTACACATGTGGTCATCTTGACAAATGGGTCAACTACTTGTACAACAACGACCACAGGCCCATGAATCTCTATCCTGCTGCCATTCTTTACCATGGACAATTGAGTTTCCCTAGAGTGGAAACTAGTTTTCATTTGGGGCTTATATTTTACATGTGTTTAGTCATGTCAACCAACTCTCTTCCCCCCCCCCCCCCCCCCTGAACTATAATATAACAGATCTAATTAGTGAATAAATATTTAGACGAGTAACAAGCATGAACACTCAGTTTTGTGCCTAGACATGACAGGTATGGGCTACACGTAACAGTTATGGGCTGCCCGTAACAGGTATGGGCTACACATGACAGTATGGGCTACACGTAACAGTTATGGGCTACACGTAACAGTTATGTGCTGCACGTAACAGGTATGGGCTACACATGACAGTATGGGCTACACATGACAGTTGGCTGACTGATGTTCTACCAAAATTCATGACGGGTGATAAAATATTGTTTGACATATCTTTAAGAATCTCATTATTTGTGCCAAGTAAATGTGTAATAGCTTGGCAAATGGCCTTGAGTGTACTTTGTTAGTGTAGTAACCTTTGACCTCTTGTAGTGGACTCAATAAAGCAAGCCCATAAAGATTGGTATTTTCTTACAGTGCAGGCATGCAACAGTAATGACCATCTGTAACTGTGTGGCTTTGAGGTTTGTGGCAATATGCGTGTGCTTTTTTTTGTTGAAAATCTGTTGGTATAACTAAAAACATGGATCTCAATTTTCCCACTACATCCAGTGTCTCACTGTCTAGGACTTAACTAAAACATATCACAGGAACACCACTCAAGTATACATTTACATGTAATTATTATCTACAAGTTTTGCTGGTTCACAATCAGCTTTTATTTCTATTGATCTCCATAGCTTTATGAAACTTATTTTCTTTTTCCCTGGTTGGCTTTACAAAGTGGATGTTTCCACGCTTATTTGCAGTTTAACCTCCTATAGAACTAAACTGTTGAATCAGTTAATGTGATAGTCCTTGAACCTTTGAAAAAATGTCTCTGTTAGTCCTTCAATGGCTCTGGTAGCACTTGAACCATTGAATCAATGGCTCTGTCAGCACTTGAACCATTGAATCAATGGCTCTGTTAGCCCTTGAACCATTGAATCAATGGCTCTGTTAGCACTTAAACCATTGAATCAATGTCTCTGGTAGCACTTGAACCATTGAATCAATGGCTCTGGTAGCACTTGAACCATTGAATCAATGGATATGTTAGCACTTGAACCATTGAATCAATGGCTCTGGTAGCCCTTGAACCATTGAATCAATGGCTCTGGTAGCCCTTGAACCATTGAATCAATGGCTCTGGTAGCCCTTGAACCATTGAATCAATGGCTCTGGTAGCCCTTGAACCATTGAATCAATGGCTCTGGTAGCACTTAAACCATTGAATCAATGTCTCTGGTAGCACTTGAACCATTGAATCAATGGCTCTGGTAGCACTTGAACCATTGAATCAATGGATATGGTAGCACTTGAACCATTGAATCAATGGCTCTGGTAGCACTTGAACCATTGAATCAATGGCTCTGGTAGCACTTGAACCATTGAATCAATGGATATGGTAGCACTTGAACCATTGAATCAATGGCTCTGGTAGCACTTGAACCATTGAATCAATGGCTCTGGTAGCACTTGAACCATTGAATCAATGGCTCTGTCAGCACTTGAACCATTGAATCAATGGCTCTGTTAGCACTTGAACCATTGAATCAATGGCTCTGTTAGCACTTGAACCATTGAATCAATGGCTCTGTCAGCACTTGAACCATTGAATCAATGGCTCTGTTAGCACTTGAACCATTGAATCAATGGCTCTGTCAGCACTTGAACCATTGAATCAATGGCTCTGTCAGCACTTGAACCATTGAATCAATGGCTCTGTTAACACTTGAACCATTGAATCAATGGCTCTGGTAGCACTTGAACCATTGAATCAATGGCTCTGTCAGCACTTGAACCATTGAATCAATGGCTCTGGTAGCACTTGAACCAATGGCTCTGGTAGCACTTGAACCATTGAATCAATGTCTCTGGTAGCACTTGAACCATTGAATCAATGGCTCTGTCAGCACTTGAACCATTGAATCAATGGCTCTGGTAGCACTTGAACCATTGAATCAATGGCTCTGTCAGCACTTGAACCATTGAATCAATGGCTCTGTTAGCACTTAAACCATTGAATCAATGGCTCTAGTAGCACTTGAACCATTGAATCAATGGCTCTGGTAGCACTTGAACCATTGAATCAATGTCTCTGGTAGCACTTGAACCATTGAATCAATGGCTCTGTCAGCACTTGAACCATTGAATCAATGTCTCTGTCAGCACTTGAACCATTGAATCAATGGATATGGTAGCACTTGAACCATTGAATCAATGTCTCTGGTAGCACTTGAACCATTGAATCAATGTCTCTGGTAGCACTTGAACCATTGAATCAATGGCTCTGGTAGCCCTTGAACCATTGAATCAATGGCTCTGGTAGCCCTTGAACCATTGAATCAATGGCTCTGGTAGCACTTGAACCATTGAATCAATGGCTCTGGTAGCACTTGAACCATTGAATCAATGGCTCTGGTAGCACTTGAACCATTGAATCAATGGCTCTGGTAGCACTTGAACCATTGAATCAATGGCTCTGGTAGCACTTGAACCATTGAATCAATGGCTCTGGTAGCACTTGAACCATTGAATCAATGGCTCTGGTAGCTCTTGAACCATTGAATCAATGGCTCTGGTAGCACTTGAACCATTGAATCAATGGATATGGTAGCACTTGAACCATTGAATCAATGGCTCTGTTAGCACTTGAACCATTGAATCAATGTCTCTGTTAGCCCTTGAACCATTGAATCAATGTCTCTGTTAGACCTTGAACCATTGAATCAATGGCTCTGGTAGCACTTGAACCATTGAATCAATGGCTCTGTCAGCACTTGAACCATTGAATCAATGGCTCTGTTAGCACTTGAACCATTGAATCAATGGCTCTGGTAGCACTTGAACCATTGAATCAATGGCTCTGGTAGCACTTGTTGAACTTTGTCTAAACATTGGAAGTAGGTTGACAGCTTGGCTAATTATTAATTGCCCTAAAATTTTTGTAACATACAGAAAAACAGCAATGTAAAAAGTTACATAATACATACTTACACACCACTATACACATCAGACTAAATATACGTATATATTTATATCCACACACACATTTAGCCCTCTAGTGGGACCTCGAGATACATATTAGCTCCGCTAACAGTTCAGGTTTCAAAACAATTCTCCTCATTAAAATTAATTCAAATGCAGCCCAAATGTATATTTTTAAATTATAAAAAGAAAATATAAATAAAGACTTGTTTAAAAACTAGTTACCATGGAAACGGGTTGTCTTGTGCTTACAGTTACAGAGGATGCAAGCATTGGTTGAAGGTAGAGGGGATAAACTTAGTTGTTGGTTTTCACTATAAAAACAATTTTTTTTTTTATATTCGCATCACAAGCTTCAACTTTTTTTACACGCGTTTTCGCGGAAATATATACCACACCCGGTTACCGAAAAGCGTTTAAAATTCTCTATTTAGATTGTTTGCACGATTACAATGAATCCTGTTATTCCGTATATGATAAAGTAGGGAGGTTAGCTCTGGTGGCATGGTTACGGAACCTAATCAGTCAAAATTTTGAACAAATTAATAGGCACTCTTAACCAACTATTCCGCACTATTATTTTTAAATTATACACGCATTATCACGATTATTAGGTGCGCAATGGTTTTAGTCATTTATTTATTTTTTTGTCTTATTGGCCACTTAGGGGGCGGAGTGGTCTAGCGGTAGAGAGCTGGACTGCTAACCCGTAAGTCTCGAGTTTGAATCCGGGTTCTAGTCAGTAGACCGTCCCTGAGTCCACCCAACTCTGATGAGTACCTAACTCAAGTTAGGGAAAGTAAAGGAGGTTGGGCATAGTGCTGACCACACTATCCCTTCATATGCCGAGGTCACAGAAACAAGTGAACTACACTTGCCCCATAGACCGTCAGGTTTGAAAGGGATAAATTTATTTAAAGACGTTAATTAATTTATTGATTTATTCATTGTTAGGTAGTCCAAACTGGCGAAAAAGTGCGTTTTAGGGTCAGTTTTTGCGGTTTTCAAAAAAAAAAATTTCACTACTTCTAGTTGTCCTATAAGAATAAAAATTATATGTTAATAAAGTTTAAGTCTTTATCTGTCGTAATCTGGTATTTTTATATCTGTAACACATGTTTGAATGTGTTTTATATTTGTTTGAAAAGTATCAGTTACGTCAACAAATTTCACCGTTTTTCGAGTACCGATCGACCCCACACTGTTTTATTTGGTCGCGACGAAGCATCGTAGAAGCATAATCTTAATGTCATTTTAAAGATCGAATTCTAGGCTATCGTTTGATGTATAAATTGTAAAAATAACTTGTTTATTTCATTTAAAAAATACAGATTTTAAACTTTAAATGACGATATATACACGGAAACAAACTAATTCTGTTTCAATTTTTACACCGATGTAAAGTTCAGTTTTATAACTACTTTGTGTTGTAAATTCAAGTATTTCTGATTTACGGTCGCGAGGCCGTACCCCCAATAAACATATAACCCTCGAGTCGTCTTTCAGCCCCGAGTAAGTTGCTCGCCGAACGGTTTTAAAGGTTGACGACCGATGATGCTAAACGGATTTTACCCTTGCTAGAGCCTTCAAACAAGTTGTAAGTACCATTTTTAAAGTTTCATTTCCATTTTAATAAATGAATTTTAAGTTTGAATGTCATTTTGGTTTAATTAGTACACGCTATTAATGTAAATTTGAACTCTACTAGTCCACGGCTTCTTGCGTGTGAACTACGCTTGTACACAGGGTGTGTTTAGACGTGAAGCTATTTAATTCAGGACATTCTAGGGACTTAAAATATGGATGCACTTAACTATTAGATGCTAGTGTTTACTAATTCTTTAAAATCTATCGAATGGGATTAATGATAGGGTCGTATTACTACAGTTTATTTGGACTATCACGTCAAAATTATGAATCGACAAATTCAAAATGGCCACCAGACAATCCTGGTTACTATGTGGACAAACTCAATTATTTACAGGGAACGAAGGTTAAATACTTAAAAAATATTAATGAAACACAAAAGAAATGTATAATTAAAATAACTACACATTTTTATTGATTTATTTAAAACAAAAGACACTAAATTTTAAGGACTAATGTGATTAATTTTTTTATTTTCTGTTGCGCACTCTGATTCTGATTCCCTGCTAAATAATGTGAAATGGTCTGCGCCAGTCTCCGTAATAAAATATACCAGATCAATTTTTAGATGGTGGTGCAATTTATTAAGATTCTACATGTTGTGACTTAGTTTTAAATGTTATATTAGTTGTAAGTGTAAGTAGTACTTGTAGTATTTCTCATTATTTATTTATTTTATATGCATATAATAGTAACAATGAAGGACAGTTAAGTTGTCCTATAGGATGTTGAGAACCACAGTATGGCATCTTCATCATTGGATATCTCAACCATTGTGGGA